TTATATTTAAATTTGTAAACTAATAATTTATCATATTAGAGTTTTGAAAAAAAAATTCTTCAATCATGAATTTTTAATTTTAATATGTTTGATTTCATTTTATTTATATAAAATACTAACATCGATTTCTAATATGTAAACTAGTTTTCAATTATATTTTAGGAGTAAAATATATTTATATACATATGATAAAAATAAACTGATTTTTTAATGTAAATTCATATGAAAACGAATAAAATTTAAGACATTACAATATTTATGATTGCTATTCTCAAGACTATAATATTAAAAAATTATTGAAAAATTCAAAATATTAAGATATAATAGTCAAAATTTTATATTTCATTTAATCTAAAATTATAAATTACAAATCACACGATTAATCAAAAATTGAAATATCATTATTATTATATATTTTATATCATAATTTTATTTAAATATTTAATTATTTGCTACTTTTTTAAATGTTTGCCATACATTTGTAGCTTGTATAATAGTGATCTAGTATCCTAGAATCATAAAAAAAATTCCAAATCACTTAATAGTTACATTTCTTAAGAAAATTTTAAATTTTTCACTTGAAATTTTAGACTAAAGAAAAAGCAATTTATCAAGAAAATTATAATAAATACTCATTGTAAACTTAAAATAAAACCTTTGAAAGATTAATACTTCTATGAAAGTCTTGATTGATGTTCATATTGATAAGCAATTGAATCAAATAAAAAGAAAAACGTGGTTTATTTTAACGAGATTATAGTTGTGTAACACGTATTTTATCCATTAAAAATCAGAAGTTTTGTGAAAAAAGCCTTGTCATTTTTTAGTTATTAAATTGATTAGTTAGACTAGGTATAATCAAATGAAGTAAAATTAACCAAGACCATCATAGGTTTCATTCTTCTATCATCTATGCGAATAGTACTAATTCATTAGTTGAATTAGTTATGATCAAATTAAGTTAAGTGAAAACAAGACATGAGATAAGTTACAACAATACATTTTTTTGATTCATGTCATAAGGTTGATAATCTCTATCATCTATGTGAATATTATATATATTAGAAAATCTTCAACATAATAATCTGGCATCTTGAATATATTGTAATTTTTGTTATAAACTAGAATTAATTATATCTAAATCCTTGCCAAATCGTGATGAATTTTTTTCATAGATAGATAGATTTGATGGTTCATAACACTTAGTAATTTATATGAAAAATAATTTCGGTATGTATATCAACATGACTGAATTTTTCATCAATTTTGAATAGTTTGACTTTATTAACATAAGTTTTCATATATATATATATATATATATATATAAGCTTATGTTGATATGATTTACTTTATTATAGGTCACATGATTCACATCTAGTTTATCCTTATTATCAAAGTGAAAATTCAAAAAGTCATGAGTTTATATCATATTTGTCACAAGCATGTTCACTTCAATTGCATCTTTGATTGTCGCTAAAAATTCAACTTATGCAATGAATTGAGCTAGTAACTAATGCAAATTATCTTCATATGTATTTATTTTCAAATGTAAACACAATTTTAGGTCTGGATTTACATCTATACATATTTTGTCAACACCTATATCCTTATTAACGGTCAACATCTATATAACCAAACAATGATCCAGCATTATACAATATTGCATCAAATATAAGTGCACAATCTAACGTAATCTTGAAATATATAAGCATTCATTCTTTAAATTACTTTTCATATCACAATTTTTTAACATATCTTTCATGGATTTGCATGAATCCATAAGGTTTGCTCATTGCAAGAGCAAATTTGGATGCAGAGCAAGTAATTAAAAACATGAAAGTTTTCACTATATTTTGTAAGTTTCTTGTACATCAAATTTATTCTCACGTCATACTTTTGAAAAAAGATGAAAACAAAAAAAAGTTACTCATAATCTTGCAATTTATTATTTTGTACCTAGCAAATAATATTTTAACATGTTCTTTTGGTTTAAATCAAACTTACCGCTAATACTTGGAAAATTTCAACATTTTCTTAGCTTACCTTTGTTATCATCAATTACTGGTGTATTACATATGTCATAATTAAGTAACAATCAAACATACTATGTTGGATTTATATGAAATCATACTCCATCAAACTAAAGATCATCTTTTTTTTCTAAATTTTTTAACAATCAATTTAGTAATGTTCATCTTTTTAAGATCTTGATTTCAATCTTCTAATTAACATTGATGGTGAAGATGATTTTTTTGTGACACCATTTGTTAGTCTTACATATTCAGATTACAAGCAATTTCAAGTAAGTCAAAATAAAAAATACCTGATTCAATTCAAGAAATCTAAGTGCATAATATATACAAATTTTGTCATTGAAATTTTTATTGTATTCGCAATAATATATCAACTCAAAATTTGACTTTTTGTTTATCACAAGCTGAATAGAACGCAAACTACTACTTCTATAAATAATATTTGGCTACCCTTGTGTTGTTATGTAATAACTCTTCATCTCAACAAACTCAAAAAAACCGTTTTCAAGATTTGTAATTTGTGTATTGAAGAATAACTATTAGCTTTCTTATATGAAAATTAGCTAATAAGTTCAAATAATTAATTTTTTAACACATCAGAGGTAACAAAACTTGAGTAAACTACTAACATCTTAGAATAACAAAGATGTCCATAAAATTGATGAAAATTTTTTATTTATAAATTATGTTGAGGTTAACACCTGTTTAGGAGTAACCTCGAGCTAGCTAAATTCAGCTAACTCACCACAGCTAAATTCATGGACTGAGGGTATTTAACCCCAGGGCTTCTTGACTGTAACCCATCACTTCACAAGTTTATCAAACGCGTGCCTCAATTCGCTGCTGTGGACGTATCACTCAGAGATAAACCAAGTTACATCTAGTGTCTCAAGTATATTCTTGTTGTGAATTAACTATCACTTAGTTTTCTTTTTTAATTATTTTCGGTTTATCACTGAAATTTTATGTAAATTTTATTGATAAGAAATTAAATATTAAATACAAAAAAATAAATTTTTTTGTAATCCTTTATTCTATTATAGATAAAATCTCATTCTATATTAAAAATTTACGACTCCATTAAAGATTTAAAAAATAATAACTTTTTTTAAATATTTTGGTATGTTTGATATTCTTGAATTATAAATTTATGAAAAAAACTGTCGACTACATATAAAAAATTGAAAATATATATTATTTAAATAAAAATATTCACAATATTTACAATTTATATCTAAACAAAATCTATAAAAGCACTCAGTTTAATAATAATAATGTCACTTAAAATTTTTTATTAACATTTGCATGCTACATCAAGTAAATCTATACGATTCTGTAAAGTGATCAATCTATAATGTAATATATCTAAATTATCATTGCTATAAAATGATTACACTACCTTTATAGATAACAGTACTAAACATCAAGCTCTTTTTATTTTTTTGAATCTTAATTTTTTCTTCCATTTTTTTAACAAATCATTTGAGCCAAAATTCACATCTTGTTATGTAATACATCACATTATTTAAATGTATTTATCTCTCGCGTTAAAGATTGTGATAGAATCAAATTCTTCATTCTACACAATCTTCGACACGGAGAATGTTAATATTGTTTTCATTTACTGCCTAATTGATATATTGGATTTAATTCTACTCACCGTCGTAACATTGTGATATAATCTTGGTTACAACATTTTTCGGATTTTTGCATAATAAAACTAAAATGTATGTTTTGGCTTGAATATTTCCAGTAATTTTATATGCCAATCACCATGGATTTGCAGATGTGGATCAGAATGTTGGATTCAGATCGGAATAGGGATCTTTGATTGACTAGTGACACAAATCAGCAGCCAACAAAGTCATTATTTGTTTATTCTTCCCAAAATTTGCTTTCAATGAGACCAGAACTGTAACACATACATCAATTGATGCAACAAGAAATATTTCAAATGCCGTTATGGGAGGAAAACCTCATGAAGCAGTTGCAACGAAGTGAAAATAAGAATCCATACTAGTCCGATGAAGGTTCAGAACTCTGGTACCCTCTCAAGTTTGAAATTTTACCTGCAAATTCCACAAGTGATAAAATTTTCATATGATAGGCCTTTTCATTACTAGGTTATAGGTCTCAAAGTACATAAATTAATGCTTAGACATCATAATGACTAAGGATAAAAAACTGTATTGGGTATTGTACGTAGACTGAATAGCTTCCAGTGCATATCGTCTGATACAGGACTGTGTTCTTACCATCTTTAGTACCGAATAAATGTGGCCGTTACTCGAACAGTTTTAAATGAATATTACGACTGTGCTGAACCAAGTTTCCCAGGTCTAAGTAAACTGATGTGAAGATCAGTATAGGAATCTCCGCAAAACGTCTAGTATATGCTGGTATATTTTGGGTTGCTATTAGTTAAAAAAAATTCTCAACATTACTCCAGTCATTTGGCACAGAGGGTCTGCTCATGGGCAAGGTGTGTCAGAACTTTAATGTAGATCTGTGTAAAACATCTTTGAGTAAACTCCACCGTCATTCAGTAGGAACAAACAGTCTGTTCATCATCAGGTTTCTGGACCCTGATGCAGCGGCTATAATCATTTTTATGGAAAACCCAGTGGAGGACACCCGGACTGTAGGATATTGGAAGTGTGTAAAAAATGTAACAGTCTACTTATTGGCAGTATCCAATGTTAATTCTTAACTGTATCGCAAGCTAGCATCTGCTTCCGTTGTTTTGGATCTGGAAAGAGACGATTTGGTTTACGTTGAAACAAAAGTCAGTAACTTGAAGTAAGACCATAATAAATGATCTACGAAATATTTGGTCGACGTTTAACATACCTGTGTAGGTTAAGATTTATAGCCCTTTTAGAAAATGTTGAGACCACAGAAGAAGACTGGAAGATATTTGAAATGAGTCAGTAATTATATAATCAATGCTATGAATGACAAGGGGTGGCGGGTCCAACTGGAGAAAGTAAAACATAGAGCTGAGTTAACTGTGATAAATTAAGAAATGTATTCTGTGAAGATGAATAAAATACTTTTCAAGGATTGGATAATTGGAACAAATCTGCAGACTGCTTGTATGATTCTAAACTCTATCAGTGTAGTATTCCTACTCGTCTTGGAGACGAGAACTGTGACTCCACCAAAACTTGGTGCAAACCATTGCAAATATGACAATTCTCATGGAGGCTCTGTCTGGAAAGAGCTCGCCAATGGAAAACAATACTGCTCTGAATTCTTACAACCTGACTTGAAACTCTGAAGGCAGGGGTAGTGTCCTCTCTACCCAAAAGTTTGTGTATCTAAAGCGATTACTTAGTGTAAGGAACCAAATATGATAACCCTTGTTCCAGGCTTATCATATCTCCATCTGTTGCAAGTCAGAATACGAAATGGCTTAACGAGGAATCTCTATCTACCTCAGGAGCAAACCTCCGACAGAAGTTAATGGAGTACGACCAGTTAAGCAATTGAGAGCATGCATAAACTTTCGCCGGGGTCCTACTGGAACCATTCCCATTTCCTTGAGTCCTGTCATAGTTATGTGTAGCAGAGTCAGGCTGTCAATCTTGTTGTCGTCGAAAATGGGCACAAATTGTCCCAAACCCTTGTCCAAGAGCCAACTCCTAAGACCTCCTGCTGCATCTAGGCGTTTGTTGATGATGGCCAGCTGACTGTTCTGTCTAATAAGTTCTGCTCCACTAAGAATGACATCTTTCCCTGCAGAACACTGAGCAGACTGATCAATATCTACCCCTTCCTCCTTTTTTATGACCAGGAAGACGCCATTCTCCCCAGGAGTAAACGGAAGAGCTAGCTGGAGCTGTTCCATCTGCCAAAGTGGTTTACAATCCTCCTCCTCGGTCGCACTTGATAGATACGTGTGCTGCATGGGTCTAATGTTCTGATCCTGGAGATAAGAATTGCTTGGACGTTCAGTCTGAAGGAGCGGCAGGTTTTGTTGGGAACCAGCTATGTTGGAAGAGCCTCCAATGTGAGGATCAGGTTGCGCCCCACTTGGTGTTGCTCCGTCTGTTGTAAATCTTACAACTGAAATATCGTCTGATGGAGTGTTGTTACCTAAACCCTCGGGATGGGAGGTGACAGTCTTCTTACACTGGATGTCAGGTAATTCTGGACCATCAGCACCTCTGGTCTCTACTGTCTCCGTTCTAGATCTCCTCTCCCGGTCTGCACACTTAGGACTCGTTGGACAGTGGTCAACAGCTTTGGAAACAGAGCCTCGCTTTCTTCTAAACGTGGCAATTGGTGAAGTAGCTCGATTCCTCGTTGCATCTCCATTGCAGGTGCTTGCTACTTCTACTGATCTGTTTGTGGAACTTAGAACAGGCTCCCCAGAAGAGACCTTTAAAGCAACAAGAAGTGTGGTATCTCCGTTTTCCGTTGGTGTGTGACCCGAATGTCTGCTGGCCACTTCCCTAGGACTGGTTTCTGCTGGTGACTTGATGGGCACTTGTTGCACCTTCACTCTCTTTCTTGATGGTGGTAGTGAGGTCACTTTTGTTCTGGACTGCCTGCCAGCCGAGGGTACTTGTGCTACCGGGGACCGCACATCTCCAATCATCTTCTCTCTTCTCCATTTTCCTAACTTCAAAATAACCTTGCTGATCTTTGCCTCATCTGCTGGAATTTGTTTGCTATTCAGACCTGTGTCCAATGCAGCTCTCTTCTTGCTACCTTTTGCTTCGTCTATCGGGACATGCTTAGTGTTTATCTTCGGACCCGCTGATGCTCTCCTCTTCCTAATCCTAGATCCTTCCACTGGAGCTTGCTTAGGAATCACAGTCGAGTTTCCTTTGGCTCTCCTTTTGCTTATCTTCGCATTGTCTGCGGGGACGTGATCGTAGTTCAGCTCCATTTCTAATCGAGTCCTTCGCTTCCTCCTCTTTGGACCATCTGCTGGCAAAGACTTCGAGACTACCTCGCCTGCAACGGAAGCTTTTCTTTTGCGCCTCTTGATGATCTTGGGGACCTCTGAAGTGGCGGAGGGCTTCGATGGCAAAGCAGGTATCTTGATTAGCAGACGCTGGGGTCGATATTCAACCAAGGGATCGCTTTTGTGTGAAATAGTGCCTGATGGGCCTGCCTCTTGGCATGACGCAATTCTCTCCTCAGTGCCAGTGAGACCCTTGCCATCAGCCTTCGCAGCAAGTGCAGCCAATTGTCGACGCTTTGTCTTGGCCATAACTTCCTTCGAGTATCCACCCGCTCAAGTGCTGTGATATTTTTCCAAACACCTCGACGACTAAAGTTTGGTTCCTGTGTTTGCCTGATACACCGACACAAAAAAACGTCCTGCTGAGAATTAAAATCACTAACAACAGAACAAGAAGCTTGAAAACGTACTAAGGATAGTCCAATTTCGGATTCTAGATAGATCTTCAGCATCCGAGAAAGCTGTTTGAATAACAAAAGACAAATCACGGGAGACAGAGGGACCAACAGACATATGGAGAAGGTTGAGGGTTCTGGAATCACAAAGGTAAGCTGCAGGAAGGGAACGAAGTAAACCTTTCCGACCATTTTTTACTCTAACGAACAAGCCCTTCTCAGTACTGAGAAGCCTGTTAAATTCTTCTGGTATCTTCAATCGAAGAGAGATAAGCCCTCCTAGTATTGCATAACATGCAAAGATTTTTTTCCAGTACACAAGTTGGTCGTGTTTCTGTACAGCTTATTATGGAAGATTATGACCGCGAAGAGTGGAGCAGGATTGATTATGTGCTACTAACCTAAAACTGCACGTGGCCTCAGAAAAATACCCACAACATCCCTCGACACGACGTTCATACCTGGTACGAGAAGATATGTTTTCACTAAGGACCTCGGACAAATACAACCTCAGACACAGAGAGCCTAATAGGTGATTCGTTCTACTGTCACAAGCATCCACCGCCTCTGGATAATCGTGAATCGATTCTCATTGCTATATCGAAGAATTGTAAGTTCGATCCGTGCTAAAACTGGACTTCTTGACCTGGGACCGTTTACTGAAGTAAAACACGACTACAAGTATCCTTCGTACTCCACCGCCAACCATGATACAACCAATCGTAGATTGTACAATCAAGCAAGAAAGTGTCATCGAGAAGATGTAAGGGCTGGAAGAAACTATTCCACGAATGAATTCATATCTGAAGACCAATCTTTGTGGTTACATAGGAAGGAGACTTACTATTCGTCTCCAGCAAGTTTATAAATCTGCACGTTTTTCTTATCTTCGTAGCTTTTCGGTGCACCGGGAATTACATGCATCGGGCTCCCTACTGATGCTCGGATCGATGCTTCTCATTGAGTGAAAACGATTGATATCAATGGCCCGTGTTATTGTATACTTCACAGTAGGTGAATTCTGGTGAAAAAGTTCGTTACGGGCGGGACTCTCGATGCACTTCCTTCATTTTACCATGGCTGGAGAAAAGAAGATGGGCAAACGAAGGTAACCTTCATGTGGTTTCAGGATTCATACATGACGATGATAATATCAGCTCCAATCGAATCATTCACTTCGGGAAGCAAAAGTGGCAGGAAAACTCTACACTAACTGCATGTTAAGGAGGCCGGGGCAGGGTAAGGACTCACCTCAAGAAGAAACAAATTCCAGATGCTCCGGTCTGTCATTGTCATCGAGTTTTCCCGTAGTCGCCAAATCCCGTAAGTCCATTGCATTGAACGGAATATCTGTCTGACAGCACAAACATATCATCGGGTTTGGTTAATTTAGACTTTCAAACCTAAGATCAACTGGTACTAGACGCAATGTTTATGTTCGAGGGGAACAATCATTGACCTGACAAATCCCGTTACGGGTCGAAAGCATGGACAAAGAGCACTTCGAGAAACATACAAGAGCAGGACCTCATTCACGCAAAATAAAAACTTAAGGTCGCATACAGCACAACCAATGGTAGAAAGAGCACCACAATTCAGTCAGACCGTAGATTTGAGATCGGCCGTGAGTAGGAAAGACAAGTTCAGCTCAATGAACTTTTGATTTTTTTCTGGTGACACTACTCACGTCAGTTCAGAAACCAGTTTTTAAACCTCCGAACAATTGCAACTCTTTTCGAATGTGCCTTGTTCTCGGTGCTCGGGCACTCCAAAGGGCCTACTGGATCCATAGCTGGAATTCAATATGCTGCCTAATTGACAAGAGGCTCGCTCTTTGAGCTTTAAGTCGCTCAAAGCGGTCATAACCTGACACGGGATTCAACAACCTGGACGTAATTCATGCATGGTTCTCATCATTCCATCAAACAATATTCCATCTTGGACACTGCAGAAAATCGGTCTTACCTCCTGCATGTGCTGTCCAACTTGAAGATCCAGAATGGGCCAATCGCGGAAACTAAGTATGATGTCGAAGGAACCGTGATTTTGACGAGCGTTGACGTGCTGAAGCATCCGACTCACTCATTTGTGACATCAGTGATGCGATCAGGAAATCCAGTGATAGGGTTTGCAGCCTGTAAGAGCCTGCTCTCCACTATTCAATATCAGAGGTTATAAAACCAAAAAGCTTGAAATTCGACCGTGAGCATGAAAGAGCTTCAGGACACACCGAAAGCAGCCCAACCGCTTCTCAGCCAGCGATTGTAATGCACCCACCACCGACTGCCGTATGGATTATCCTACACCTCCACGCACATCGGATATCTGTTTCTGAGCAGAAGCTTGCACGGGACCAGAAAACAGGTGTTCGTCTGCCTGCAAGAAAAATACTTGCAGTATCTGATTTCAAGCTCTTGAGCTTCACAAGGAGGATTGTGCAATTCTTCTGAACACGGTTTTTTCTACCATTCGTTCACAATGTAGAATATTGGACTCGGTTGGGATTTGATGAGCCCATAAGCCCACAGAGAGAAAAGAATTGCCACGAGTTTTTCTCGAAATCCTGTAGACACTTGCATCCAAAAGGGAAGACATGAGACACAAGGATAAATCCAGCCATAAATAAAAACATGGCCAGCTGGAGGTCCGAGATCAGACTCAATACGTCAGTCTTCCTCATCAACAAGCATCCATGTGTGAAAACTCACCACTCCAAGAGCAATCTGACCAGTCCGATCAATCGACGTACACAAATGCCAACAATTCCTTCTGCCGACCCAATTGCAAAGCTCTATGCTCTCCTTCTCCCATTCCCAAACACATTCATTCATATTGATTCTATCTCTGGACCCCAAATTCTCCACACCCATTCGATTCATGCAACAACATGCAGCAAGTTCTCATGCCCAGAACTTTTTAAATACCTCGATTCAAATTCCGTGCTCGTCGCTTACCACTCCCTCCCCTCCTCCCATGCGTGCAAAAACTCCGTTAGTCCGTTGATACCGTGACACTTCGTGTTTGATTCCCTTCGTTGTCTGGGACTGATAATAGACAGAAGGGGAATTAATTCCTATGGATTATAACCCAAGGGCCTCCGCCAGCCAGACAGCAGACAGAAAGCCAGCCAGTCAGTCAGCCAGTCTTAGCTACTGCTTCCATCCCCTGCCCTATGCTCAGACAAACGTACCACTAAACTATAAGTAAGCCCTAACGTGAAAGTTGCATGATGCTACGCCAGGATGAAGTTTTGGCATGTCTCTCGATGTACTTACCACCGCTGCTGCTGCTGCTGCTAGTGCTGCTAGTACGAGGACTCGGGAAACACCAAATCTTCAGGAGCAGGGAGATCTTTGTCGGAGCGACCGATACGGGCGTGTCGTCGCTCTGGGGGATGATTCGGCTTCATGGCGCATTTGCTTGACCGGGGGAGTGCGTGAGTGCTGCACTTTCGTACCGGGAGCATATGTCGGAGCCTCGGACCGACACTGATAGGTCTAACTCTCGACCACTGCTGCTGCTGCTGCTGTTTCTGCTGTTGGGTACGACGGCATGGGAATCGTCCCTCGTAGCCTCCCTGCCTGCCTGCAGCACAAGTCAGCGACGATATATGGCCGTGCGTGTGGCCGATCGTCGCATTGTCGTCTGTCGGTCGGTGGGCGTGCATGAGGAGGAGGAGGAGGAGGAGGAGGAGTTTTGGACGGGGCTGAGTGGAGTGGAGTGGTCGAGCGATTGAGTGTGGAGTTTCTATGACCGAGTCACATTGTCAAATTTCTCGCAGGCCTCGTCGAGCCGCACGCAACGCAGCGATTGGAAAAGCCCGTGGCCTGCTGGGACGCATCGTCTTGCCATTGTCGTCGGTGACATCCTTCGATAACCGACTGGGAGGGGTGGGGTATTACTGGAATCCTTTTGCTCCGTCTTCACTGCCGCTCAGAAGTTACCTCTCGCCTAGAAAACATCAGAACAGAACTGCCATCGTTCATCGGACTTCAATTTCCATGTCGAGCTTCGATTGTTGCTAGATTTCACTTTCGGCTGATCGATCACATCCGAGTTTACGGAAATTTCAACTCCCTGTACGTCCGTAAGTGAGAAGGGTATCTTGTCGAATCTCATGTCACAAGTTTCCATTTGTAATGGTACTCGTGATTTCATCGAGAAACAGTGCTGAGTAGAAATCGGCCGACACTCAGTGGTTCTTCGTTTGCTGAGTAGCCTTCCAGCTCACGGACTGCTGGCATTCACGTCGAGGGTCGGCGCCACGCATGATCTGAAATTGTTGATAGTGTCGTCGGTACTGAATCCGCAACGACAGGCCACTTCGTTCATCGCTGCTCTGTGCGAAATCAGAAGTTTGCAGGCATCGCCTGCCATTCTGGTCATCGTCTGTGGTGAGTATCAGTCTCAGTCGCTATTCTCTCAGGCCATATCTAAACACTCGAATTTTGCTGTCTTATCGAAATCAGGATTGTTCCCGACTATAATTTCAGACCGGCTGTAGATTTGTGAGGTAATGACAGAAATTAAACCACCAAACTGCTGGAATTGTGGACACTCGAACAATTTAGAGTTTGAAAGTGAACTCGTTCGATGATTGTCTCTCTGCTCGTGCACCAATGGCCACCTAAAATCCATCTCACCTTGAATTCAGTAGATAACAGAGAAGTGCGCCAAAACTCGAGTATCGCTAATTCAACAGCAGTTTCTTCTAAAGGCTCATTCTCTAGCATCTGTTTGCTCTGTGCTGCCGAAAGCAATGCACCAATTTGAACGACATGAGTGCAGATGGAACTCAACCACTTCATGCCAAACATCTCGACGTCTTGTCGACGAATCCCACTTGGCACTAGAATTTGCTTTGAATTCTAGCCTCTACGGATTTGACAATGACGGGCTTGAATCCTCATCAAAGGTACATCTTCCTTTCATCGGTTCCGGAAATTCAAGCACGTAAGATTTATTTTCCTTTAATATAAAATCCACGGTAAGAATCAAAAGGTGGATTCTGGCTTCAAACATTTGAACTTCGAGAGCCGAACGTGGAGGTCAACGACAGTCACCCTCAACATCATCAACGAAGTCACTCACTACTTGCCCTCTTCACGAACCTCTGGAGTTCCATTCGCCAGTACCGAATGTTGGGCACCTCAATTCACAATCCTTCGATATCATCAACTCTATCGTAACACGCAAGTGGGACGTGGGTCAACTTCGACTTTGAATTTGGTACGAACCACGCTATGATGGGTACAAACAATTGTTCAGCATTTCCTTGTCGCTTTCGTAGGATCATCCCATGCATGGTTGGCAGGTCTCAACCATGGAATTGACCAATACTTTTGATCGAAAGTCAAAGCATACCAATAGACGTTCACAAGTAGAGTTCTACCGGCGAGGAGAATTAATTACAGTACTAATGCACTTCATGATAGTAGCGGGCTAGTTATCCCTCATTTTAGTCTAATTATCACTAACACTAATAGGGTGAGGATAATTAGTCAAGTCAGCAAAGTGCTAGGACAAGTTTTTGATGGGGTCCTTGCCGAGGACAATAGCGTGAGTATGGAACGCATGTAACACGAGTAGTGGCCAGTCGTTGGAAAGGTGGAGCTCCGACATTGTAATCTCTGTTCCCACAAGACTATCCGAAACAAGATTTGGTCTTCATCGTCAAACCGAACGATGACAATTGAAGATAGAAGGATTCATGGAAGAAGCTATTTTCTAAATTGACAGCTCACCTGGTCAACAATTGGAACATTTTGGAAAATCTCACCGCAGTTACTCCACATGCCACTCGGCTTGCGCGAAAGTCCATATGGGACGGGATGGTACACTTCATGAAATGATCAATGGCTTTTTCAAGAATGAAAAGTGTATCAAATCCGAACTCGCAAATTCATTTTTTGTGCATTAAACAACTCTCAGGCATATACCCATGGGCATGTGCTAAACTTGGCTCGAGTTTTTGGCCGGAATAGTGATACTATTAGAGACATAGATCGGCTTTGTAGTGATCGGTAACAATAGATTCAATCCGAAAGTCTACTCAAACTACAATAGTTTGTGATTCTTGGCGAAGGAACAACCTAAATTGATAACACGTACTTGATTGACTTGGCTAATTATCACTCACCCTAGTATAGTAGGGTGAGGGATAATTAGCCTAAAGTGAGTGATAACTAATATTTCCTTCATGTACTTTAGGTTCTCTCCAAGTACAATAATCTTTAAATAACCGAATTTGTTAACTCTACAAGGAACCAAGTAGTAAAGCAAAAACAATGTGGACTATCTATCGATCTGAACAAGAATGATTTTTGTTTCAGTTGTAGAGTACCAAGTAATATGAGCCAAAATTTGATAAAACTCCATCAAGTTCTACACGATGATAAGTAATGGATTTTATTTATTGTTTGATGATGCAGCAATTGATAAAGAAAAAGTAATGAGAAGGGAATATCAAGCTCTGCAAATATGAAATCAAATTGCAATAACCAACACGATTCATTTTAGTACATTGTATTCAACCTTGCAACCCAACTTCACTCATGTTTCAATACAATTTTTTGTAACCTTGAAAGTGGAACTGCTACTATCTATTCATAAAAACGCATTGGCATGTTTAGGGTAATCAGTTTGATAAATTAAGCTTAACTCTTCGCTGTTTGTCTCCACTCTCTCCTTATTACTAGAGTTATCAAAATTATGAACTCGTCGTTTTATAAATAGACCTTGTTTAGTAAATTCTTTATTTTCAAGAAATCGTTTTCGTATGTCTTGTTAGTGAGCGTCAAAGTTTTGAACTCTCACTTATGAGACTTTGTGAGCATTTCAAGAGCTTTATTGGAAAGTGCTCTGTTCATATACTAGGTATAAACAATTTAGTGGAATACTATTTCATCCGAGAACTTGTAATGGCACATGGATGACGGTGTGCTGCAAGATAACATTGGGTAAAATGAATCATGTTGATTCGTTTTACAAGTGTTTTATCTTCTAAAGGATTTTCATCAACCAATTTTTATTATGATGGGTTGTTGTTTTATCTTAATCAATATCTCCAAATGATATTTATTTGAAAATATAATATGTGATAATATATATATGTATATATATAGCAAATTAATTTCAAATAATGAAAAAAAAACAAAATATACACTATGCAATTGCATTTAGGAAACAAAAGCATGTCTTTCATGTTATACACATACATAAAAATTGATTAAATTTGTGATTATGTAAATTTATAATAAAAATTGAAAAACATAACAGAGATGAATTAAATATCTATTTAAACAAAAAAAAATGTATAGCAAGCCAATCAATTGCAAATAAATCATTGAAAAATAGTTCATTTAGCAAATTTCTTATCACATATTCAACTTTTAGAAGTATTAAATTAATGAGAATGTAGCATCCATTATCATTAAGTATGTTACAAATGCATGTAAATGAGAAGTCATAAGAAAAAATTAGATGGATAATAAGCAATAATATAATAGTGTTTGGCACATGTAGATCTTTTAATAGAGATGTAAATCTATGTTATAAGAAAATTTAAACCAAATATGTTCTTGACCAGTTATTTTAACAAGCTTAAATCTTTAATAGCTTCAAAGATTTATTTAGAAAGATTGAAACAAAAAAAATATTCAAGAAATTAAAACTCAAAGCTATTCATTGTGAAATTTACGATCAAGACATGAAGTTTAATACTTGAAGATTTGTTTATTATTACATGCATATGATGATTATTCAAATAAAAAATGTTGTAATCATAAAACAATAATATAATAAAAAGCTCTATTAAAAAATAAATTATTATTTTATATGATGATTATTTTTGTGAAAAATCATGATAAAGAATGAAAGCAAATTTTTGAATTTAGTAAATAGTTCAACAGATATTCAAACAATTTATTTTGCTTATAATTATAAATTCCAATCTGAGCAACAATTTCATGTTAACAATAATTTTAAAATTCATTGATGATTTACTATTCAATCAAATGGATATCATTGATTATGCAAAATTCTTAACAAGACCACAGTTTTTTAACTTAATTTTGTAATTTTTTTATAATTTGAAACAAACTATATATTTCCATTATTTGAGTTAAAATTTTTTTAAACCGTTGCAAAGCAAAATTTATTAAATGTATAAATGAAAGATAACATATGATGACATTATTGTATAATGATTTATATATTAATCATTTCAATGTTTGAATTATTTAGCATATGAATAATGCACTATATAATTTTTAAATAGCATATAATTTAATTATGTGATTATTATATGTTGTAAAAAAAAGCTTATAATTTTAATATTTTAGTTTAAAAAATCTTAATATAACAACTATTGAAATTATTACAACAACATTGCTTCATTGTATGAATTTCAATCATTTTTCCATTGAAAAATACATATCACCAATATGTTTTTTGGATATGTATAAAAATATAAATTATCATTAATTATTAATCTCAACATCATTTTTCAATATTTTCTTAAATTGCTAAACTCCAATATCAAAATCTTCCACCACCTTTGTTTGCTATAAATTCAAACTTCAAACATATTTAAGTTTGAAGTTAGAATGATTTTAGAGAAGTTTACCTCATTTCAAATCTCAAAGGTGATATTTTTCAAATTTCAAGGCAATATAAAATATAAATCTTTGTGTATCAATTTCATCACAAATTTTAAAATTCTTTATTGATATGAATTATGAATAAACATGTATTTATTATTCATTACAGTTAAAAATATTTGAATTATTTTATATATTAGTTTTAAATATAAAAAAATTATTGTATTAAAAACAGATATAATTCAATTCAATACATGGAAATGATAGGCTTAGGCGAACGCGGTTGCATGACAAATATCTGCATTGATTGGCGCTAAACTTTCGGGCAAAGGAGGTAGTTTCTCAGAAGATGGAGAAAGGATGTGTAAAGCTTGAGGAGTCGTTAGGAAACCTCTTATTACCGACCAGCTGGTTCACATAAGTTCCATCACGCACCTTCTAGAGAAGTTCATACGCCCTTGCAGCCAAAATGTCCCACACATACTTTCACAAAGCGTACCGCGATGAAGCGTAAAAACCCTTCACACCCGACAAAGTCTGCATAGAGTTTTTAGACTCTTCCACCATTGTCTCATTTTGCGATCTCCTTTCCAAATAAAAGATTGCAAGCTGCAAAACTATTCTAGTTTCTTTTGCTTTATTTCCTATGTACGAAGTCCATTTGTTCATCTTTTCTCTACTTCAATAAAATCTCAAAAATTGGCTTTGAATTATTTTGCAGAACAGCATGAGGACAAACAAGTTGTATGTTTATTTTTTTATATAAAATATAAAAAATAATCATAAATTGTAAAAGAATTGATAATTCAATTCAAAGGTATATGATTAACAAAATTCAAAAACATGAATTAAAAAAGGTGAAAATTATGTGATCTACATTTTATACTCGTAAAAATTTATTTTAAATTTATTTTATATATTATATTAAAATATATAATATATTTATTGCACTTAGGAATTTATTTGATCTCCAATTTTTAATGCTTGATAAAATTATACCCTTTCAATTTTTACATATGAGCATTATAAGTATCTAAGTCAGTAAAATTTGTAGACAAATCATACACCTACATCAAAAAAATTAGTTATTAAATAGTTAGAATTAGTTAAAAATTGTATATAGGCCTGCTTATAATATGCGATCGCCTAAATTACCTAAATTAGTATAATATAGGCGCCCTTTCAGAATTAGTTTAGGCGGTAGGCACATTTAGTCGAGATTGAAGGCCAATGAGTAAGAATTTGAAATTTTATAAGTGTATGTGTATGACCGATCAATTGATTTATCGGTAATCAAGATGCAAGGTCGCTCCTTAGTTATCACAATTTATAATTGCCTCAATCTGCATATACCGGTTAGTTTGCAACACACCTTCAAGTACAAAGTCTGAAATACTCTTGAGGTGATCAACTTTTACCCACCTCAGAACAGACAAGTCAGACTCCATTGTAATAGTGCTCGGAAGTATAGATGCAATGCAGCGGCAAAACTCGACCAAGTTTGGTTTCTAAGCACTAATAAGGTCCAAGCATTATCAAATGATGTCTTTTGATTGCAGCCATGAATGCTCATAGCACAAACTCCTTGCGATAAACTCGAAGAATAGTTTTATGCTCATTGGCAATGACATCTATTTGTGTAGCCAGTAACGATGCTGAAGAAGAAAGCTCTGTTTACGAGCCTTGCCAATGCTAAATATGATATTTAGCATTATTGACCTCGATGTAGCCAAGACTTGTTTTTCCACATTGAACTTTGGACAATCTAATGGTATATGGCCATGCTTTGCAAGGTACCTAATCTAGACGCCTCACAAGAATTATTTTAGGTAATTTAAACGCCAAAAATTCTAAGAGCCTATTATAAGCAAGCCTGGTTATATATGATAGTTATTAGTCAGAATGATTTTACTAAACTAAAATCATGTTTTTAAATAAATTTTTATATATAAAACATAATATATTAATTATAATAAATAAATGAAATTTTGAAATAAAAAATTTATAAAAAATATTTCATTTCTAATAATTTGAAACATGAAAAAAATTAGGAAAAAAATGATTTTTTCCAAAATTTATGAAGAAATTGGATTTTTAAAAGCATTCATTACATGAAATGTGTATTCTGCTTTTAGTTTAAAATAAGAATCTATCAATTGTAAAAATTAAATATTTTTTTCCTTAAATCAAGAAAAAATGAAAGTTTCTATGTCAAAAAAAATATAAAGTAACTTGATTTGATTGAAATTTTTTAAGAAATTTAAAAAATTTAAAAATTTTATTTGGATTAGTTGGATGATAATAATATTATGTTTTTAATGATTTATTACAAATTTATATTTTTGAGTATTTGAAATTTACAATGTAATAAAATCAAATATATTAAATTTTGTTATTTTGATACTTTATTCATTGATATCACTTTTTTAGTTTGTTAACACGTTTTTTTTAAATATATATTTTATTTTTATAAGAAATTGTATTAATAATTATTTTCATATGAATATTTGTAAAGAAACTTTAAATTTTTTACAATAAATAAAATATCATTTATTCACTCTGCCATTCAAGTGCGGATGAGTGTGGAATAGAGCGCATAGGCGTGACTAAGTATTCTAATGATAGTTGATAAATATCTTCATTTTTTTTGGAATAATTAATACATAATCTAATTATAGCTTTTTTATCACTGATAATAATTATAAACAGTCATATTGGATTCTAAAAACTTCATAACACTCATCATGTGATTTTATCACATTTTTCATGAAAAAATATCAGTAACATTTAGGCTTAATAGCAAAATATATCTTGCAAAAATAGTTTAAATATTTACATACATCTGCAAAATTTTGTAACATTATCAAACTTTACAAATTAATGTAAATAATGTAGTCAATGTAACCGAATTTGTTGTTGTATGCTAATTGTAAATGAAATTCATGATTTAAAAGTCACTTCAATATTTTAAATGCTTTGAAAATATGATGATGTTAAAAAGATAGTATTCGAATGAATTGGCAATGCAATTCATATCACTCAATTATTATAGTTAAAATTATCACCTCACAAATGATGTTCTGAAATGAGATTTATATAAAAATTGAAAATAAAGTTCTGTTTTTTAATCACAATGAAAAATAATAATTGAAAAATAAAAAAAATTGGTATATATTTGAAAATAGTAATTTAAAATAATCTAAAACAAAAAAAAAAAATTAGTTTAATTCAAACATGTGTTATGTTTGAAAATGAAATCTAAAATAGGAAAAAAAACTATTTATAAGTAGGATTGATAAAATAAATATTTTTTCCTACGTATATCAAAAATAAAATTTACAAGATTCAAGGTTTTGCTTGAATATATGATTACATGATCTATCACAATATGAAATTGATTACAGACTCATGATGTTTATTGATATAAAACTATTCAGACATGCAATTGATTATTGACTAGTAACATCTACTGTTGTATTGTTGATTGTGAATAATTTATTAACTATTATTCATCTATTTGACATGTGAAATTTTTTCTAGAATAAAACCAATAATTTTATATTTAAAATTATTATTTATTTATTTTAATGTTGTTAAAATTTTAAAAATTATATTATTAGTCTCATTATTTAAGCATGTATGAAATATGAATATAAAATATTGATGAAAGATAAAATATGTAAAACACTCTAACAACTTGTGGACTTCATTAAAAACATATGGACATTAACAATCAATTTGAGATAAAATTTGAAATAAATAATTTAATTCAAATAATTTATGTATTTAAAATTATATTTTGAAATTTTGTTTATGTTAGTTGGTCACGGATATAAAATATGTTACTACAATATAAGCATAGGGGGCGTGTGTGTGTGCCTAGCAAGGGGGGGGGGGGGGGGGGGGGGTGGGTTGGGTGTGTGCCTAGCAATTCCCTTGAACTAATGAAGATCAGCAATATAGTTCATTCATTTTCTACATCTAAATTTATGGAAAAAAATTTGAAAGGTTCTAGAAATATTCTGCCATAAATTTTACATGTGGATAAAAATTGATAAAAAAATACTCATATTGTCTTTATATGTGATTTTGCATTATCAAAATTTATCTATATTTTTTATAAGTTTGCAAGAAGAATAATATTGTTTTTTACTGAGTATTTATATAGATTACAGAATATGCAGAAAGACGTAAGTCAAAGAATATATTGTTATGAATTAATTTTGATTTGTAATTGATCTTATTTAGATTAATTAAGGTCTATCAAATCTGTTAGCTAATGCTATATAACAAAAATGAACTTAAATTTTTGCAACACGGATAATATATAGGTCTTGTACAACAAAATATTGTCTATATGTGAAGGTAAACTCGTTGACAATCAATCAACTATTTTTTGATTCGATTATGTTGCAAATGCATGTAATTGTGTATGAAAATCAAGTTAGAGATATATGATTCTCTATCGCCCCAAGATTTCATCACTTGGTATATTCACAATATTTGCTCTCATTCCGTAAGAATGAGCTTGATTTGTTTTTTATAGTTTGGAAGAAACATTACATCTAAAAAATCATTAAATATCAGGTAGCATGTAGTTGGCTTAACATTTTAAGTATGACTATGAATATATAACCAAAATCTAAAGATGAATACAAGAATATTCTATGAAATTAATGATTTGGAAAACTTCATATTTTTTTTTCAAATGTGATCGTCAAATTGTTCATTTTATCATAGTACAGCATTTAATGAACATTTAAGGGAAACTAATCGGAATGTCTATTATATTGTGCATATATGACAGCCCATTTTGAAATGATTTCACCTTCCCCATTTTTTCTTCTTGGCAAGAGGAAAAGCTTATTTATAATATACAATCACTCCGTTCAGATTCGCTATACTTTCACACCAGCACCAATGATCACCGAAAACAAAAATTTACACTTGAGTTGACCACTGCCTCTGGATAATACTCGGGTCAGTTTTGATCATTCTCCCTACTTATGCATAAGAAAACAATGAAAATATTACTTTCTACAACTGGATTTGATATCAACTATTAATATAAGTAGAGTTTTGGACAGCAAACTCCAATGTTAGTGGTGACTTTAGAAGCGATCCAATTTGATCCTCACATAAATATGGCAGGAGTCTAGACAGGACTATTATTGCAAACGAGAGTTGCTAGCAATGCTCAATCTGTGTAAAAAAGAAAAAGAAACTCTTCGATTTTTGTACTGTTCAATGATAAAACAGTGGAACTAGTTTGTGTTGATGATGAGCTTTTGAGCTGTATTTGTTGGCTCCATCAATACATGAACAAGGAGACGAACAAGGCCCCTACCGAGGTCTGCGGTATTTAGTGGGAAGAATATTCTGCACCTGGGCTCCAGAAGGAAGGGCAAGAGGCAGAGTTGGACGAAGGAGGTGATCGATCGATCGATCAATCAATCGAGCTTCGAAGGAAGTGCAGAGGAATCGCCAAGAGGTACAAATCCGCAGCCTCGAGCAGCGCCCGTCGTCCGTCGTCCAGGTGACAGGAGAGTAGGGAGCAGCAGCGGGGAGCACGATGCAGGCCGCTTTGCGATCATCTGCTATTACCGTGCGGAACGCCTTCCTACAGCATTTGCGCCTGACTGTGGCGGCTACGAGTCACAGAGTGCCCATTTTGCTCGATAGCAGAGTTTCCTTCTCCAGTGATCATGGCACCTACTTGGACAAGTCCTCGGTCACTGATCGCATCCTTGAGCTAGTGAAAAAAATGGAGAAAGTCGATCCTGCGAAGGTTTGCCTTGCTCACTCTTTTCCGCCTCTTTATGAATGAATCCTAGGGCAAGGTGACTGTTCAAACCCAAATTGTTAGCATGTCCTCGGCTGTCCACGATTCAAAATTCTCGCCCTTATGATCCTTGTGAAACGATGGCCGATTCATGCTTCATACCCGTCCTTGGGTTTATTGTGTGGAATGGCGAACGCTCCATCCATGGCACTTGTCTGTTTTGAAGGTTACTCCAGATTCCATCTACAATCCCAGTATGCTCTCCGCATCCCTTTTATGATATGGTGTTCACAGGAGATTTCCTTGCTCAGATCAGCAAGCTGACCAAGTGACCATGCTCTTATTGTCGCTTCGTTTTTGGCAGGTGACTCCACAAGCTTCTTTTCAAGGTGATCTAGGTCTTGACAGTCTTGACACTGTGGAGGTCGTGATGGCCATTGAGGAAGAATTCGCACTTGAGATCCCTGACGCTGAAGCTGACAAAATATCCTCATGTGCGGAAGCTATCGAGTATGTTGCAGCACATCCACGGGCCAAGTAGGAGAATTCAAGCTGTTACATGATCCTTACAACATTTTTCGGGCTTCTTTCCAGTCAATTAGGTGTTCCAAGTCCAAGCAACTGGTGTTGCTGTTTTAATTGTTAGCGATCGGCAGAAGATCCCTCAACTGCCTCAGCATGCAGAGTGCTGGTCTTTTTGGTCGATCGAATCATATGTAGGCAAGTGCGCGAATTTGACAACACCATGGTTTTCGCCAACGATTATTGACAGTGAAGGATGTGAAGTTCAGAAATTTTGCTCCATTGTTTATCTTTTTTGGGTTGTATTCCGTTCATTTGACTATATTTTCCAGTGAAGAAGAGAACAACCCTTTGCTGTGATTGTTCTGCTAGTTTTATATGGTATGCAAGATGTGGGCATCGCTCCTTGACCACTCCAGGTTTGTGGAGGACTGGAATTCTTCCATCAGCTATTTCTTACCTCTCATGAAAACACAGTGCATGAGAACCTGCTTATCTCGCTGATCTTAGCAATATAAACACTTTGATTAAAGTTGCAAATTTATAACACATACTGACCAACCTGGTCTGCAAGCATTTATGCTATATTTGTCTGGTGCACTTCTCGGAACTTTTGTTGCCCACATGATAATTATGGGCAACAAACATCTCGCACCCTCTTTTGTACCTCACAGCATTACAAGCTAGTATTGAACTTTCCTTATCTATTGATCTCTCCGTGTCTGCTTTGCGAGGTATTGAAGCAAGCAGATTAGTAGTTGGCTCAGCCACGTTTCTCACATCAGTTGGTGTCAACTGCTTCTTCCTTACTGTTCGAAAGGCTTGATTTCAGGGTGCAAATCTGGTGCATCGTGTCCCTCTCACTCTAGTTTGTGACATTCCGGTACTGCGAAGTTGTGATAACGATTTTCTGTGGGCAGTGCCTGTCGCAGGAAGGCTACCGCTTTCTGATTCAGACATGGGTAAATTGTTCTCGTTCATCCATGTGTCTACTTAAATGGTAGATTGCTTCTTGTTCCCATTACAGGTTTGGTGTCTTCGGCCGAGTTTTGAAAACTGTCCACTGGGAAAGCAATCATGAACTTGAGCGTGCCGTCTAGCAGAGTCTTCAGTAGTATGGGCAGTGCGACTTTTTGGCCTCGTTATGCCAGATCCGTTATCATGGATCTGAAAGCTTCTCCTTCGTTAACACTAGGTGAACGTTCTTCAGGGCAGGGTCTGTCCTTAAATACTCGTCAAAGGTGTCATGTCCGAACCGTCACTAAATTATTTCAATTTTTTCATCCTACTCTTACCTGTACATTTGCATTCCCCGTTCTTGAGTCATGGTCTGAGAAGGAATTATGTGGGCCGTGAGGATTATTTGTGATTTAGTCTGTTTGTACGCCTCTAGTTTAGTTCAGGCTAGCCCTCAGAGTCAATGAGTTTCAAAAGCTGCGACTTGACAAACTATTCTACTTACAGAAAATGACACTCAAGTATTTTATCGTGACTTTGATTTTGTTTCGTCAGGGCTTCGAAGTTATTCATCTCCTGACAGTTATGGTATTATAGGAATTGGTTGTTTACATGGCACATGGTTGAGCTGAGTAGTTTTCTACAATGTTTATGATCACATTCACAAAAAATAGACAACATATGAGCACACCTATACAATATTTTTATGAACTGCATCATTGTGGCAAGGCATTGCTTCATTAATTTTTATTCACTAAACGGAGAATCAAGTATGATAACCTTGTAGCGACCAAAGTCTCGGGGGAATCGCCTGATTGCATATATTGGTTGATTCAGACTAAAGTTAGTCAACTCTGAAAGAACGTTCAGTAAGTATCCACTGAAAGACGCACAATTTGTTGGTATTTGGTATATGAAACTATGATTTGAAGTATTTTCTTCATCTTCCGTGATTTTTTGATTTGATACTTACTTTGTCTTAGTGGTGTGGTTGGAGTAACAATCAACGGTGTATAGATTGAGATAATGAAGAAAGAATTTCAAGTAATGATTGAAAGTTACTTGTCTCTTGAAGATAAGAACACAGGTAAGACAAGATTCGATTAATCAAATTACTTGATTGGACCCCTAGGAAACTCAAACCTCTTGATGGGACTCAAGAGGTTTCATTTTACCCTATGGTACCCAACTCGACAGCCATCGAACATTCATACCTTACTGCAAGCATGTATGGTTAGACAAGAGATAAAACGAGATGCAAGAGAAGAACGGTACACAGAGACTACTTTTTGTTTGTTCTTCGTCCTATCAATCGATCAATTAGTCATCAGGTCTGCGTCCTTACTCAAGAGTTTCGGTGACCGAGTACCGGCCAATGTCCGAGAAAGCAACGGACACCATCATGAGTCTGAAGTACTCCCGATGTGGTTTTGCCGGGATTTCATCTTCCTACCCAAAATTACTTTAGATCGTATTGGAACATCATTTACCGTAAGGTGGGCTCCAGTGATCGTCGATGGTGTCCCATCAAGTAAAATAAAATCTGTTGGTTCCCATCAAGTGTTTGGAGTTTACCCAGGGTTGCATCAAGTAATTTTCTTTAAATATAAACCAAAAATTGTTAGTATGCATTATAGTCATGTATTATTTTTCATTTGTTTCTTTTGCAGATATTTAGTTTTAGATTTAATAAGCGCGTGAAGTGAAATTTGGTCTATTTCATATTTCCTTTACAGGACAAATTAACTTGACAAATGTGAATTTTCAATTTCACATATTTTTACGCATATAACTTTTAAGTTGAATATGACATCAATATAAATAAAATATTAAGAAAATTGTATAATTTGGATCTATTTTTAATTTATTTGATTATTTGATCAAAGTTATTAAATTTGTTCTTTCTTTCTGTCCTATAGAGAAAATTTCTTAACCAATATATAAAATTGAATAATCTAAAACATATGTTAATATTGTACAAAATATTGATTGTGCATTATATCAAGCATAAATTTGTATTTTAATTTAATAATAACTATATGTAGATATGTAAAACCAACAGAGATTTGATATTCAGAAATTTGTGTACTGAATTGAATACTACTTTTGTAGTCTTGTAGGTTGCGAGTACATTTCAAAAATAACGGCAATCGCTATAATGCCAAGGTGGATGACGTGGCATTGGAGGTTGGATTTGGCCACACCAATGCTAGATTATCAACTCAACTTGTGATATTATGAAATATCAGTAAATTTCACAATTTTGATATTATCTTTCTAGCATTTTTTTATTTTCCAGATCATAAAATTAATTCCAAATGAGAAATGAAAAAGATAAGAATGTAAATACATGTTAATTAGATTGATAATTTTAATTAATTTTTTATATCAATTTTATCCAATATTTATTGATATAAATCTGTTTACTGTGATTTAAAAGTAAATAGATATTTTGGATTAGTAAAAATACAATTTGAGCATAGCTATTAGTTTATAAAATAGTAACTGAGATTATTTACTGTATATCTAAGATCAAATGTGGTCAAAGTTTTATGTAATATTGATAAAAATCTTCAATCACATACTTTCAATGCATGCATTGTATACTTAATGTAATCAAAATGAAAAATTTATACTTGAGGTTCACAAATATTCCATTAAATTGAAAAGTTGACATAAATCCAATATTTTAAAGGTTTTTAAGATTAAATTTATATAAAATATTTTATCAAAAAGTATTTTCCATGTATGATATATGCAACATGACATCAGCTATTGAAATCAGGATTTAGAAGATATGAGTTTATTGTTAAGAACATTCCAGATACTCAGAACAGTTAGGCATTCATGGATCTCGATGAACGAGATTTTGTGATTGCCACTAAACAAGTATGGACGAATATATATATGGACGAATGTAAGTGGAATTCGAGAAACATCTTGAATACATGTCGGCAGTGTTTTTCTTGTGTTGAACACGTCTATGTTGAAGATAGGATCCGATGTTGACATGGGGCTGTGACATCTTCGTTCAAAATTGTTCACTTCAAAATGTGAAGTGAGGCTTCATTGTCGTTAGTTGTACATTTGATATTTTGTTACCACACGTAAACAAGCTACGATAATGAAAATTATATACTATTAGCACTTGATTTCTGTCACCAAGATTCGCTTAACGATATAGTTCGGCTCCTTCAAACTACACAACGTACACACTTGAGGCACGAATAGTCTGCGGGACTTGCACGGATGACACGTGCATTATAACTATTTCAGAATCTTAAGCGTGGATGGTCTTCAAACGAGGAATCCTTCATCAGAAACATTGGACTTACCGGATGTTGAGTTCACTGATCCAACAAGTACTCTGGCTTATCTTCGGATAGAGTTCGTGTACGGCTCGTACACTCCTAGTGAACACTTCAATTGTTCTAAGGTTTTTGACCAGATTGTTTTCACCCGTGAAATCAAACTCTTGTAATGGAGGCAGTTGACTTCCTGTCCTAGTGGGATAGCAACCAGAATTTGAAATTGGCTGAAATACGAGGTGTAGGGTTAGTTTCGGGATTGCCTCGCTTTCTCTCCGAAATTGCAAAAATTAGGCAAGATGTGGATCATTTGGCTCCATAAGGAGAAAGAATTATCTAATATTAATTGACTGAACAGCCCTTTCGACTGGTGACCAAAATTCAGGTCATTCATCGAAGGTTCATTCTCGACATAGCCCCATGAATGAATCGCTGAATTTAAAGAGAGGGCACACTTATCGCCATCTCATCCGATGTTTCTTGAACATTCTGTCTTCAATTTCTTCAGTTCCTTCAAATACTCGACCTGCAACAAAAATTGTGATTTAGTGAACAAACTCAGCACATATGCGACTATAATATAATAAATCAACTTCAACTTTTTGACGGAGATGAGGATTCAAGTAACACTGAATAACAGTGAAAAGCTCTATTCTAGGTGTCCTCGTTAATGTCGGAAAAATCATATAAACATGAGGAAGAAGCATGAGACAGCTATCATTGTCTGGATGCAAAGCTGATAAGGATATTTGCCTGACTTACCTCGCAACTACTGTGGACGTACTCAGTGAAATCTTTATCGCAATCTCCATCATGGACCTCCAAAAACTGAGCCTCTAGTGACCTGTAATAGCCAGTCTCGAGATCCGCTCCGCTCGCCTGCGGAAAAAATGTAATTAATGCGAATTTAACCAAGAACATAAACCCTCGGCTCTGCCCTTATGGTAATTCTTGTTATCATGATAGAAAACGCGTCCCAATGAGTACAAATATCTGTCGTTGAGAGCAAACAACCAAGACCAAGTCGTTTATGAACACGTATGTCCCGACGGTCACCACACTGGAAGTCGGTTGAAGAAGAAGAAAGAAGAAGGGACCACATGGAAAGCGTCAAGGAGCAACATCTTACCCCTTTGAGCAAAAGCTTTTCAATTCTGAGGTCTTCAATATCTGGAGCCAGGTAAATATCGTCAACACGCCTGACATATCCTGGCTTCTCCTGAATGTGAACAGGACTTGGGGGTACTGAGAGTTGTTGTGAGACACCATAAGTTTGAGACATTAATGCCCGACGTTGAAAAATTCGAAGTTTTGCAAGATGAATTTTGTGCAGCCGCCTGTATACATTGATAAAGACACATTAGCGACGTTGTAATCATACTGGGTTAGAGGATCCCAGAGAACAGATCATAACAACCTATAACAATAACGCAAATGACAAAAAGGTTGAACGAACGTTCTCACTAGCATTGCCAGGCCACAAACACGGGGTCTACGGTCTTCAGGCTGAAACAGGTTCTTCACAGAGATATGAACATGACGCAGCGAGGCAATAACAAAAACTCTGAATCTTGACTCAATCTCGACGTTTGGAAGACATACCTCTTGCGTGCTTCCTCACTTGCCACAAAGGCAACGGGCAACACGTTCGCAGACCCATTGCGCTCTGGTACTGGAGCGCCAGTCGTTGACTCCGGCGCTCTAATATCTGGCAGATCTTCCGAAGTCTTTCTACGCATATCTGGCCGATCACCGCGGCAATCATCTCTAGGAAAAGTTTCATCCTCATCATCTAATTTAACTTCGACTAGCTCTGACTTTTGAACAGAGTGAAAATGTGCTCTGCTAACTGTCAAGAATTTTGCTGGTCTACCGTCAACTTTTTCTTGGTTCACTGTGCTGGTTTGCCTATGACCATTCAGTGCCAAAGTATTCTTCGCGTTTAGTAAAAGTGAATCTGATTTCCCACAAAGTAAAGTTGAAGCTCTCTTTCGGGGAACAACTTGACCAATGCACGTAGAGCCTTGATTGGCTCCTTTCTGCAACTTATGCTTTAGTTCCAAGTACTGTAACAAAAAGTCGAGAGATAAGCATAATTTAGAACACATGTTGTGAATGGTGAAACATGTGGCAGCCAAAAACTTATAACTTATAACTTAACCTATAAGTTAGAAATATTGTGAGAACTTTCCGTCCATATACAAATATTTTGTATCACAAAACAAAACCTAAACCCCTCTTCCTTATACGGAATAAAAAAATACAAACACGTACACACACACCTGTATAATGAAAGGCAGGTGGCGCAACACAGTTTTCGGAGTGATATCAGCGCCCCATGGTAATTTTTGAGCAATAACCACTAAGGAATTCTGCATACAGACGACACATACAACAAGGACACAAAATCAGCAAAGTTTTCCAGTATTAGACGACTTCGGTTGAGATGTTAGTTGGACATCTTGCATCGTGCCCATTTGTAGACGTCCAAGAAAAGATTTTGCATTGAAATCTCATTATTCTTTTGATGAGTTCACCAAGTCGCTCACAGTTTGAAGCCTCATCTACGGAAGTCCAACAAATGTATGATGAAGTAGCTCTCATGGCAGTAAGTTAAGAAACATATTCTAGATGGAAATGACCTAATGAAAGCTTTAGGCCGCTATCTTCGCATCTGAGGGGAACTTGATATTATAAACTCTAATCCTCAGTTACTACTCTAGACAGGAGAAGTGAACTGCCTGAAAGAAAAAAGGGAGATGACAATTGAGCAATTTCTTGAACAAAGCTCTAAGTACTGCATTTGTACAGACGAAAACGAAGAGCACAATGCTGAAGAAAGTGCAAGCTTGATACAAGGTGACAACCTTGCATTCTTTATAGCGCATCCTTGTTGCCCCAATACCAGCATAAAGCTGTCGAGCCACATCAGAGATATGAACTGAGATCTGCATTACCAAAATAATACAGGTAACTTTTAATCTGGAGCTCCCGTACGAAACCAACTTTTAAACAACTCCCAAACCAAGCGGATTGTTTGCTGTGCAAATACCTATGTTCAACTGATACAGAAGCATTCCTAAAGTTCAAAATGCATAACGAAGAAGCACTAAAGGCGGGACAATACCTTATTTGCTTCCAACACCAGCTGTAAAACCGCCGCAGTTACCTGTTGAAGAGAGGATTGAGCAAACTTATATGCAATCGATAGAGGGACTCAAAACGTCCATCTCGTTATTATCCACTGAACGACCAGCAAGCCAATACTAGAAACTTCAAAATCCATCATCCTCCACAAAGCTTAAACTGAGAGCAAATCTATCTTATAAAAGTATCCCATTTAGTTCGGTCTGCGTGGAAAGTGCTACAATGCTCTTACAGGCCAGCCATCAAAACAAACCGCTTTACATACCGGCAAAGGCCGACGACCGGTTGTGATGAACCATTGAACAGCATTAGTCAGAAGCATCTTCCCTTGCCTTGCTACTATCCGCAGAGTGTCCCTGCTTTGCTTCTGCGAAGAGAAATCCAAAACCTCGGTCCTGAGACGAGCTCTAAAGTCCAAGCGTTATAGATCACCAGCACAAGCACGTTGAATCATTTATGTTTGGATTTCAATTACTCACAGTTAGGGCAGGAAGCGTGGAGAGAGCGCGCTCCAAGAAGATCGAAAGATCAACGTGAGGCTGCAAAGAAGCAAAATCCCACCTCGTTTTGAGCTACAGCAGTCATTCTTCGTCAAGAAATAGCTGACAGTCAAGGATGAGATCAGTTGTTGCTCAATGCAGTTCACTGAATGGAAGAAGATTAATAATATGACGAAAAAAAAAAAAAAAACCTTCCAGCTAGGCCTCTTAAACATATGAAACTAACCACATGATCGTAGATAAATAAATCTAATCAAGAGCATAGCACTTTCATACATCATGAAATAATTATATTTGAATATAGTCAAAGCCACTCCTAAAAACTTAATGATATGATTCGGTTTCTGTAGGCCTACAACTACTGACATTCCTTCTGCGTTACTCCTGATTTGTGGTTTTGTGAGCTTGTCTACTTAATGATACATTGGTTATGCAGTGAACATGTATTTCCTTAGCAAGGCCAGTGGTTGGTCTAGTACCACGCTGATATTGAGCTTTTGAAGAACTCTATTGTACATTCGGCCGAGCTCCACAACGTCACAGTTCACGCAGTCCTGGCGACACAAATCTGTCAATAAACAGGAGCGCAAAGTGTTGCAACTGGTAAATCAAAAATCAAACGAAGGAAATGGGTAACCACTGACATATTCTACAAAACGGGTCTTCAGATGTATCTTTAAATTCCAGAGTCACAACTTCTAGAGTAGGCCGCAAGCAATGTGCATACTGGGAATCTGACTTTTAATCACAACCTTCAAGGAAGTTTTGCGTGTCCAAACAACGTTCACGCTAAAGTATACCAAGGATGATCAACCTGTAGACTCAACCGTACTCGTGCCTAAGGGGAGAGTGATCAAATATCAGAAACCTTGAAATCAACATTTCTAAATTAAAAAGCTCACCCCTGAAAGCGCAAAGTGGAAAAGGATGTTGACTCACTAGACATGTAACTATGTTCTTTATTCCTAGACTGATTAGTAATTGCTGCATATATCATTCACCACCATGAAGAATTGAGGGGGTGACAGAATACGTACGGCAACTTCCGGTATTGTTAAAGGCAACTGGCTTTGTCTGATGACAATATAGACACAAGCAGCTACCAGAACATCCACCCATCTTCCTGCACCCCAATCTCCATCCACTGTACGCTCCAATAAGTGCTTCACTTCATCAACTTTATCACCTGGAACTCTGAGTTGGCCACTAATGCGCTGTACTTTCCTCAAAGTTTCCAACTGAGAGAAGTGCAAAACAATACGTATTATTATTTTTCTGTCATAGCCTGACGACCATGGACCCGACCTCCTGGTAGACAGGTGTGAGGACTTCAGAAAACATAAATTACCTTTCAATTGATTCGACTTGCTCAATTCAGCACACCAAAACCGATCCACTGGTAAAAGGACAATTGATTGCTTGCCTACATACAGTAAGTGAACAAGATCGGACATAGAACACATAAATCATGACAAATGTGAAATCAAGCTTCTTACGAGAAAATCTGAACAAGATACAGTCAACATGAAGGTCAGCTGGGAGTGATCATTAAACATTTTGCTATCTGCATCTGTGAGATGGGACGAACCCACCCCGTAATCCCCAAACTAAGTAAACCCAAGGTGCATAGTAGCCCACCTTGTGACGTTCGCTCCAGCTTGTGAAGCCTGTGTAAAAGTTATGATTCATTTGGCCCCTCATAAGACCTTTGGCAGCCGCGGCACCACTATCATGTTCGCCAATATTAGTTCCACGGCGCTCAATGACATGGCCAAGTTGAAACTCAGAACCTAATTGTGTTGCGGCTTGATCTCCCATAGATCCACAAGCCTCGCAGGCATAGATGCCATAAACAGCATCCATCACCATACTTGCCTCCCCACATGACTGGCAGCGTTCTCCAGTACGAACATCCATGTCTCAGATACAGGAATCACGCAATCCTCATCGCACAACAAACCGACCAATTTCTCGATCGTCACAGATCTTCACCCAGATCTTCGAGACTGGCCCATTCAGAGGCTGCAGGTCCATCCGATTCCAACTCAGACACTCTCGAATGCAAACCCGCACCGCGACACCGCGATGCCGCCACCGAAGCGCCGGCCGAGATCGAGATCGCCGAGACCAGCAGCAACCATAACGAAACACAAACCGGAGGCCCTCCGAAATGCTGCAAATTGCCCACAATCGCCATATCTATTTTCGCCTGCATTGCGCAGATCGGCCCGCCCATCGCGCGGCGCATTCACTCTCTCGTTCCCTGCACTGGCGCCTGTCGTCATGCCCATCACTCATGGCGCTCGTCGTCGCCCTTCACTCTCCCGTTGCCCGCTTCGTTCGTCGGCACCGGTCCGCTGGCGCTGCCAGCGCTAGGGCTAGAGTTAAACTCTGACCCCACAGACTAACCCGAGGGACCACCGGTTCGAGGACATGTCTCAATCGATACAGTACAGACAAAAATGCTTCCGAAAAGCATCCCCGCTGCATATTTCGTCCGCCAAGTATTTAATGTAGCTCTAAAATACCTCGCAGTCGCTAAAGTAAGTCATCTCTAATGTGACCCCTCTTATTTCACCCTTTCATTGACTTTTTTCTCTTCCCTTTATTTCTTTTCGTGACTCTCTGCCCGTGAGAAACCTCAACTACTGACCTCTATATAATCCTTTTTAAGCATGAAAGGCAAAAAATTCAGAATGATTCAATTTTCCCACGTATTACTAATATAAATATGTATGGGTAATCTCATAAGGATAATTGGCAACATCGAGGAGACTTGAGTGGTGGACACATTTCGCAATGCCGAAAAGCATTGTCTTGCAGTCCCAGCCGGATAATAAATCTCCACGTGAGCATAAGAATTAAGAAGGCAAGATATGACCGGAAACCCGATGCCCCGGTCGAATTCCATGCCTCGGAATTGCCAAGAGCGAGGGAGTAAGTCTAGTTCCACGAGAGCACGAGGATCTAAATAAACATGATCTGCAAACTTCGAGGATCTAAATAATCAATTTCCCGTTGGCTCTTTCTCTTACCCGGAGGTTCGACGATGTACGTACAGTGCCGGTCTTCCACCGAGTACCCGATCGGCGCCGTGGTCGCGCGAGGAGAGACGTTCCAAATGGATGGACGGCCGGTTTAGTCTCGCGACACGTGGGCATGAATCCGACCGAAGTCCGAGGGATGTACATGATGAACGGAGTTCGCGATGCGTCGATGGTTGACCTCGATTCGCAGGTCGCTTGTACTTGTCAACCGTGGCATCAGCCGGTCGTGGAAAAAGGGTTTCCGTCGGCCGGATCGGAAACCCTCATGATTCCTTTACCGGTCTGAGAGTCAGACGGATTTGACGTTCAGACTGTAACCTGTCATTTGGGGGCTCTCCCATCGATCGCATGATCGTCTTTAATTCGACGACTGGAGGATGCGAGCCAAGAATTTCGATGGCCTGGTTCTTGTGAGAGTCCTGCGCTGGGAATCGGAAATCGGAAGCTCACGATGAAGCCCGTGACTCTGAATCAGCTGCAGGAAGTGGTGAAATGTGGAGGCAGACTGCTGGGAATGGATGTGGGAGTGCGGAATGTGGGATTTGCAATGTCCGATCACGAATGCCGTGTCGCCTCTCCTCATAGGTTTTCTCTCGTGCTCCAAAGCTTCACATGAGCCCGCTTCGTTTGCAATTTTGAACCGAATTGTCTGAGTTCTGTAAGCTGGACCGTTGCCATGAGCAGAAAGATTTCAGTTTGTTTCTCCCCTTCTCCCCTTCCTTGATGAAGGTGTGATGTTTTTTCCATCCTCGTCCGCAATTGAGTGCGGATGAAAATTGAGACAGAGCATCTTCTCTGGTCCATCTCATTTCAAGCCCGGGAACGCCGGTGACGACAGGTTCTAATTTGTGGAGCTTGAATGCAGTGTCATCTATCGTAGTCAGTCAACAACGCTCTCAAACATCGTCTTGCTGGATGACTTGGTAAGTGCTGCATGCGGTCGTTGATTCCAGGACGTACTGTGCATTCAATCGTCAGACCACTTGATCTTCGGTCCTTGAAACGTTCTCGATCTTTTCGCTAAGCAAATTGGCCTTTCTGTTCGATCGTCTGAACAGGTTCGGAAACATTCTATAAGAGGCCTTGTAGTCGGGTACCCTCTGGAGTTAGCAGGACATCGTAGCAATCAGGTGATTTGCTGCTGTCTTCAGCTCGTTTCCGTCATTCGAATCTTTTCGAGTGATAGGCTGGTTTGGGGTGATGGTAACTAAGAAGAATGAATGTGGTTGTCAAGAGCGCGAATCATGAGCCAAATGAAGAGCTCGAAGCATTGTTTACAATCTTACACCACGTGGAAATTCGAGACATTTACACGTCCCTAAATGGAACAAGATGTTCAGGTTCTGCTGTCCATAGCTCGCGAAATTTTGTACTGGTGATTTCTCCATCCACCAGCAGCGACGATCACTCAGAAGAGCGGGTCTCCGTGACAAGCTTAGGTCTCAGATGTCCTGCTAACTTCGTTCTTCCGTGAAACAGGAACTTATGGTGAAATCTTTCATTAGTGAGCTACAGCTAAGTGGCAGGTTTCAGAACCTTCCTTATCTATATTGGGATGAGCGTCTCACGACCGCGGTGAGCATGTGTACTACTGCTTCACTCGACATGAATCTTTTATGTGTTTGGAAGTGAAATCTTCTCTGAACATGGCTAGAAAGCAGCATCTGATTGTCTGAAGAGTATTTCGATAAGCTGCTGTTGAATTTGCAGGCTGTGACCAGAACATTGAGCGGACTGCAAATGATAGGGCACCAGAGAAAAACCATCCTCGATAAAATGTCTGCCCTTGGCATTCTCCAGGTATGTCTCGAGATCTGGACTTTTTCTTTGAAACTGTGAAGATGCATTCTTTTCACACAATTTGCAGTCGACAACCCGAATTGTACTTTTTCATTGATTGAGCTTGTTGCGGACACCCGTGCTAATACTGGTGTAATCTATCGTGCGATCATGTGCTTCAGGATTGTATGGATAACCTTTGGCGGCTTGATCGTGATGCTAGTCAATGCTGACTACTCCTCGAATGAAGCTAGACGGCACGTTTCTGAGCTGAAGAATTAACCACTTGCCGTGTACATATGTTCTGTCCATCACGTGGGCGAAATCAGGCGAGAATGGTAGAACAATGGCGAACAATAATTCCAGATCATTTTAGCTTTTCAAATCTTTTCAAATTAGTTTAGGTACGGATACCAATGGTTAGAGGAACATGAGCGAACTCTTCGTGTTCCACTCCTCATTGAAATCATGCGGAAGCATGTGTTCAATGAGGAGTGGAACAAGAATGTCTGTGATGTCTTGAAATGTCTGTGACTACAGAGATGTCTTGTTTCAAGAAGTTCCCCTTCAAAGAGTACAATTTAAAAACTCAGCGGAAAAAGAGAGTAATGTGTGCCATCATCAGGGTATTTCTCAAAAGTTGTTTACCTCGTCTGTTTGTGAGATGAGGGAACTCAAACAAACATACATGTAACTACAATGATATACACCTCGTATCTAAAACAGACAAACACATTTGCTCGTGTCTTTGAAAAATCCTCGCAAGTTTCAACAATCTTCAGACACCTTCAGCAGAGAGCTGCACTCCGAAACTAAGTTATTGATCGTTACACTCGCGGTTCAGTCAAATGGGTGATGGCATGTAAATGACCCCAAATAAAACGGTGTCCTAATCTGATACGATGTTCTCGAGAACAAAGTAGAGAAAATCTCACATGTCAGGTGAGTCTCCTAAAACTAACCAAGACATAAAAGCGTCTTTTAGACCATTACATAGCTCAAGAACCCATATAAGCTGCCGCTCGATTTGCTGCTAGCTTCACTGTTCAGACTACCGTAGTTTTTCTTCAGGTCTATCGACTAAAGGATGGTCTCTACAATGAATCACTTACCGAAGTGGAAAAAAATTCTTCAACGTGCAACACGCTCGGCTGCTCAGACAGTGAGATCTGAAAAAAGAGAGCACTTTTGTTCAGCTACTTCGAAAGTGAATGCAAGACCTCACATTCCTATTTACTTGTCATGACCTGTGTAAGCAGATTGAATAATCGTACAAGACAGTGCGTGATATGTGAACCTTCTCGAGTATCTACCGACACCATCTAGCCTTCGTCAACATTTTCCCAATCAGTCGAATTTTACCTTGGAGGAAGTGGCGAGGAAAACAAGAGAACAGTGATCATCTCTGCATATTTTGAAAGCGTCGAAGTATCAATGTACTCGTGTCTAAATATCGTTGCGCGCAGTTACTGAGGCAGCTCACTTCACCAGAGCTGAACTTGCTGCCCGGAGCGTAGGTTATGCACTTCTCCCAGCATACATCCGTGAGCTTGCCCACGAGTTCATTGAGCACAGCCTTCTGCTTCTCTTGCTGATAACCATGCAACAAAAACTTCATTAAAGTAGAATTCAACGAAATCAAGGTGTCGCAATACGCTTGGCTGCCTCTAATGTATTCAAAATGCCATACAAAGGTTCCAGAAATCAAGGACTCCGAATCAGCAACAACGAGATGTGGCCTGCTGTTTAGCTCTTCAAACCCAAGAACAGTCAGCTGATACCCTACATTGAAAATTTTCCAATTCTCTAAAACAGTGTGAGACAAGAGTTGAGGTGTTAATGTCTGTCTTCGTTAGAATTTGACAGCACACTGAAGCAAGCCAACAGTGACCTTGTCTCGTCGTCGCTAAGGGAGAAAATAATAAGCTGATATGTTACGAGGAGCAGAGAGAAGACATTTCGGCTATCTCTACAAGACACAGTTCTCATCTCCATCTTAAAAGACTGTCCTTTCCGGTCAAACAGATACAATTTCTTTTGGCCATGCTGAAATAAAGCTCGGTGAAGCAAAATCCCCCTGTGATCATCTGATTTTGACGACATTCTCTTCCATGTGCCTTCTTTCCGAATTATTTCCAAGCCGAAATATCAAATAACAATGGCAATCGATCAAAATATATTCCAAATACGCGACAAGGAAAAAATCCTTACACCGCGCCCGTAGCGTCCACGATCTGTCACCTGGTGATGACATCGACTTGGTACAGACCCTTTTCATCTGATCACTCGATCGGAATAAAAGTTCCTCTGTTCCCACAAAAATTATGGCGTGTGACCGGTTGCCAAGCATTTCCGTCTCGAATCGTCAATTGATTAGATAAAATTCAAATTATCGAGGATATTGACACGCTGCGATTCGCAGACACAAGCAGGCAAGGAATTGATGTTTCGACCCACATTACTTTGCACTCGTTTCGAACAATGTTCAAATCAAGTGCAAAAATGTGGTGAGAAGAATTAAAAGATATGAAACAATTCATCGGACTAGCAATTCAAGATGTTCTTGCGAAGACAAGCCCTTCAATTCACGCTCAACCAATGAGGTGAGCCATCCAAACGATGATTCGAATCCACCCAATTACACGGAATCTCCCACAAACATGAGGTAGAGATTGTAACAAACCTCGAGAAACGATTGCAGCTCGGCAGTGCTCCCGGACGATGGGTCCATGATTGTTCACAGTCGCTCGCCCTCCCGTGGACAAGTTCAGTGAGAGGAAAACGAGCGCAAGGACAGGAGCGCGAGAGAAACGAACAAGTGTACCCTAGACTGACTTGCAAACCCTAAAAGGGTAATGTCGCAAGCTCGTGACTATATATGCGTAACGACGGTATCATGTCGGAAATCTTAACCTTTGAGTAACTACAGTCCAAATCGCTCACCTTCAGTCTCCAGTTGTCGTCCTCCCAGAGTCTCGGAGCACGGATGGTACTGCAGTCGCGTGCTCGGGAGGAAGGAATGTTCGACCGAGGACCATGTGGAGTCTCTGGAGAGCGTTTGGGCCAATTTGTGAATTCAACAGCCGACAGAATTCATTGGGATAATTTCGTTGCCTTCGAGATGCGGCTACACGTGCAAGGAAGCATGGAATTTCGTCGTCACCGTGCCGCTGTCAATTTTTGTGCGTCTGTTCAGAGGCAGAGCTTTTGTGGTTGTGTTTCCTGGTTTTGCCAGGCGTGCTGCAGTGAGATGTCACAATAATATGAAGCACAATTGTCTACCTGAGGTTTGCTGTGCGTTTTCCTGCCCTCTTCTGGGCATCCATCACTCATCTGTTCGATAAGGCTTTTGGATACAGTTCTTCTCAGGTCACCGAACTTCCCTTTTGGGCGTTCATATGCTATGCTCTTGGGTCTCCCTGTATCATACCGAAGTCGTCACGCATTTCGCTCGAATGGTTGAGATTTTCCTCTAATTTCAGCATTGTGGCCTCCGGGTGAATTCCACTCGGAGAAGAGAATCATTGGGAAATTGAAGAGGCCATGGATTTCGAAGAGGTGCATGCTATCATGCGCCCGACTGTCACAGCCAGATGCTCTGGCAATCCTTGCATCAAGATAACTTGTACCCGTCGAAGTAGCTGCACTGGAGGTAAATTCTTGATTGTTATTCAGAAGGGATGAGAGAATTTTAAGAATTGATTGTCAACACCGTACATTTCGCAAGTTGTCAGCGAGAGCTCGTTTTCCTAGAGTTACATGACTTTCAAGGCTAACTTGGTGACGAGTGAATGCACGTGGGATTCCAATCTGAACCAACCCAGTCTTCCAAGGTGGCTTATCAAAACTTTGAGAGTGGCACAAAAGTCAGCTCGTCGACATAGACAGCGGAATTAGTCTAAAGATGACACTCCACGGCGCACATCCGTGTACAGTTTGCTTCGTCAACCTGCACAAGCCAGAGTCAATTGGAGAAAAAAAGGTTGTGTAATCCACACATTCTACGGTAAAAGGGTCGAGAATCTTTGCAGTGTGCATGCCTTCCCTAAATATCAGTGGAAATAAGACCAATGTGGTGTACTTGCCGGAGAAAAATATCGTTGGTGGGACCTCGTCCACAAAGGTGAACACATGGTAAAGTAGCAGGAACTAGAGTACTCGTCACACATGATGTCTGCCCAGAACTGTGCTGCCAGGTCTAGAAACAAGAGTGGTGCACGGGGGCACTACTCGTAGTCCAAGTCGGAAGTCACGACTTTCCTAATTCCGCGTAATCTATTCAGTGCCGCACTGAAACCTTGACAATTCCACTTCCTCATCCCTTCTCAAAGCTTTTCCAGGTAGCTAGCGAAACTTAGCTGCAGGGTATTGCTCTTTTAGCCGGGCTTAAGCCCGTGCTCATAACCCTATCCGAATTATGCGGATTTTCTTTCTTACTTCGCCACCTTGAGACGTGTAACAATCGACATGCGGATGGTCACACGCACACGTTCAAGGGTACAATTTCAGGTTCCTAAACGCCGATTCGTTCTCCTGAGCAGCGTTGCTGTATCGAGCTCAACACGAACATTTAATCGATTACGAGTTTAGGACGAAACACGAACGAGGCTTTAAACAAGAGCTCAATATGGTGAACTTGTTTGCCTCTGGCACCGGACGCCGTTCTGACCATCCAGAAAGGTAAACCACACTTTTGTGTGGTCCCCAGACATGCGGACATTGTCCGGGATGTATTGCACACAACTGGACCCGACACAGTCGCACCTCCTCGCGTCGATTTGCGTCACTCGGTCAGCTCCGGACGAAAGTGGACTCGAGCTGTATCGGTTCCAGACACATCAGAAGCTAAAGGGCTAAAAGTCAAGCAACTTTCGACTCTGTCAGGATGCAAACCCCTTGAGGATACAGATTGCCACCTTTTGGGGTCATGTCAGAGAACTATGACAAGAAGATTTTGACCGGAAATCCAAAATCTGCAGCGGATTGTACTGCACATCAAAAAAGCTGTAACCTGCGGGATACGCTGTTGCAGATCGAGAGCATCCTGTGAACCCAGCGTTGGGATACATCAAAAGCCATCGTAAGTGAAAAGTTCGTTGAACGAAGGGAAGTCAGAGCATGCTTAGTGACAGGAAAGGCCGCAAGAGGCCGAGTTCCCATGGATGCGCGATCAAACCTTGCAGTGCTCGCAGAAAGCCTCGAGGAGAAGTGTTGATCGGGAGAAGGCCAGAGGAGGGTGGACACACAGGCGACGATCGATCAAACAATGCAGCTCGCTCGATCGATCGCATCCAACACCGCGAAGTCTTGTGAGCACGATCGCCTGCTCCGGATGCAAAATGGTGGCGAGGAAAAAGCTCTGAACATCGTGAGCGCCGACGACAAGGAAAGCCCTGCCTGAAATTTCCTTCCGTGGGACATGATCCTTCTCCTTCTCCGTCTCATCCTCCGTCTCCATCTCCCGAGACAGTCTCGAGGGTCGGTCATTGGCACGACAATCCTTCAGGCCCGCCGCATCGGACGTCAGCGCTCGTGTCTCGATACGCGGCTGCTCATTTCCGGCTGCCGCTGGAGAACAACGCGACAAGGCTTGTCTGCTTTCCGGCCCTCGTCATAAAATGCGTCCGCCCTGCGGCTCCCGCATAGTACCGATCCACCCTTCCGCCTTCTTCCCGCTGCTCCAAAAAATTCCCTCTCCATAACCTTCCAATTTTTGGAAAAATATATTTTCCATTACATTGAATATAGCATGTATGGATGTATATTTTAATATTAAGAAAACATAAACATATTTAAAATATCTTTAAAACATTTAAAATAGAGACGGTTTTATTTAAAATGTTCTAAAATCATACGATGGAAAGAGAGATCTTTACTTGCTACCTGAATGGAATGATAGATGTCTCAGCATCCATCACTCAACCATACATTTGTCTATTGCACGAAGATCGTAGCAACTTAAGATGATAAATATGAGAAAAATGTATAAAATGTTTTAAATGTCATATTCACATTTAAAAAATTCCACAGTAAATTTCGCACGCGAAACGTGCGAATCGAAAGCATCCATAATAGCATGCTCTATTCTAAAAGAAAGTAAAATAATAATAATGACCTTTTCTGACTTACTCAGAGGAAAAAATGAAATAATTCCAGTTTCGAGGAGCTAAAGCTTCTCTCGATCGTCTAGATGATGGAGCCCGGTCCGTGGACCGGGAATGGAGATGTACGTGGCGAATGTTTGAAGGGAAGTAGGAGACCCGATTGACCGGGCGGGGAATCGGAGGTTCACCGTACGAGATGCGACGCAAGGTCGGTCGGAGTGGCTGCGGTGGATCCGGACCAGATATGAAAGGCAGCCGGCCGTAGATAGCACCGACTGCAACAACGCTCGGCGGCCGTGGTCGATTCGACGGTTGACTCGAGCGCCGGCGGCATACGTTTTGAATGATTCTGCGTCCGCGGACATCGGCTCGAGCTCAAGCTCGAGCTCGAGCTCTTCTCTCGTCACACGCTTCGAATGCTTGGCACCAAATCGCACTGCGCCGCTCGCCTGCTGCCTGGCCGATGGTGGAATTGGCTCGAGCAGAATTCGCATAATTCTTCGACCCTGTCGCAGGATTGACCGAGTTTCCGAGGGCGACCATTTGTGGGTGTCGGAGAGGCGTGAAATTCTGAGCGGATGCATGAGTCTTGGCATTCGTGGACGATTTGGAGAAGAGCTTCTGGCGAGTGGGCTTCTGAAATTGTGTTGTCGCTTATCTGCTTGAATTGAATTGAATTGAATTGGGAGGGCGGTCGTTCGAGATGTTGGTGCATCCGAGAGCTGCGGAGAGCGGCATGGGTCATGATCAGCTGCACGGGTTGAATAGGACTCGGAGCGATCCGACGGCGAGTGCGGAGGGCAAGATTTTGAGTCTGAGTTCGCGACCGTCGCTGAACGCGAGTTCTGGTCCGAAGGTGAGGGAGATTCATCTGTCGAGCCAAGAGGGAGACAGGTTTGCGATTCCCATCGTCATTGCCGAACAGCTGTCGTCGAAACTCCGAGAGCACATCGCGACGGTGGAGAGCGAGTGTGCAAGCATGGGGCGCTATGAGTCCCTCGAGTACTGCAAACGCCAATCGCTTGAGATTCCGTGCTCCACCGAAGTCCTGAAAACTCTCGTCGAATTCTTCACGGCAAAGCTCCAGTTGGACGTGAAACTGTCCCAGGAAAAGGCGTACATGAGCATCGAGCAGCAGCAAGAGTACTGGAGAGATTACTTCTACATCCGCATTGCATGGAAAATGGACCTCGACATTTTTGCCGATGAAACTCTCCAGGTTTGTAATCAGAACGGAGAGCCAAGGAATCATCCCACACTGAAGTAGAGAAAAAAAAATTCCTCTAGGCAGCTGAACTCAAGACGAGGCCCAGTTTTCCACTGCCTTCTCGTACGCGGCGTGCTAATTGGTTTGTGTATGTGTGTACGCAGGTTGCCGAATTTCTGAGTATGACAAGCCTGTATGATCTTCTCTGGTGTTGCTTTCGCGTGCGCGCGATGAGCAGATTTGATTACGAAGCCATGGAAGTTTACATGGATTAGTCCGCCATGGTTCAAAGGCCCTCAACAGCGCGCAAGGCTTCTTCTGTTTGAGAACCTTGGATTGGTCATTGTAAGAGCAATTCGCAAATTCCCCAAGATTGCTTGCAGGGTACTGTTCCCTGGACATCGAGGTACTGATGTTCGAGACTGCACAGTGGACGACGTATTATGCATCGAAGACTATATTGGAAACTTTCTCCTCCCGTTTATCACTACTGCCTCGCCTTGCGACACATTCGCTACTTCCAGTCAGTCAGTTGAGAGGAATCCATGATCATAGGCCTGGAAATCTTGTTCTAAATGCACCAGGAACAGGGGAGGTTGCTAGACACGACCCACTCCATATCGAGAACTTTATTCGATGATTGTTGACATCCTTGTGTGAGCTGTTGAGAGCCACAACGATCAGTCTTGTTCACGAGGTTCCTCGAAGGGCGACGTGTCGAGGGATGTACCTTCACTAGCATTTTTTGGCACAGACTGAATTGTGCTTCACGACCTCATTAAATATGAAACTCGAGCAATTGCAGTGGAAAGAGGGAGGTTGATGACAGTTTAATAAGCTATGACCGAGGTTTACGTGAAGGGTTAAGTGGAGATGAAGGTCCATAGATTTCTGTGTACGATGCTGTTGGGGCCTGTAGATTATCTTCGAGGCTTTTGTAGCTAGCAAGAGAATTTGTACATTTACTTAGCATCCTGCTGAAGGCAACAAGCTGTAGCATTATGTCTAATATACTCTCCTCAGAGCAGTAGTCACGTTGATGTGGGGTACCTATGAGCGACGTGGAATATCAACTGATTCTTGCAGATTAGATTGAGATACATGTGACCACGATCCTCGCAGATTAGATTACTTGTTCTTCGCTAGATTTTGTAAATCCCATTCATCCAACCAACACTGGTAAGAGACATGGAAAGAATGTGGTTCTTAAATTGACTGCTTCGGCAAATTGAAAATTCCGTCGTGTTAACTGCGTTGCCACATTGGGACCGCAAAATTTCTGTACATGTTTTCGCTACAGATCCTGGACAGAGCAGCGCTGAGACCATTATCACACATTCCGGAATTGGTTCTGAGAGGAAAGTGTGATTGCTGCCGCCGTGCTTAAAAGTTGGGTACATGTCCAGAAAGAGTGACATTTTCTCCTCCTCATCGGCTTTGTGGTTTTCTTTGTGATTAAATGTGATATGGAAATCACTGGACGACCTGCTCCTCTTCTGCGCGAACGTCTGCACATGGAAGAGCTCCGGATTTATCACAAGCATTTTACAAGAGATTTTCCTGAGACCGGCCTCCATCTAGGACACTTTGACGTCGATGGTCTTGGGCTTCGGGGGTTCTGGAGGTGGAAGTTTGGGCACTGTAACTGTCAGGACGCCGTCTTGGCACGCGGCGCCAATCTTATCCAAGTCTGCGTCCCCCGGAAGAGAGAACTTGCGCATGAATCTTCCCGTTCTGCGTTCCATCTGGAGGAATTTCCCGCCTTCGGGTTCCTTGCGCTTTCGCTCTCCGCTGATGGATAGAACGTTCTCGTTCTCCAATTGCACCTTGACCAATTGTCAGCAAGATTCAAACCACAATCAGTACACTTCAGCAATTAGAGTTTCCAAAATCGTGCCACTTCGATCTCCACTGTCGGAGAATCATGCATGCTGTATGATTTTCTATTTTTCTTCTGCTTTCTCCCTTCTCCTGGCTTTTACCAAAGAATCGGAGCGAGTGCTTCGAGCCTAACCTTGACGTCAGCGGACTTAAGCCCGGGCATATCCGCCACAAAGATGTACGAATCGGGAAACTCTTCCACATCCACGGCCGTCCTCGCCATCGCCTTGGAATCTTGCACGTACGTGTGCGTCGGAGTATTCATGTACTTGTCGACATCATCAGGCAAATTCAACAGATGCAGAAACGCCATGTTCTCCAGACTCATCGAAGGTCCCCCTCGTACGCGCGCGTAGGACAGAATGCGAAACCACGAATCAATTAATCAATAAATCAAGCCCGTCTCACGATCAATAATCTGCAGGACGCTGACCTTGTGTAGAAAATTCAGGAAATTCGAGCACGAGCGGCGTGACTTAGAATCAGGGCCAGCCGAAGTCGATGGGATGCACCAAGACGCGGGCAATGACGCACTTAATACTCGTCATAAACTCCTCCTTCGCCGAGTAACGAACTCAACGAACCAGAAGAATCCAGACCAACCGCGGCGCATCTAGACACGTCCAGTTTATGCATGAAGCGCCATGCGACGTAACGTCCCCATGCTTCCAGAACATTCTCGAAGGTCGGTCCACTCCCTTCGAGCAAACACGCACATCTTCGACTCCCTCCCTCCCTCCCTCGAAACCTTCGAGTATGCGGTTTAAACTTTCTAGCTTAAATTAGAAGAGTTTGGAAAATAAATAATATGCATTCCCTCTGATTTCGGGCAATTTTCGGTCCTGGCCAAGGCTGGGTGCTTTTTTTCTGCATGCGATCGGACCTTGTAACTTGATGACGGAGGGGAAAGGATTATTTTCCGAAAGTATTAAGTTTTGACGTGGATCATTCTTATCGATGGTTTATGTGACATATCTGAATTTACGGGACCTTTACAAAATATAGAACTGCATGATGGAGAAGCCAAGTGTGAGGGTAGACGAGAGGAAGAGCGAACAACATAGGGGTCACAATTATAGAACTGTGTGTATAGAACGTATGTATAATGAGTATGTTTGATATAGGGTTTAATATAGTACCATGTATACAACTATGCTCAACAGGTTACACAAATTAAAAGCAATGGTTGAAGAGGCTTGGCGCGGATGAGGCCGGATCCAGGAGATGAAAGATAAATAGGAGGGTGATGAAGAAATGCTCTAGAGGGCGATTGGGACGAGCACCTCCATAAATTCAACCAAGTTGATATGTAGTATCGCTTGAATGTTTTGATTACCAAATATTGTTTGATACCGATCAGAGTTTCGTGATGACCCCAGTAATACATTCAGCTCACATTTGTTCATTATATTAAACAAAATGTATCATACACGTATTATACAACCCACAAATCAAAAAATTATAAAACACAGTTCCATAGTCACAATAGACAGACATTAGGTAATGAGTTGGCAAGAAAACTCTTGAGCTCTACGGTTCAAAATGCTAGAGAGAGTAGTACTGAATCTTACATTCTCAAACATCTTCGAAGTTTATGAACGGAATGTTTGATTTTGAGATTAAATTTGGAACATAGCAAGAAAGTTTCGGTTAGATTTGTGTTGCCACACATTGATTTCATTTTAGATTGGGGAGCAATTGCTTGGAAGTGATCTCTAATTTACTCTTCAATATATGAAGTTTGAGGTTATTTTACATTCAGCATATTACTTTGTCTAAAATAACATCGAATGCTCTCATGCCGAGGTCTGAGTTGAGTGACGAAATGAGAAAGTTGGATGGGCCGAGAAAGCAAGACACATATGAGTTTGAGGCCGTAAGAACGGTAATGAATTGTCCCGAGTTGTTTTTTGATTGAATGATCAAAACGGAAGATATGGAAAAGTTTGGTTTTTCTATTGTCAATTGATGTGTTGTTTAAGCCATTATGTGGTCATGCTTTGTTTGTATAGAAGTACTAGTTCTTGAATGGCGTATGTAACCACTTTACAACTATTGAGTATTCAACATTTAAGTTCAATCTTGTGTACTTTAATCCAATTAATAGAAATAGAAGGCTATGGAAAGTTGTTTGAATCAAATGAAGAAGCATTGAGGTCAAAAGAATTTACTTCATATATTGAAAACATAGTTTTGAGTCAAATGTATGAATTGATTGTGCCAATTTTGTTTTAATTGTTTATGCATTGCTAAAAATCGAATTGAATTTTTATAATTTGCCTTGGACAAGTAAGTATATGTGACAATGTAAAAGTTTAAAAATTTTGTAAAATTTTGTGATTTTCTTGCAAGAGTATCTAATAACATCACCGTGAGAATTATGCAAAAGAGATACATCATCATAATAATCGATTCAATTTTACTTATTATATACAAATTGAATGTGATACTATAGTTAGATATTTCCTAGCTCAATTGCATTTTTGCATTATCATATTCATTGAATTTGTTCATGTATCATGTTTGAGAATGATGTTACATGAGTAGTATATTTGTTAGTCAATTTAGTAATTTGGCCAAGATCAAACTATGCAAGACATTAATCCATTTTACTTCTGAAGATTTGTTAAATCAAACCTATAGCTACACATTGAATTTATACATAAATTGCTATAAGTAAATTCAATAAAAAATTAATCTATTAAAAAAAATCATGTGATAAAAAAATGTGTGCACATCAATATCATGATGCTACTTCAAAAAATGTTTATTTTTGTAATTGATTATTTTTTGAAATGTAATCATGAAGTCTTATTTCAATTGATCAATTGAAATAAAATTGCATACAAATTTATTTATTGTATTAATTTTCAAAATATTATTATCAATAATTATTAAATATTTTTTCAAAATCTTATAATCTCTTATACATGTATACTAAAATGTTTAAATCTGAGTTGAAATTGATACTAATGTGATATGATACAATTATAATGATTTTCAAAAATTAGCTAATAATTAAAAAATATAACTATACATTATTTTGATATTTGATAGATAATGAAATTTTAAAAATTGGAAAAAAAATATCATAAAAAAATTATTTCAAAAAATTCTATTTAATTTACTATACTATGTACATTTTATTGATATTTTTCAAAATTAAATTCAAATTCTTTTGTAATGTAAAATTTTCAATTTAAAGATAAATGTAACACTAGGGTTTAGAGATAACTTGATTCCAAGATAGAAACGTAAACTTTGAGATGAGAGATATCAATAATGATTCTCCTCTCTATTATATAGTTCTCATCAATAAGTACAATGAGATAAGATCTTATCTCCACCATCTATCGCACTCATAGTGGATAAAACGTGACGGATAATCCCAACAAACACACGCATTGCTGACGCGACGCTCTCAACTAACACATTCAATACTTAACTACAAGCACATGGATTGTTGACGTGACATTCTCAACTAACACATACTTTCTCAACATACCAAGCGTGCAGATCGTTTACGTGTTAGTTATGACTAGTGCACGCTAAAGTATCTATATCAACATTTTAGTAACCTCTATTTTAGTTTTAACTACTTAAAAATTATTATAATAAAAAATTTTGAAAATGATATTGTAAATTAAATAATTAAAATTAAAAATATCGTACATAATCTATTGTGTTAAAATTTTATATATTTATCAGAGTAAATTAAGTAAGATATTTGTATGATGTTAAATACATCAAAAAGCTTAATGTGTTATATGTTTAATAAAATTAAATCAAATACATAATAAAGAAGTTATAAATTTTAGTCACACTAGATATGCATAAGTCATGTTGTACTTTATATTAGACGTACAATATGTTTTTTAATACGAGTGGAGTGATTTTAATGTATATAAATTAAATCAATATCACCTATTAAAATAATGAATAAGTTTACCCAATTTATTTTAGTCTTCGTTTACGATACATAAATATACATTATATATCTCTCAACAACTTATTTTTGCAATTTTGAGGAAAAAAAATTGAATTCATGCATATAATTGACAAGATACATATGATCAATCATGGCTGTACACCAAAACGTGAATGAAGTCACATGTCTTCATCTAATTGCATGAAACTTATGTATAATACGAAAAATAATCTTTAGATTGATTTCATGACTAAATATAAATATTTTATTCAATTTTAAATAAATCAATCAATTTACACACATGTTTACTACTTAGATTATGAATCATCATGTTTTGGTGTTTTGGAAGAGAGTTTTGCATTTGGAAGGTTCGTGAGGGTATATATCATTCAAATACCTCGTGTGTTTAAAAAGAAGTTATGATTTCTATTATTTGTTGTTGAAATTCTTCAATTTGTTGCTTATTATATTTTTTATGAATTTCATAAAATAGATTTCGTCATAAATATGAGTATCATGTACAAAATTCAATTATTTGCAAAATCATGGGCATAAAAAACTACAGATGTAGCAACAATTTTATTTTTTGAATTCGATAGTAAGCCACAAGGCTTACTATGGAATTCAAAAATTACCCTACCCAAAAATAACTATGAAAGGCTGCTGGAACTTGGAACTCTGCACTCAACCCGTAGATAACATGTCTTCCCTCGCTCCTCAATCAATTACATGTCTTCCCTCAGTCAACCCATTACATGTCTTTCCTTTAAATAAATAAACAAAACAAAATAATCAATTAATTTAATTAAGTACATGTCTTCCCTCAGTCATATTCCTTTCTGTTATAATTAAGATTAGGGTGAAACAAGATGAAGGCATGAATTTAGAATTCCAAGTTCTAAAAAAAGGGGAATCAACTGAATGATGGCCAAAGGTTCTAACCATTCAATTGTGTAACTAAGGGCCTTATCACACTACCCGCACCAAGCTCCTGGCTATAAGAAAACCAGGTTTTCGTAGGCCTAAGTTGGCCAGCCGGAGAGAATTCCATAAACTTTACCACACTACCGGTAGTGCCTTTGGAATGAAAAGGGAAAAATATCTCTACTAATTGTAACGCAGGGGTGAGAAAAATATCTCTACTAATTGTAACGCAGGGGTGAGAAGTAACCCAGGAAGGCGCGAAAGTACACATGGAGTCTATATATTCCGGAAAAACTGTCTATATATCAAATTGCCGCTAGCTCCCCTTGTTATGGGGAAAAATATCTCTACTAATTGCAACGCAGCGGTGAGAAGTAACCCAGGAAGACGCGAAAGTACACGTGGAGTCTATATATTCCGGAAAAACTGACTATATATCAAATTGCCGGTCGCTCCCCTTGGTATCGGGAAAAATATCTCTACTAATTGCAACGCAGCGGTGAGAAGTAACCCAGTAACGCGCGAAAGTACACGTGGAGTATATATATTCCGGAAAAACTGTCTATATATCAAATTGCCGCTCGCTCCCCTTGGTAAAGGGGAACCTCGGGTGACAATAACAACCGAGGATTCGCTGCCGGTCGTGTGGTTTGGCCCTAAGATGGGTTGAGAAATTCGAGTCTCTTGGCGCAGTGCCTGAAGATACGCTCAGTGATTCCACGGACAGGTCCTTCGAAGCAAACCCATAGAGACCCGAAAAGTCAGAGAAATAATTGTTTAATTCTGAGGATGGGGTTTTAGTGAGGGAAGTGGGCGCAGTAAGAATGCGATGCGCCTTTGAAGGTTCCAAGCTGACGATTCTAGCCCTCAATTTGTCGTTTGTTTGGATTCAGTCGGTGGACAAATTCCATTCGATGTCCTCAGTCAACGATCGGTGTTGAAGCTGTGTTTGCAGCCTCGGTCTCGGTTGAATTTGCTCTGTGAACGTTGCGAGTTCAGTGGTCGCTAGAGGAAATTCTGGTTTGGTAGGTTGCGATTCAGCAGAGGGTTGCCCATGCGCAGGTGTCGATGAAGGTTGGAGGAATTTTTGTGAATGCGTCAGGGGACTGAATTTGTGGGGCTGGAATTTCTGAGAAAAATTCGACGTGAGTGAGCGAAGATGCTGATGATGAATTCTCAGCAGCAGCAGCAACAACAACAACAGCAGCAACGGCAGCTTGTAGTTGCTGTGGAGGGCACGGCTGCCTTAGGACCCACTTGGTCCGTGCTGCTGACGGAATATGTTGAGAAGATCGTGAGGTTTATTTCATTTTCATACTCGCTCTTTCTTCAGTTTCTCATTCAGTTCATCATAGAGTCTGCAGGCATCATGGAACACACAATTGTTTCTGTCCTTCCGCAAATGATTTACTCATTTTTCGGACGAATATTTCAATTCTCAAATTTTTAAGATATCTAACGCCGTGTGATCACTTGTGAAGTACATTGACACAACATCCTGAAACTCAGGTTTAGTTGTCATAGATCGAACGACATCTGGATGGACTGTCGAAAGAATTGTGACACATAATTAATTAATATTTTTAAATTTCGTGTAACGTCTGCAGGACATTTCATGCCTTCAATGGAGGTGGTCAGGTAAATGAGAATTCCAAATTTTAACAATCATTTGGACATAGATTGCAGGTTCGTCGTTGAGTGCATTTTCTCTGATTGTACTGTGACAACTGAAGCCTGCGTAGTACTTGTAAAAAAACTTGTTACCATTACACTGGCAGTAGTGTCAACACCTTGTGAATTGTGCCCTGACTTTTATTCTTCTGGTATGTCCTGTTACAGAAACATACTGGACCTCCTGGACCTCCCGGAGAGATGGCGTTGGTTGTCTTTTACAGTCACAGTCCTTCCAGTGGTAGAATATAACTCTCTCCCTCTAAGTAGAGTCCATTTTGGTGTCTAAACTATGTCTATCTTTTCATATGCAGCATAACTTTTCATCCGGGAAATACACTATTTTAAGATTTCCAAAACTTGTTAACCTTCGTTATTTTCTCAAAGGGGTGAGAATTTGTGTAGCCCTACTTTGTTCTTTTAGGTCAGTTGTAGTGCTTTTCTGAGATGAGTTTTTTGGCAGGTTGTTTGATACAAAGGAGCGGCTGGACTTCAAGTGCTGATGTGTTTTCCCGTTGGCTCTCGTCTATCCATTTCGAGGGGGGTGGATTTGGAGAGGCTGCTATTGCTGAGGGACTTGCTGAAGCTCTCATAGTAAGTATTATTCTAACGAAAAGTGGCCCTCAAATAACTCATATAAAGGTGCTGGGGTAAGACGTGAAGCTCTCTATTTGATATAAATCATTAGATATTTGATGTTGTAATTTTTTCATGTGGAAATACACAGGTCTCACGAGTGGGTTTCTCTTTGGCAGATGTTGTGTCCAGGGCCCAACGTCCCTCCAGTGTCACAAGCGACAGAGCGCCAGAGACACTGTCTTCTAATAGCTACTTCCAACCCACATCGACTGCCCACACCAGTTCCCAGCCCTCCTGTTCCCATGTTCTCACAACAGTCCCAAGGAAATAATGCTGATACACAGTTGGAACAATGGTACCTGGCTGATGCGGATACAGTGTCCCAGGCTTATGCACCTGTGAGTATTGAGTTATGATGTATTGAACTTTATATATTGCTGAAAGGGTTTTGAATTCTGCTATTATACTTCAGATTACGAGATTTCATATTGTACCCTCAGCTGATTGTATTTGTTTTGCAGTGTTCGGTTTCTCTGTCGGTGATTGCACCTAGGCAGTTGCCTTTGTTGCGGAATCTATATTCACAGGTTTGTTATTCTCCTACAGACAGCTGAACATGACTATGGTTTTCAGGATTGCAGTTTTCTTTCCTCATAATATCTTCATTATAAAAACTTTGTGCATCTCATGTCTTTGAAACTCAGGCCAAGCGCTTATCTCGAGGATCTGAAGGTGTCAACGAGCCTCCTAAAGTGAGCCCGCAACACCTAGTTCTTCTGTCGGATGGGTTCTTGGAAGCCAGATTAGCGCTGCATCGAACCGCTGTGTCGAACACTTTGTCGAATAATGTTCCGAAGATTGAACAGCATCAAACTGTTTCAGTTAACGGCTCGTCAGTCACCAACCAGATGCCTGTAGCAGGAGTGAGACCTACATCTGGGGCTGCAACAGGTACACGACTGTGTTTTGCGAACTGCACGAAACTCCTCTTGCACTTGCACACAATATCTCCGTAAATAAAAGGTTTCTTATTTAAAAGATAAATTTTGCCCTAAATCACGTTGATCAAGTTTTCAACATCAAACAACAAACTCCAGTTGTTGATTACTTTGTAGACAACACGTGGAGCGTATCACGTAAGGGGAAACGATTTTTATGCGTGCAATGTATTATTATTCGTGCGTGTCATGAACTCGGACATTTATGTTTTAGTGTTCTAGCCTTGAGGATGATAGAGTACCTTGCATATGATATTTTCCTGAAATGTTGTACCTTCGAGTTGGCCCTGAATAATTCCTGTTGACCAGGTCAACGGCTAGACTTTAAGCTAAGCAGAGAAATAAGTTTCTTTTGCTAATGTAGAGAAGTTCTGTGCCAGCGTTGAATATTGTATTCCATCGCATACCTTGTATTATCACATATTGTTGGCTGAACGTGTGTACCTTCTCTCCCTTGTTCCTATGACTGCGTTCCTATTCTGTGTTCTTTGAACATTCAGGGAGTGTGTCAGATCTTAGCAGTATTACAATCCTTGTTCAAACGTAGACTTCATGCATGTTGTCCATGTTTTAGCAGGAAGTTTGTACTTGGAAACATAGGCAATGGCCCGGGTCAACATTGTTAGTGATGTAGAGATTAAGTTTATAACTGTTACCTTGTGCGGTCTAACATGCGTGGACCTTGTACTCACGTTTACAGGAATTGGGTCTTTGGCCGGACGACCAGGTTCCAACATGCCCAATCCACCTGTTACTGTGAAAACGGTGTTAATTCTTTTCTCTCCCATCTTTTGCACCTCAAACTCCCGTCCTCTCTTCTTTCTGCTTTGGCTGTTTTGAATGAAACATGGAAGCGCTTTGTATGTTTGAGGATTATCTGTTGAATTAATTTCTCGTTATAAGTTACTTTCACGATCTCGATTCTACTCGTGGAAATGTGAATTGAGTGAAAATCGTTGTTACGTTTCAGGAGGCGGGTACTCAAGGAGGTCTGAACTCTTTGTTACAGCACAACAATGCCAACAACAACAACAACATATCTCTGCCTATGCAGCAGCAGTTGCCATCTACTGGTGCACTCTCCAATCAGGACACCATGCAGTCTTCTCTGACTTCAATAACGTCTCCAGAGACCCAGCAGCAGCAGGACTTCAAGGTGTTAGGAAACATACCCTCAACCCAGCCTCTAAGACCCGTTGGAGGCAATACTCTTCAAAACTCTAGCCTCATGGCTCACAGTCCATCTCAGTCTCGCCATACCATCGGTTCCCCGTCTTTGCCCCCAGCAAGCCCCCTGAGTGGTCTCCAATCTTCAGGAGTGGGAGTTCCAGTATCCAATATTATGTCAAGCATTGCTGGAGGAGCGAACTCTTTGTCCAATTCTCAGAGTGCTTTGGGGGTCAGTGGCCAGCCAGTAGGTATCGGAATGGGTTCAAACAACACTGTCGGAATGAATGTTGGACAAGGGGGCGTTGGTGCTGGTCAAACAATGCATTCCAACTACACTTCTGGATCTGCAAGTTTGGTGAACAGTCAAATGCTTGGAGCAGTGCAAACAAATCCGTCGTTGGTCAACACTGGAGGCGCAGGAACGGGGCAAGGGCTAGGAGGACTTGGACAGGGAACCGTGAGTGGGGTTAGTGGTCAAGGTGGTCTGGCCCCGTCGAATCAAATGGCTTCAGGTGGGCTAGGATCCACAATGGGAGGCCAAGGTACATCCGGCGTCAATTCTGGAACTGGCACGATGATTCCTACTCCAGGGGTACCTCAGTCGCCTAGTCAGGTCCAATCCCTCAACAGTAACACAGGATCGTCCCACCATCCACCCGCCGCTGCTCCTGCGCAACAATCGCTCAAGTATACAAAGTTATGGGAGGTTCGTACACTTTGCGTCTACATTTCTTTCAGCTAATTTTTTCCAAGTTTCTTTTAAGGAGCACCATTCAGCCAGGGTTCGGGAACCGACTGCCTTAAGCTATGGTAGGCAAATGCTATTGGATACAGTTTCTATAGTGAACTCTTCACTCGATCTCATATTCATCGTGATTGGAAACTGACATTGTGGTTGTTGTGACTTTGCATTTGTTCAGGGCATTCTTGCTGGTCAGAGAAAGGGAAATGCTGTACCTATTCCTATCTGCAAACTGGAGGTGTGCATTGTATAGTCGAAATTTCATGAGATTAAGCAAAACTGAAAAACTATGCTTTTCATGAAGACCTTTTTCTAGCTTCTTCCTTCCAAATCTTTGCCAAGATTAAGCGGGTGAATACCGTTTGACCCTCAGTTCCAGAGCTGATGATGCTGATGCCTTTTTCCTTGTGATGCAACAGGGCTACCGCCAAACGTCATCTCCAGAAACGTAAAATTTCTCCTCCTCCCTTGTTTGTCTTCTAATAATATCTGCTCATAGCCTCATAAACAGCATAATCAAAGACTTCCGAGTACAGCATTCATTCTTTCCCTATCGAGCATAATTACCTGCCTTGCCAGTGTTGTAGACAACAATTTTGTTGATTTCGTTTGCATTTTGTTCTGCCCCGATCCTGGTCGCTACATGGTGTCGTGATTGTATTTATTTACGTTTTGAAGGGTTTTGTTGAATACTGGAATGGTACTTCTTTCGAAGCTTTTGGATTGTGTAGTCTTCAAATGTGCTCGCAGACGCAAGTTCCTCCTCTGGATAGGACGGGATCTCGCGAAAAGTCATTTGAGAATGACACCGTGTGCTTCCTGTCTCGTTTTGCAGGCTGGCTGCGGACTGGCCACCAACCATGCAAATTATGCGGCTTATACCCCAGGACTACATGAATCAAAAGTACGGTTCTTATTCGACCTCAGATTGATTGATTTCTTATTTTGGGCATCTGTAATTTATTTATTTTTAATTTCAAATTTCAAGTGAAACTATGTGTATGTGTGTGCTCATCCAACTTTTACTGCATTTGTTGTTTATACGCAGGAGGTAAGTTCAATTTGACAAGGTTTCCAGCCCGACTATGTGGGTTTACAAATCATCCGAATGATTCGTATTGACGGTATATGTGGCATTCGTTGCATTCGGAGTATTTAGTAGTCAACTCACAGATGTGTCCAGACTCAGTACCTCCAACAGATCTCTCTTGTCAATAACGTACATTTAGAATTCTTTCTGGAAAGGAAAGACTCAGCTCAACGACGATCGATGACCAGTTATGCATCGATGGCTGATCATCTAACCTCTATAAACTGGTAAGGGAGCGTATATAGATGTCTACGCATTCTGAAGCGGGTTAGTGGAGAGCTCATGATAGCTCTCTTTTGTATTATGTTGTTTGCTTCAGATTGACTGAACTTGATGTCGAACTGTGTGGTGCTTTGTGTCGCTCTTTTATTACATTTCATTTCCCTTTCTTAGCAAAGAGTAGACAGTAACATGGGCCTGGTTGTCCCTTTCACTGTTCCGAAACCGGGGACGTCTACCTGAAGTCAGCGTTGGAGCTGACGGTAGTCGTTGCCTAGCACGATGACGTAATTCAGTTGAACGTTACTGGATTGGTTGATACCTCTAGAGTTGATAGCAACCACAGTTTAGTGTGGACTAGTGTAGTTGTATGCTCAATCGCTCAATTATCTTGCTTAGTTCTCTTTTTTGAGCTTTTTCTGACAACAGTAAGTTCACTTTTCGAGGTTTACTAGGCCGTCAGTGCCCCCCGTAAGTTGCTGTGTATGTGTGTGTGGTGAGTTCATCAAAGGTTAACTTTGATGTCCACTTCATTTCTGTACAAATTGTTTGTTATGGCGGTAGAGTTTATGTGTCCTGCTTTCTGGAACTGAATGTGGGCAAATATTAAATTAATTTTTGGCTTTGATGTCGACAAACTGGAACGGGTGTTTGCAGCCTTACGTCTATAATGTCCAGTGTACAGTTGAATAAATATTCCCAGTTGTTCTGGGTTGTTCAGCTGTATATATCACATTCCTTCTGTATACTCTTTGAGGACGTCAAAGATAACGTGGACCATGGAATTGATGCACGTATACTTCATTGTTTTTGGTTCATGATCAGCAGGGACTATCAGCGAAAAGCTGAATTGCTCGTCTTTCGTCCACTTACGCAACATGATTTTCTTGTCCAATTGGCCGAGAAGAAGCTGGTGAGTGAATTTTGTGTCTATTTAATCCATGTACTTGTCTCGACATTAGCTCGCTATTTCTGCTGGGTATTCAGCTTTTCAACTGCAAGTAGCATCTAAAGCTCCTCGTGAAATTTCCGTCTTTGCAGTGTGCAGTTATACAATTACCCAGTCAAACTCTGCTCCTCGCGAGCACAGAGAAGCCTGGGCGGATGATCGGCATGCTCTTTCCAGGGGTGAGTAAATCACCTCCATATGAATGCAACCGTTACAGGTCTGCTGATTCCATAGTAATGTTCTGGTAGGTTACTAGTGAGTCTGGATTGGTTTTATACTAATGAGTCTGTTGTCTTCTCACGCTTCAGGACATGGTACAGATCAAGCCGCAAGTATCGAGCCAACAACAGCAGGCCGCAGCTGGTGGCACAGCTGCCCAAGCTCACAGTCTTGCTGTGGGGCAGAGTGGATTAGTGTCACAGAATCACTCTCAAAGTGGGCTCTCGCAAAACCACTCTGTAGGCCAAAGCGGCATGTCTCAAGGGGGTTTGTCTCAAGGTGGTTTATCTCAAGGTGGCCTGTCTCAAGGTGGTTTATCTCAAGGTCATCCAGTCGGGCAGAGCGGCTTACTACAGAATCATTCTGTGGGACAGAGTGGATTATCACAGAACCAAATTTCCAACACCCTTGGTCAAAGTGGTTTTGTACAGAATCAGCTGCAAAGCCAGCTGCAAAACCAGCTCCCGACCGGCCAGCAAATTACGCAGGCTCGGTCTCAGTTGATGACAGGAGCTGCTGGTTTACATAATTCAAGTTTCCTTCCCTAAGTGCCGAACTATCGGCGGGGCTAAAGTCACCCTTCTTAGTTCCTCCTATGCTTCTTCTTTCCAAGTTCTATTCCTAGTCTGCACCTGCCACTGGCCTGGTTTCCACATTTCTGTACTGTAATTGCACTGTCTGCTGGCCTCCGTGATGCAAGTTTCTTTCCAATTGTAACGTAGTAAAACTTCGACACATTGTAGCACAGGTGTCTTCCATGAAGTCACCCATTAGAAGGGCAATATTCCCCTTAAGCCCGGCCCATTTCAGATTATAATTGTAAATATCTTAACATCCTCTGCATGCCAGATGATGGATGATCTCTGTATCTCATAAACAGAGATCCCTATCAAACAAACGTTTGGTAGATATAAGCGCAGGCCGTGGTGAACCCGCCACTACAGCCTGAACTTGATACCTGTGCTTGTGCATGCGCACATGATCAAGTGAATTTGTGCAGTATGAAGCTCTTATGGATCTCTCCTGCGGATTCCGTAGGCATGTCCAGATTACCCCATCTCTACTATGGCCACTGCGAGCTCCGAGAACCAGCTGGATTATATCTCTTCACGAACTGGCTCGTTGAATTTCTGTCATGAAGGGTATGGTGATCAAAGTGGAGTGTTGAACGTCGAGGCGCTGGTGAAGCCAGTGATTTGGCAGTTGTCTACGGCAATTGGAAGAGCAGGGCACGAACTGGTGTTGGACCCTCCTCCTCTTCTGCATGTCTTCGCAGCTCATTTCTGGATGCAACTTTTGGGCATATATTTAGGACAAGTTGTAGAAATGGTAGTCTATAAAGCGTCTGGGCAGCGGAACATAATATATACAGATCAGCATCTCTGCAGATCCCCCCATGGATGTCAAAGTCCATTGAAGGTGTCCACGTGAGGACAAGCTTTTATTTTCAAGTTGTGTGATCTGCGAGCTGGGAAGACAAGTTTGGCGAACATTGTAGACAGCTTTTGCGGTTACTTGGCAGGCACCAAACTTGTCTAATTTCAAATTTATATTCATCTGTTCATAGCCTTTTGCAGACAGCTATTGAACAATTATTTGCATTAGAAGCCCTTTTGTCATTCGTTTGTATCATGTAGCTCTGTAAACATTTGGGATGAAGTAAAGTGGTACCTGAAGTTTGACGAAAGTTGTATGTACGGATCGATGCAGGGTCGCTCTCTGTCCCATTTCCTGAGGCCTTCACTGTCTGAACTCGGTCTTATATATATATGCATGCGTGCATATAATGATTATTTAGGCTTTGATGCAAATGATCTATGCTTAAACCTAATTTGATCAAAAAACTAGAAAAAAGTCAAATGCAATCAATTGCAGTAATTATTCACATATTCTTGAATGCTTGTTTGGTTCAAAGAGTGTTGGAAGTAAATTTGGCAGCAATCTCTATATTTGTTTATATGGCTGATATAGTTCACGTGGATAAAGAAAGTCTCAGTTTAAAGGAGAGGCACAACAATACAACATACAATTGTGACAATTTATCCTTAAAATATATGTTAGGATACATAAGAGATAGATTAATGAGAAATAATGGATTCTCTAGTGTAATTATATATAACAAATTTTTTATGAACTTCAAAAAATCTATTTGAGAAGTGTGATATGCGTAAGATATAGAATAGAAGAAAATTGTCATATAATTTTGATGAGACGTTAAAATCATTCTCCTTCTTAAAGGAAGGAGAATGAAGGATGAAATGATCGTTTTCTTCATTCATCCTCCTTGAAAGTTATACAATATTATTATGTTGAACCTAATATATATAACGATGATTCTAATGATTCAATCCGAAAGCAAAAGTCACATTTATGTATAATACTTGTAAGCTTCAATATTATTATTGAGCAGAATCGTATGTAATCTTTTCTGAATTTTCAATTCTGTTCTGGTAGCTCAATCATATTCTTATACTTGTTTCCATTTTGAAATATGAATTACTAGTGATTGATGTTTTTATTTTTTTGAAAGTATATTTTTTTAACCAATTCACGTGATTTATGAAGACATACTAACATGCAGAAAATTTTGTGAGATATGAAATGGAACATACAAACAAAATCTATGTCAACAGTGGGATTCGAACCCACGCCCTTTCGGACCAGTACCTGAAACTGGCGCCTTAGACCAACTCGGCCATATTGACTTATTGTTTGTTATGCATTTCAAAATAAGCTTTATTATAACTTGCTGTATTAAAAACTTTGACTTTTTTATTATATTCATCACTTCAAGTTTGAAAATAATAGAGTATTACATGTAAGTTCTGCTTATTATTTTTCAATCTCGAAATATATAGAAGTTTGAAATTAAAAAGAAGAAAATAGAATTTTTTCCAAAATCTGTAGAGATTGCCAAATTAAGAAAAATAAAATCAATGGAATTTTGCGCATGCATCACATTTATTTCAATTCCAAAATTCAAATTCAAAAAGTTGAATATTACAAAGTTTAGATATTATTCACTTACAAAAAAAAAAGCTTGAAATAAATTGAAAAAATACGTTTTGTAGTATGTTCTTCAACATAAATGATTGAGTTGATGAATATTATGCTCAATAGAACAACAAGCATTCATCAAAATTGGCAGTAATTTTTTGGGGGATAATTACCCCTCAGTTTATGTTAATAATCTCTCATCCTATCTACAACCATTGTTGCTGCTGGATGTGTTGCATTGGCGAGTAACTTCATGGATTTGTACAAGTGGGAGCACATAAACTCCAATCCCTTGATATCTCCATCTTCCTTGTTACCAACCCTGAGTCTGCACTTAATCACGGCGTAACCTTGACTCAACACGGAAGGTTGCCCTACGGATACCACAACGTCCTATGTTGCGTGGGAGACCTCCGGTAGTGCAACCAACGTGTTCATTTTGAAATGAGATCACTTTCACCGATCATAGACCTCCCTTCTTATACAATTTACATAATTTTTGTAGGGTGATGGATAATTAACATTAATTGAAGGATAACTAGCCATTCTTTTTTTTCTTACATCATTTATAGGAAGAAAGCTTAAGGGTACATAGCAAGTCGATTATTCATCATGATACACATCTCTTGTATACAATTTTGACACATGATAATAATCATAGTAATATCCTTGATGAAAGAAAAAATTATACAATGGAGGACAAAGACCATCTCTAGAGTCAATTAGGAAACGTCATCGAAACTGCAATCATCATAACTGTTCACATCATTTACGCCAATGGATCTAGAATTGGTCTGACGAAATTGATCTTGGTTCAGTAGATTGTGAGACTGGTTAAATACTTTAATTGAATTTCAGGTCAGATCCATTGACTATTATATCAAGAGCTAAAGCTTGCGGGTCTCAAAAAAATTCGATGACATGAATGTAAACACACAAACACGTTTGGTTGGTTGATCATACGAAGATGAGGTACCCATTCTTACATGCAGTGACGTTTATTTTGCATATTTACATACATATCCCATTTTGATTCATGGTTTGATAATATCATATATCCTATTGAACTGTCAGTAAGCCTTCATAAGCCTGAGGTGATTATGTGTGAAAGTGTGCCCTTTAGAAACCCCGGTGGTGTCAAGGCCCGGGGGCAGGGACTTAAGGGGGCAGGGCTTCCAACCGGGGGCAAGAGTCGGCACTCGCTCGGTTCAAAATTCGGGTCGGCGATGGAAAGTGATGGAAGAAGAGAAGATGGAAGGTTGCCGGTGGCGGTTGGCCATGCAAGAGCACAAATCTGAAACATTTAGGGACTCGGAATGATGTGCTCCAGAATGCCGGGAGCATCCCCAAGCTTACACATGAGTCCAGAACATGTCTCCCACGGAACCCCTCGGAAACCGCTGCAAATGTGCCGCCCCAGAAACGTACCTGCTTATGGATCCTTCGGTGCCGCCGTCTGCGATCGCACTCGTGCTGATGCTGGCGCTGGCGTTGGCGGTGGGGTGTGGGGGCTGGGACTGGGGTTGGGGTTCGCTGCAGGGGCTGCGGGTGGGGCAATGGAGGGGGGCCGGCGGGGTGGGCTTGGGGGTTGGGGCTTGTGTGGGGGGGGGGGGGGAGCGCTCTGGAGTCCCAAATCCACATATGCCCAAAATTACAATGAGATTGAATCCCCGACTCAAGGACGCCAGTCCATCATGGCACGAGCCCCACCCCCTCGCAGTTCATGCAAGCGCGAGATGGTGCCGGTGCCGTCCCGGAGCCCGTGACTCGGAAGCCCTCCCCCGTCGCTTCTCTTGTCCTCGTCTACTGGGGACCGGATTGGACTGGCGTGGCTGGCCGGGGCCCAGTTGCCCATTAGCCCATTAGCCCCGCGAAGCAGCTCACGTCGCGCTTGGTTCCCTCGGTGCGCATGATGGCAAGCACCTTTTCCAGGATCCGGAGCCGAGCCGTTGCCCCGGGGCAAGGCAACGGATCACCAGGACCGGAAGTGACAGACTCGATGATTGTTGTCTTCACTGATGGATGAGGGGGGGGAGGGGGGGGCCGAGTTGTAGCCCAGTGCTGGACTCGAATGCATGATCCAGACGCTGCAGATACTGGCGCACATGATTGTCGCTCACTCAGTCCAGCTTTTGCAGTTGCCAGTGCGAGTGGCGAGGATAGTGGATGGCGAGGCGTTGAGCAGAGCCGAGCAGAGCTTTCGAGCGACTCGCCAGTGCACCGTGCGATGCTGCGATGGCGGGAAGCGCTGGGCCTGGTCCATGGTTCCAATCCAACAAGATCCTCCTTTTGAGTGCCTGGTGGGGATTGCGATAACCTGGGGCCCCGCGGGGGCCTGTCATAAACCCTAGCCCTGGCATTGGCTGCCGACACCCCATCCCAACCCCGCACCGTGCTCATTCCCGCGAGCGCTTCTGTCTCCCGCCAGGCCTTTTCGTTCCGTCGAGCTTTCCCGTACAGCTTTTGCCCCCATCGTAAGCGCGGCCTGATTTCCGTCGGCCCGATGTGTCTGCCCCTGCCCCTCGCTCCGGGTGATTGAGAGTACTGCAGCGTCGGCCTTGCGCCCATGCATGCATTCGTCCGCCTCCGTTCGCGGGGGTTGGGGTTGGGGTTGGGGTGGGGATGGGGGTGGGGCTAGGGGGGGACCATGACGCTTTGTTTGGGGCAACGATGTTTCCGCTCCCACGAGGATCCCCAGCTCGCAGGGATGCGTTCTCGTGTCGCGACGATGCCCCAGCCCCAGCCCCACCATGGGCGCAGTGGGGCTTTCGCGGCTCGGGGCGCGAGCCCCAGGACAAGAGCAGAGAACTAGAGCGCTGGGCATGTGCTCGTGGTTGCTACCAGAGCAGCAGGCCGGCTATGTTTGTGCATCCGAGTGCGCATGTCAGATGCTCAGTGCGTCGAGAATCTTGATACGGAACGCCATCGCTTCGTGGAAATCATGTCGTCGACGGCGAGAGCAGCGCTGAGAGAGAGAGAGAGAGAGAGAGAGAGAGAGAGAGAGAGAGAGAGAGAGAGAGGCCCGACGGGACGAGATCATGCCGCTCGCTGTTCATTATTGGGATCGTCGAGGGTCGTAGGCTTTTCGGTGTAGAAGAAACAGTTGTGGAAGAAACGACCTCTGAGTGAGTGAGGGCAGCGGATTGCCTTGTCGTTTACAGGTGTTTTGGAATTTCACTATTGCACCTACCGAGGACCCACAGAATCCAAATCCATGCACGACCCAGAGCGTCTGCCTGGCCTCGAGGAGGGAGAGAGACTCTGACATGACAGAGCCAGCTTCAGATAAGCTCAGGGCCTGACTGAGAATCTCGCGAGTTCATGCACCATAAATCTCATCCTATTCCTTCCGAACAGCAAACGCTTTACAATCACGAGGGGGAACCATCATCATCATCCACGAAAGGGGAGCAAACAACAGCCACGGCACAGCATATCGATTCTTCCATACTTGCAGCGATTGCACTACGCCGTCTACTGGCATACGAGGGGGTGGAAGCATTTTGAGTGAAAGCTGGAGAAGAAGTCACCATTTCAAGAGTTTATTAACAGAATTTATAACTACAAAGTGACTTTCCCTTCCGGTATCATCTTTCAGTGACTGTAACAATGCTTTTTTTGAAACTATAGTACAACTTTCATGTCTAGAGTACAAAATATCGTTTGGACAAGGAAAGCCTCACTCACAAAAACGACGAGAGGAAAGAGGACCCAGGTCTGGTCTCTATCTTCTAAGGAAGAAACGCGCTGTTAAACCTCTAAATGCTCTCGATCTAAGACAAGTGGATTTCCTCTAGTAAACCCTCTTCTCGCTGCTCTCCGCCACTGTTTGTGAAATTGAATTACACTGACTATGTCTATAGCAGCCTGTCAGGTGATCGTTCACCATACCTGCAGCCTGCATAAAGGAGTAAATAGTAGTCGGACCCACATAACGGAATCCTCTTCGCATTAGGTCCCTGCTTAGAGCTTCTGACTTGGAGCTCTTGACAGGGACTTGGGTGAATAGACGTGGTAAGTTAACTATAGGTTTGAAGCCCACGAACATCCACAGGTACTTATTGAACGAGCCGAACTCTTGGGCGATCTGTCCAGACCCCACACAACGAACGAATCTCCGAGTTAGTTCGCGGAACCGACGGATCGACTGCTTGCTCACTCAGAACGTCAGGAACTCTCATGCACTGCGACCCGAAAACAAGACTCGAGACTCAAGACTCGGTCATTGAGCAAATTTGTCCCACCTTGACGACTTGCTTTGCGTTCTCGATGACACCTCGAACTTTCGCCTCCGTTTGTCGGATAGTGTCATCTGCTGCCAATGACGCGATTTTCTTCTCATCGAACCGGGCAACAATTTCCGGATCGAACCCTGCAAACACCTCTCTGTGTGGTGGAAACAAGAGGACACAAGGGGCTCAGAATTGGGAGAAGGGGACATGCTAGTTTCATTCTCAAGTTCGCAAAGCTCCACTTCGATTAATAATCCTTCTGGCCGAATTCGCCCTTTCTATGTCAGCCGGACGCTCGCTACATCTTGCATCCACTACCGAGCGGCACGGGGCATTTGCCAGTGGGGCCCTTGTACAGCTCCATGCGCGCTTAGCGTAAACATCGTAATCTGTGACGTTCGAGCGGAAAGAAACGAGAATCGAAGGCAGTTGGGAAAATCAGTTGAAAAACAGAAGAATCAAGGAAAGTAAAAGAAACCTGAAATAATCCCGCAAAGCCAAGATCTGGGGTCGGCTCAGCTCCGACTGCGCACCTTCCAGCACCATCAGCTCGAACAGCATCCTGCGAAAACATTCGATCCGTCGTATCAATGTCGTCCGCTCTTGTTGGGTTCTATATTTGACATGCAGTGCTTCATTCCGATGTTCGCCCGAGATGCTAAAACGGGCCAATTGTGTGAGCGATAAGGCTCGACAAGTCTAAATCAAGCACTCTGACCCTGATTACACGGCTGCGGTCTAACACCAAAACATGTTCAGAACACTCTGATCCGTATCTACAACAACTCGAGACCGTCTCCGAAAAAACTGTATCAGATCCCAAGACTTCGGAACTTCCAACAATGTCGTCAAAGGTACTCGCGGTCCTCTAAATAAGGCATAGACATTTACTTGTCATTGTGGACGGGAACGCCCCACTCTTCATCGTGGTATGCAATGATGATCGGTTCTGCAAAATAAACAAGGTCGCGTCCGTGAGAAGCTTTTCTTGGAGATGTCCTGCCGTCCAGAAAAAACACTACTACCGCGTCACCATAAAGTTGTATCCTGCCCACACGACTTCAGGAGCGAAAAAACTGATCACTGCAGCCGGTCGACATTGATCAGAAATAGCGTCGACCCTCATTCCTTCTCGTGCTTCCGACACGCAATTGAGCCTCACATTCCACTTCAACGCTCTAGTAATCATCGACTACAGGCTCTCACTACTCAGCCCCAGAACAGCCCACGTTTATCCAGAAAGCTTCGTGAGCCATACTACTCCTAGACCACTCCAAGCTCGAGGTTGTCGGAGGTAAAGAGTCCCACAAATGACAACGTATGCGGAAATATGAACCAACCCAGCAAGTTAAAGATCGACAGAAAGAACCCAGGACAGTGACGAAGCTCTTGATTGAAAACGGGATAGCACACATCGAAGCAGGTCTTTCGACCGCTGCACATTGTCTTCAGACACTGCCAGAAACCTGAAAAATCAAATCGATCCGGATCTCCAATGCCGAGGATACAAAACACGAAGAAGCCCGTAGAGAAGCAAAACTCTGGCAGCAATTGCAAAAGCAAGGTTCCAAAAACAAAGACGAAGGGAGAACGCAGGCGAAAACGAGAAACTGGGCGGTGGAAGAAGAAGCTCGAGAGCATTACCACTTTGAGGAGTGATCCAGTGGCATCTCTTCTTGGTGTCAGTTGGATGGACGGGCGAGGTCGGGAGCATGCCCTCGCAGGCAACGCGGCCGGCTTTGGGAGGTCCAGCTCTCTTGCCGAAGCTGTTGAGAAGGCGATGCTTCTTGAGCATTTGCATATCCAGAGCGCTGAGTTTCTTGCCGGAGATGGTCGGGCTCTCGGGCTCGGGGAGGCCTTCGTCCTTGGAGGACGACCCGTCGGAGGAAGAGCACGACTCGCGGTATTTCCTGAGCGCATTAAAATCGAGAACCGAGAGCTTCTTGCCCGAGATCACGGGGCTGTTGCACTCGGACGGCAGCTCCTCCTTGGTGGACGTGGTGGACGAGACATCGGACGAGCTCGAGGTGCTGGCGGACAAATGTTTTCTCAGCGCCTGCAGATCCTCGAGCGCCGACAGTCTCTTGGTCGAGATCGGACTCTCGGGCGGGCACTCCTCTTTGGACGACGACCCATCGGACGAGCACGACGTCGACATGACCGACGGCTGGAACTGCTGCGAGGGCTTCGACGACGGGAACAAAACACTGGGCATGGATTTCTTCGCGCCCTCCGCAGAGCTCGTTCTGTTCACGCCCGGCGCCGATCGCATTTCCCTGCGCGCCAGCGATGGCGACACGGCCCTGCGCCCGCCAGTGGCTCCCGCACCGGGGGCTGAGCTCGTGGTGCTTCTCGCAAGCCCGGGCTTGAGCGAGGCGGAGCCCCCGGCAGCCGCAGCAGAGCCGTAGCCCGACGAGGGCTTAGCCGGCGCGGGAGACGAGCTCCTGGCGCTAGCTTTGGCAGCCGGGGACGGATTGCGAGCGCCGGCTCGGGACGGGGCAGGGGTTGGAGACGGGTTGCGGGGCAAGGCGCGGTTGGCGAGAGGCGTGGGCGAGGGGTTGCGCGCAGTGGCTCTGGAGGCGGGGACGGGGCTGGGGTTGCGAGCAGTGGCTCGGGAGGCGGGGGTGGGGGTGGGGGAGGGGTTACGCGCAGTGGCTCTAGAGGCGGGGACGGGGGAGGGGTTGCGGGCGGTGGCACGGGAGGCGGGAGCAGGAGAGGGGTTGCGAGGCATGGGATTGGGAGTGGGGGTGGGAGAGGCTCTGACGGCGGGGCCGGGGGAAGGGTTGCGAGCAGTGGCTCTGGAGATGGGCGAGGGGTTGCGAGCAAGAGATTTGGGCTGCGGCGGGGCGGTGATTGCAGATTTGGGGAAGTAGGGAAGTAATCTGGGCGATTGGGCGGAGGTCTTGCGCGGACCAAGAACCGGACGGACGAAATCGTCCATTTTCTCTAATTCCTTTACTCTTTCTTGTTCTTTATCCGGATTTGTTCCCCCGAGTTTCACAGACAAACCTTTGGGAGGTTTCGTGCCTCCCCCGTCCTTCTCCGTGGGAGGCTGCACCGATGTCAAGAGGTCCGCATCTCCGAGCTGCCTCTCGACGTCACGCTCTCTGCACATGTTTTCAATCTCTGCAATACTGTCCTACACCACAATGCCCTTCGCCTGCCGGCCTCTGTCGAGCTCCCTGGCTGTCTTCCTCCTGCTGCTGCTGCTGAACTCAACACTCTACGGGACACGAATGAGAAGCAATCGTCGTCGCGCGACGACCTCTTCTCCGCAAGCACAACCGACTCACTCCTCCCGCCTCCTCCGGCTACCGTAACCTCTCCCACTACCTCGATCAATGCCTACTCCCACAATGTCTCACAATGTAGAACCTCGATCGCAAATGCCGCTCGCCCTCCTCCTCTCGCACACCTCCTCTCGTATCCTCCGGTCCAGATCTCCCTCGTTCGTCTCCTTCCCTCGCTCGTTCGACCACCTCCGTCTTGCTCGTCGCTCCCTCGGCTCTCTCACTCACTCTCTCTCTCGCGCGCGCGCCGCCGAAAGTGCAATGAAGTAGACTAAAATGAAGCTCCTCAGCCCACGACCGAAGCCTTTGTAGGTCCCTTGCCTGCCTGCCTGCCTTCCGATGCACGGCTGACAATCGGTGCAGCCACCAGCGGCAGCAAAGCGAAGCAAAGCCCAGCGCAAGAAGCGAGGAAACGTGCTCTCTCTCTCTCTCTCTCTCTCTCTCTCTTTCACTCTCGCGCACTCTCTAGACTCTCTCTCTCATCTACGTCGCTCTCAACTCTGCAATGGCTCACTTGCTCTCTCGAGCTCTGGGGGCTGCGCTGCGCTGAGCTGAGCTGCGATGCGATGGGCGATGGGCGAGGGGGTGATGATGTTGAGAGGGATGAGAGCGCGGGGGGGAGAGAGATAGATGCTGCGGCAGGCTGGAGGGCGTCCCGGGCGGGCGGGGAGCTGGGGCTGGGGCTGGGACTGGGACTGGCAGCTGTGAAAGTGAAATCGGCCTCTGGGGGCTCTTGAATTCAATGTACCCGAGCGAGCCTGGCCTCTCTTCAATGAACTGGGCCAGCCAGCCACCTCGGAGCCACTGTATCCTGGAAGCAAGCGGACGCAAGCGCAAGGAAAGACGGAGCCCCGGATGGCATCGGCCGCAGGCACGGCAAGAAGCGCACGGACCCCTCCCCCTCCCCCCTCCCGCTCCCGCTCCCCCAGATTCTACAGCTTGCATCATGCAATAAGCGGGAGCGATTCCGGCCTCTAATGCAGGCCCCCCCGCGCTCCTCTGGACGGACAATTCTCTGTCCTCTACCCTCCCCCACCTTTCCTCCCGGTGCCCGGTGCGTGACTCCCGTCGCCCGCCGGGCTCGCCACTGGCACCCGGACGATCGACGGGACTCGGAGCGACACCCCGAGCTGGGGCCTCGGGCCCAGCGCCTCCGCTGGGCCCGAGGGGGGTGGGGGCGGGGGGAGAGCCTGGGCCTGGGCCCGGCCCCGCAGGAACGGGGCAAGAAAGGCTGGGCGCCGATGGGCCGGGTTCGCATGGAGCCGGGACCCGTGATCTGCTGAGCTGAGCTGGTGGCCAGTGCGCCCCAGCCACACGGTACGTCCTCCGAGTTCTAATAGTATACCGTACCTCGGCTTTCAATGAATAAAACAATTAATCAATTTGCGCGTTATGGAAGAAACGGGTTCTTTTGCGATGAGAGTCTAAGAAGAGCGAAAAGGAAAGGATATGGATGGAACTTTATTGTAAATAATGATGGCTCGGTATTCTATTGCGGTTTATGATCACATTTTCGTGTATCATAAGAAGAGTCGCGGATGTGGATGCTTTTGTTGTAAATCATTGCGAAATTTTATTTTTATCGGCTGTCCGGTTTCTATCTCTTTCGCCTTTTTAAATCTTTTTATAAGATAAAGTATTGGCTCTTTCACCTCCTTCCTCTCGATCATTTTTGATCCTAGAGGTTTCAGTACGTAGTTGTAGTTATGGGGGACTGGAAATCCTACGATTTGTACACGCCAAATGAAGCTATGAGCTTCTACTCGTTCGTTATTATTGTGACGCACATGCCGAGCTGCCGACCGCTTGTTCACGTATATCCTGAAAAGTAATAAAATGCAAAAATAATGATTCGGACTATAAATGTATCCACCCTTTCTCCTTGTAATGATAACATCTGCCTAGTGAGATGAGCATGTGATCACAGCAATATAAATAAACGAAGAATATCTCGGATTCATTGTAGGAATGTCACAGGAATATTTTGCTTAATAATATCTCTAGAATATTTTATTTTAGATAGTATGTAATGGAAATTATATATCCGAAGGAAGGTAGAAGCTTGACGGCTGCTTAAATATGACATTATTTTTCTGGTTTTAACTCCCCCGTTCCATTAGCAATGACACGATATCAAAGATAAACTAAGAAGATAAGTCTCTATATTCTCTATTCTCTAAAAAATTTATGTTTCCAAATTTTATGAAAAAAATAAATCCGAGATGGGTGACTTGATATTTAGTTATAAATAGATAATAAATAAATATAAGATTTTTTTTGGGGGAAAATCTGTAAGCAGTTGGATGGCAAACCTAACCAAGATGTGCACATCCCGAAGCTCTAAGTATCATGGTTGCGTACAGTGCCGCCAGCAGCAGCTCTTGACTTTGACTTAGGCCTACAGAAGCTAGGGAACATTCTTCGGCAACCTAGAAAAGTCCAGGCCAGTCGCGTCCCGTCCCCTGGGCCCTAGTTCCGAACCGATCCCTCGGGTGCGGATCGACCCTTAGCTGGAAGGTACTACCTCTACGACTACTGTAGGACCCTCAATGAGGCGACCGGTGGCATGCACACTCTCCGTCTTTACTCCCGCGATAACTCAGCGATAAAGGAACCGAGTAAGTGTTAACTGTGCACCTCATCCATTTCCTCACTGTAGTTTCCAAGGGACCGATGGGGGCCGCTGGACAGCCCTGTACCTTCTCTTCTTTTCGCTCTCTTTTCGGCTCTGCTTGCCCAGCCTGATCCCAGAACCGCACTATGCATATTTTTTTCCTCCCCATATATAAAATGTCACAAATGCCAAATGATAAATTATTGGAACCATGTAAACAGATGATGTTCACCAGCCTTGCCTCCGTAGGTGCTCCCTTTACTTTCTTCTCCAAAGTTTTCACATCCAGAATTCTTTTCGAACCTTACAGTACAATTGTCGTCTCCTTTTTCTTGCTTCATAAAGCCTTCTTTTTAACATCAAATTCCTCTCCGTAAAAGTCACTTTGTCTTTCTGTCGGGTGTTTTACAGATATAATGAGATATTATACTTACAAAGTAATTTCATTCCCTAGACTTTGATAATTGCATGAATAGGCAGTAAAGATATCTTGTCTCCCTGTCGGGCGAACAGCTCAACTCCCATGAAAAAAGAAGAATTTCTCCTCTTCGAGGAGTATTGTCATTCTCCTACGAGAATTCGACATAGAGGTGCAAGTGACTAGTGAACACAACTATGTTAGTGACAAAAAAGAAGAAAAAGGAACAAAAAATATCATGCTTGCATGTCCATTAACGTGGGTACAGACTAAAATGTTGCAAGCCGAAGTGACTCTCAACGTGCTAGAAAACAAACTAAAACAACTAGAAAGACGCAGATGGAAATACAGTAAAACATATGCAAGCACAAAAACGTATAAAATTATGAATATGAATAGGGTGCAATCACAAGTGTAGTCCATGTTTGTTCACAAAATCTAATTTACTTGTCTTTTGTTGACAATCGTCATGGACCACAGTAGTACCTAGATTGAACCGCGACAGGTTGACACTGGCAAACGTAACATAGGACAATATTCATTCGCTGTAAGAATTTAGTGGAAAGCTCGAAACCTAAGGATGTAACAGATTCATAGATGAGGAAAGCTCTGAGAGTCGTCAAGATTTTTAAACCCGGAGATTTTGTTGTCCCATCTTGTCATAAGATAGAGATTTTCCACGATGAATTGAGGTTATTTTGTCAGGCACATAGAATAGCATGGTTTTGCAGAAGAGTTTTCAAAAGCTATATAGCTAAATTTACCAATACATGGAATCACTATGTATCAATTTCATCGTTGCCTTTATGAAGAACCAAGAATATCACTCGCCGAATGAAAAGTGATGCATTCGTCTTGAAACATTTCTGATAGCTACGTATCCTTGACAAGCCAAACATCTTCATTCAGAACTTTTTGTGATGTACGCGTGGGGCCTGGCCCTGTCCAAAATTTGAATGGAAAATCGATGTTTCATAAAAAAATGACAAGACAGATAACTGCCAAATACTATAACCATCAAACCTTTAACAAGACGTTGAGCGAAAGTTTTATCTTGATCTTAGTCTTAAACTATTCTTTTAAAGGAAAATCTTGTACTCGGATTTCTCAACTTCTGAATTTGCACACTTTGCCGATTTTCATTGTGTTCGAGGTTCTCTATTTCGTCACACGTTATGAACACATTATTAAAAAAACAAATTTATATGTTGCCAAAGGTTTCATGACATCATTTTTCGGAAGCTTTTATAGACTGGTAGTACATAGAGTGTAGTGAAACAGTGTCTCACTCCAACTATATTAAATATCCCCAGCCTCCTTTTTGACCTGGAATTTTGGAAGTCATAATAGTATACATTACATTAACTACATGAATTACTATTACATTATATCAAATATGATTATTATAAAAAGTCCAGCATACCATACAGTTCAGTTATATATATATATATATATGTGTGTGTGTGTGTGAGAGAAATATAAATATAAATTGAAATATTTCTATCATTTATTGTAGTTTAACTTATGGATATAATTCCATCTCATTTTTAGTTAAAGAAGTCATCCGAAATTTTTTTGGAATAAATAAGCTTCTTCGGAAAAAAGTTTACTGGATTTTATTGAATTCGAATAAATATTAAAGACTGTGTAAATTCACTTCTTCTAAAATATGAGGTGCTTTGTTTCTAATTCCGTCATCAACATTGTGAAATGACTTCAGAATCAAACATCATGTTATTTTGTATCCATTTCAAAATTATGAAAATGGTTAAAGATAATAGAAAATGGCTAAAAAATGTATTTATTAATTATATAGAGATTTTTTTATATATTTCAATGAGAAGATGTAATGGACCTTTAAGATACAAAATTTTCAAAACAAGTAAGTAAGAGAAATGATTAACTATTTTTTTTCTTATGACTTAAAATATTTTTTCAGGAAAGATAAATCTCAATCCAGTGATTTATTTATACGAATTCTTAATATATATATTAACGGGGCCATTACTTCAAATATAACTCATATCTACAAAATACGACTTAATCAAGTAGATCTACTATTTGAACCATATTTCTTTTCAGATGCTATTATATTGATATACAATAAAGTATTAAAATTGATTAATATTTTTTATCAATAATTAAAATCTCATTGATTTAAATTTCTGGGAGTTCCAAAATTAATTTTATTAAATTCAAATCACAATATATCAAGAAAATTGAGCGAAGTCCATGCTCATAAGATGCTTCTACACCTAAATATCACTGATACGCAGTATGTGTACTGTAATATTTTAGCTAGAATTCCCTAACTGGAGCGTGGATTTAAGATATTGGAGACGGTATTGCGTTTTAGTGTAAAATACCGCATGTATACTTTAGAATAGGCTACACAATACTATACCGTCTCCCAACGTTAGAGTTGGCACATTGTGTCACAGAGTCGTTGAAGTATACATCACACAACGTAGGACAGAAACAAGTTGGACTCAATGAATACAAGGACTCTAGAGAAGATCGGATGATAAGAACATTGAGTGAAATTTAGTTTTTTAAACGAGTCAAATTTCCTCCATTAAACGCCTTTCCCACTCCAAGACTCGAGGGTTGTGGATAGAAAATCGGGTGATTAGATTGTATCTGTGGAGAGCATGTGATCTCCGGCCTGCAGGCTAGAACTGGTGCATTTATTTGTCTTCCAGTCCCAAGAGGAAGTTACACGGCATGTGGACTTCTCAACACGAACACGTGTAGTTACTACGGACAATAAGTCAATAAAACCTCATGGATAAAATGGAGGAGAGAGAGAGAGAGAAGGAGGGAGGGAGGGAGGGAAGGTGGGAGCCACCACATTGACTGAGCAAAAAACGGTATTTCAAATCCTCCATCAACAACCAGAATTGTGTCACCACATCCACACTGCATGATCTCCATAAGCATCATCCCATTGCTTGCATGCCATTGGCGCTCCACACGGCATGTGCACAAGCCGCCAAAACTTGGCAGTGACATCCTCATGATGGCCTTAACCCGGAGTCAAGTTGCTCGAGGGGAAGAATGTTTTCTAACTGCTCATTGTTAACTGGAGCACTTGGGTAAGCAAAGCTTCCACTGGTTACGCAGGTCAGAGCTCGAGCTAGCCTTGAGGCTAAACGCTAGGGACTCAGTGCTACGGCAACGTGATTATGCGACCAAAACAGAGAATGTTCAGCCCTGAATCAGATCTCTTCCCCACCGCATCTCCTCAGGCCCCAGCATGGGCCCATAACTCGCGGCCCCTGTTGTTCCTTGCACAATAGAAGGGGGTAGAACTGACATTCATCAACTCATGTTTAGCAGATGTTCGCAGTGCGGTCTTAAAAAACCCGAAGAAGAAAGGAGGAGGACCTTGAGAAATACGAATTTAACCAGAAAACATGTTCCTGATTTCGGGGACTTGCGGGCCATAAATCCCACATCGCCTTCAGTGCGAAGGGCATCGTCTGGGAAACATGGACAACATGGTAAAAAATCAAAGGGGGTGAAAGGTAAAATGGAGTGGCGGGCAGCAACATGGGGCTGCAGAGCTACTTGCTATAGATAGAAATGGAATCAGCGAGCACTGTATTAGGTCGAGATCGGGGGCCAATAAGCAGGAGAGAGGGAGAAAGGTCGAGGCAGGGATGGAGTCATGGTTGACTAGAGAGAGGACGCAATTAAAAAAGAGAGAAAAAAGAGAGCAAAAGCAAGGACGAGCCAAAACATATTATCATGGGATAACAAAACAGTGGAGTGCAGTGATGATGGTATGGTGGTTGCTTGGTAGGACCAAAGGGGCACCGGAGTCCAGGGTGCTGAAAATCGCGACCGAAGGGTGAGAAGGGCTGGCTGCTCGTTACCAGGATAGGGGAGGGGAGGGGAAGGGTACCGGACGCGAGGTTTCACATGTAAAATGTCCCACCATCTGACCATCTGGAGTATCGATCTCGATCCGCACCGTTGGTGGCGACTTCTTTATTGTAATGCCCACTTTTCGTGGAGCTTTAAATGACGAGATGGCTCTTGTGGGTTTATGTGAATGGACAGTGGTAGAGAGGGACGGAGGGCTGCACAGAGCATGATCATGGACAACGAGCCCCAGCCCGAGCCACGAAGGAAAGGATTGGATTGAGGTGTATTTCTCTGCTTTTGCTCTCCCGGCCGGACCCCACCCCAAAGAGAAGACCCTCGCATAGTTTCCCTCTGTTTTGGCTAATCGATATTGCACCATGGCGTTTGTGCTCTGCTGTACAATAGTGTTGTACCACTCTCACTGTTGGCAGGCTCTCTCTCTCTCTCTCTCTCTCTCTTCATACCTTTGATTAGAATACCCACTTGTGGTCCTCGTAATTTAGTCTGGGATTACAAAATACATCGGTATTTATATCCCTCCGTCCAATATGTTATTTTTCGATCCGGATTTCTGTCAACAATGTCGCGTTTTTTTATAAATAATTGGGATGTCGAGCAATCGGAGGAGAGGAACAAGTGTTAGAGGATATCCATGTCGCGGTGATGGGGGATGATGTAACACAGCACCAGCATAACATCGTCAATCCATCACTTGAGGATAGGAGAGGACATCACATGCGAAGAGAGGAATATGTTGATGGTATCCCATGATCTTCTGGTTGCATAAAACCCAGACTACATCCTTTCGCCAGCCAACTCAAACAAACCGCCAGCCCGAACACATGAGCATGAGAGAGAGAGAGAGAGAGAGAGAGAGAGAGAGAGAGAGAGAGATTGATTCACGAAGTTGGTTTGGGTACACTTTGTGAGACATACCTCGCCAACTCCTTTTCATCAACATACCGTTGGGCATAAAACCTTCCACTTGCTCGCATCGACTGGCATCTACAACGCAACAAAATATGTGTGTGTCCGCCACTGCGAGGCCATCTCTTTTTCGCTTGACCGTATCCATCCTCTCCAGTGCCAACTAACCCTTTTGACCGTTTATTATTTTTTTCGGCACATAAGGCCTGCATGTGCTCGTATTAAGCCAACGGTTCTCTCTGGCTGTGCGAGTGCCCTCTCGAGCCTCGATTCTGCCGTCGACCGAGACCTTGCAGCCAAGTGCCCCCCAACGACTCCCGCTTCTACCACTGTACATTCTGCATTCATTCATTCATCCGGTCAAAGCGTGAGCTTACCGTGACCACCTTATTCCATAATCTCATTGGCCTAAGACTCATGAGTTCGGTCACAACAATCATAACGAGGAGCTAGTATCAAGCACCTGAGCGTGTCGAGGAACAGTCATGTCTTTTATTTAACATAAAGCCTTTTCAACGCCCTGGAATTGGCGATATCCACTGTATTTCGATTCTAAAGACGAGGAGGAGGAGGAGGAGGAGGAGAAGAAGAATGAAGGCAGGAAGGAATGCAGGGCTTTGACAAGCCCTGCCCTTAAACCGACCCCGGGTGCAACATTCCGCCCAAATGGATCGATGCATCTCGAAGGACAGAGAGCAGCCAGAGAAGAAAGTCTGTAATGTGCAGATAGAACCCACGTCAGTTACACACACATTCAATACGGCACAGTCATACTGTACGTACACGTGAGCGCAGAACTTACGTTGACCCCCATGTCGAACGAACAGCTGAAGAAAAAAGACGTGGCATTACCATTTCACCACAGTTCGCGAGGGAGCTTGTCCTGCGCAGGAAGAAGTCCCCACCGCAAATTGAGGGTCCTCTCCTCTGGGGCGTGAGAGCGAAATGCACAAGATTGCGAAATACGTGCTCTCGGCTTCTTCTTGGTGCGGCGGGACTGCATTTCGTACAGCGGCGTACCAAGTTGCGCATACTAACGGCCTCGCCGATCTGGAAGCTGTTCGACGAGACTGATTGAGAGCAAAGGTCGCCCTCGCTGCGGAGGAGGCCGAAAGAAAGACGAAAGATGCGGCCGCGAGGCCGTTCCTTGTGACAGTGATCGGTGGCAGGATGAAAAGGTGTCCCGGGGTGCGGGAGAGGCGAGAGCATTAATTCGCGCTAATCTTTGGATTCCTACGAGCTGCTGCTGCTGCTGCGTGGCGAATGCCACGGTCCCGTGACGTACGAGGGGTTTTCTCGCAGAAGTGGTCCATCCATCTCTCTCCAGTTCATCACCTAAACGGAGTCCGTCGGGAATCCAATGATGGGCGTCGTTCGCCTCGCTGCGATTGTGGCGTTGATTGCTGCAGGCCTGGATCCCGACGGGGTACGGGGAAAAGCCCTTTGTTCTATCCCCATAAACTATAATTCATTCCATGGACGAGCTCCGGTACTGAGATTCTCCTGCGGGCTGCACTTCATCCAAAGCCATTTGGCCCTCTTTCGCATCAAATCCGCTGGCGTAAGGCCATAGCCTTGGACTCCGCCTCGGGGCCGACTCAACCACGCCGCGGTCGTGTCTCCGTGGTAGCTCCGTGGTGGATTGGCGGAGAGTTGTTGGACGTGGTAGATCGCTCCGCTAGCGAGCGAGAGAAAGAGAAAGAGAGAGAGTCAGGGAGTCAGACGTCGAGGACTGGATGGAAGCCCGAAAGTAAGTCAGTCAGTCGGTCAGTAAGACGCTGTGGAAAGGACCGTTGTACGTCGGCAGGAGATGGTGGCGAAGCTAAGCTGAGCTAAGCGGAGGAAAGGAAAGGAAAGGAAAGCTAAGCTAAGCTCTATCTCTGTGACTGTAGGGTGGGGTGGGTAGGGTGCGGGGGAGATGCGACCCGAGTTAAAAGCGCATGGCATGGCATGGGAGCTCATGGCATCACACACACGACAGCACACCGCGCCACGGTGGCGCCTACATGCTGCGTCATTGGTGACATGCATCTGTGGCGCGACGAGCATCCGCCCGTGGCACTCCGGGCGGGGGGTGGCGTGAAGGCCGAAGGAGAGAGAACTCTCCGCTCCGCTGCCCTCGCGGCGGTCGAGATGTGTTGACTTCAATGATGGAGGATCGGCCTCAACATGCCCATCTATATCCGCATCGTCGGCATCGGCATCCATTCACGCAAACGACGAAGGCGTATCGAGCTTCAGCTAAAGGCCGTCTCGGAAAGACAAGCCAAGGCGAGCGAGCCCGATGCCGCTGCTCGAGATCATGTCTATAACGCCGGCAGGCGGGCAGGCGGGCTGGCAGGCGGGGCAGGCAATGACTGACTATAATCTCGATGCGAATCATGAGGACGGGGATTCAAGTGGTACGACGACGAGGAGTGCCATCGGCCCATTGGCACGGGCCTGCCGTTGGCGACTTGCTCTCTTGATTCAGTCCGTCATTGATTGATGCATTGATTCGTTCCAGATGCGCTGCACGAGAAACGGACCCAGGTCCGTGCGGTCCCGAATCTTCTTGAATCCACCCGCGCGACCTTTCGGCCGAAACTTTGCTTCCTCGACCGGAGCGGGGGCCCCATCATTCATGGATTCAGCCGGTCACTCTCCGTCGCCGTGCTCGGGTTCCGGTCAAACGTTCTCGAAGCGAGAGGATCCGGACGCTTCAGCCGGTGGCGAGCGCGGGAGAAGAAGCGCGACGTGGGAAGCTGGGTTCGTTACAGGAACGTTCTCTGTTACAGCGTTTGACAAGGTTGTGCGGAATGATGAGGAGAAGGAGGAGGAAGTAGAAGGTGCCGTAGAACTTGTGGCCTGGCAAGCCTTCGCAGCCGTGGATCTGGATGACTTGCAGATCTGCCTGCAATAGATGTGCTGACACCGGAAGGTTCTGAGCTTCTGTCTAACAGAAGTACTTATCATCCATCCGTCCATGTCATTTTGATGGATGAATGAGGTGAAGCACTGAAAGTACCGAGGGAGATATTTCCTGTTCGGCCTGGGGTTAAGCTTACGACGTGGCATGAATGCCACGTAGTTATGTCCACTTTTGAGCCAACATCTGTGATCTGATCTATGATTTCTTGTGATATAACTTATTTCTCGTGTATAAATAAGCTCTCAATACAGATGTCGTGATCTCCATCCCACTTGGCCAACTGCATCCACCATAGTATACCACGTCCGGCAGGATTGGACAAAAAAAATTCGAGTTGATTTGTTATTGTTCATTCGGAAATGTCAAAATGGCTATATTCCATGCACATATTTCAAATAAGCCATTGGAACCAAAGCAGTTCTTAAATTCTTAAATCCTTCACAGATCCATAGAATAAAGTACACATATAAGTTATTCACTTCGGTCATGCTGCATTGTTGATCTCATCTCATGTTGATCTTCATATGATGACTTCAAGTGGTAGTGTGAAACCACCAACACTTGATGACGGAATAGTGTTACTTCGTTTACAAATTGGGGAGAATATTCTCTTCGTTCTTCGATTAGGTTGATGTAAATTTTATACAACAATTTTTGCTCATATGCACAGCTAAGCTTAGCATTGCCACTAAAAATTGAGTGCTTTTTCTTTTCATGTGGTTTCACAATGCTCATCTACCTTTGGCCTCTCTGGAATACACATGACATGCTTGTACATAAATTTGAAGAAAAATGTAGATAAAAACATAAAAACATAAATTTGAAAATATTCATTTATTATAAAATGATCCACTTGCAAAATCAATCAATATGGCATAATCCATTATCACAATACATGTAGTGTAATACACAAACACAAATACATAATAATAAAAGTTCATACTTTCAAGCACTTTCTCAACAACATTATATATGAAAAAATTAAGTCAAACCAACATCATTTTCTGGTTTCAAAAATTACATTTTGTTTCACCAGCTATTGTTCATCAAATTCAAAGTTGAGAACTCATGACTTCAAAATTCATAATTTAAGTAAATCCAAATTAGATTTCAATTGGATATCATGTACAAAGTAAGGGTTTATATTCAAGATTCACTAATTACATTATCAAAATTTTTAAACACTATTTATAGATGCATGTACACATTCATCAATCTGATTTTAAAATCTAAAAACTACATTATGTAAAAATAATTTCAAATACTTATTTCAAATAATTTATCTAAATATCATCGTTAATCATAAAATATTTGTGCAGAAAAAGTGTTGATATATATAATTAAACTACTATATTGTATATTTATTAGTTAAAACGTCCACAAGCAACATATATGTTATGCATAATAAGAATCAAATATATTAATAATACCTATTTGATTATGAACTTATGGAGTTTAATAATTGATAAGTGTTGAAAGTTTAATACTTTTTTTAATCAATTAGCTTCAATGATGTAATCAATGATAAATAAAAAATATCTGTTGTATTGCTCCATATAAAATCATAGAGCAGCTTAAGCTGATTAATGATTGGTAAAATTTGAAAAAATAACTTATGTGTGGAACAAGTAAAAAATTTCGTAAAGAGAAAAAGAGAATTTTTTAGCAAGTAGATAAGATTTGAATGAAGATATGCTATGAAAGTCATGTAATTTTATGCTGGCTATTAATATTTACGAAATTTGTTTTTTCGTGTTTTTGATGTAATCTTATTTTTTAAAAATTTGCTGCAATATGTCAAATACAATTTTCAATTATTTCATTTTAAAAATCATATGATTTCAAGAATATTTGTGTCCAATCTCATCATTTCAAACATTCATTGATATGGAATTTTTCTGATGTTGATATTTATAAAACACTAATATTTATGAAGGTTATTTAAAAAGATTTGATTCAAAAAGACCTTATTTAAAGTATATCCTTAGATCTAATAATACAGTAACAAACCTTGCGAATTGCGCTATCAATTTCTTATCTTGTATTGTATTTTGTAATTATTCATGCACGTATACATATTTAACAAGAGCATAAATTATGACATTGTTTAAAGATATATGAAGACTAGATTTTATATTTTTTTGAGGAAAATGATACAAAAATGGACCCTTCTACTTTACCAAAGATCTAAATATTACTTAATTTCAATGCATAATATTAATATTTGCTTCAAGATGAGTCTGAATTTAGATTTCATCTGAACGCATCGTTACTCCCATGGCTGGCTTGATCATTCTAAAGAAGAGTTGAAAACTTTCTTAGGAGGACAACAATTTCCTACTGCAAACTTGAATTCCGATCATTTATATTTGGATAAACAAACCGTATCTCTTGAACTTGATGTGTGCAAATGCTCGTCGGAACATGTACCTCTGGTAAAAACATGTTCTTCATTGTAAGCAGTGGGAAGTGTGTGTAAGTCTCATCGTCTTCCATAGTTTCGTTCTAGTGCAAGCTTCTCTCTTCTCCCAATTCGCGGTACGTTCTACTTGGCCAGTGTTCTCTTCTGGTTTTCAAAAATTCTGACGACCTGTTGTACGATATTTGTATTTTGCAATCTGTGATGGTGTCGGTGGATTAATATTATCCGGAAGATTTCGACTAAATTGAATACGAACATTTGCAAAGTTAAGAGCTCAAAAGAGGAAAAATACCGTCAATATGTGTTGATCCAAAACCTTCCTGCTAAGCGTTCATCGAAATTATTTCCATAATAATTCCAATATAATATTTCCACCGAACCAAATATAAGGAAACGCTATCAGATCAAAAGCAAAATAATCATACATTCGTGTATTTGGAAAAATAAACAATATTTAGATAGGACATTCAACGTAAGTCCTCATTTAAGCCGTAAGAAAACCTTGTGCGAGAAGGTATTGCCATAGAGGTGGATTCTAGCATTTGTAATCTTCAGGAAAGCGAAAAGGACATCAGACAAAAGCAACTGCAAACCTCCATATTGGAAAATTCACGAAAGCACTGAATGCAAACGAAGGCGTCTTTGCACTTGCATCCAGTCGTTTGGCACCATTTGTTCTTCCAGCTTTTCTGGCTCAAAGGCGACGGCAAGACGCTGATTGGGAACCGTGAGAAGACCAATCTTCCGCCCTCCTTTATCAGAAGCTGGAACGAGGGAACTGGGGAACACCCTCGTCGACAAAAGGCAGGAGTCCAAAATGCTCCAAACCTTGCTTGGAGTCAATGAAAAGAACAAAAGCATTGTCTTTTTCTCGATATTTCCAGGAGACTCGGAATTGCTGTCTTCCGAGCATAAGTTGCATGACGGAGCTCAGTGCATCACTACGTGCTGCTGCAACATGTGCCAAATAGGTCGAGGAGGACCGGGGAGGGGTTCAACATGGAAATAAAGCAATGGTGGCCTTGTAAAGCAGGAAACGAACGGAAGAAAAGAGGGAAGACAATAAAAGAGCAGGCATGTTGGAGCACTGTGCACAAGGAGACGTAGACGTACATTCTTTGCTGCAGCTGAGATTCTCTCTGGGTTTCCAAAGCTTGCCATGTCTTCCTGCAAACAGTCTTATTTCACACACTCCACAATCAACACATAGTTTTATAATTTCTATTTTGTTTTGCAGAAAGGTGTAGCACAGATCATGGACTCAACTTTCGAGTTTGAGATCCTTCTTTACCACGTGACAAAAGGAATTTTCACCATAACTCTTGGCACAGATTTGTATCCCATTCATGATCTTGCTTTTCACCAGTCTTGAAGTAGACAATGAAAGGGAGAGTCGAAGAAGGAAACGTACCACTTTCGAGACATGGATGAAAATGGGCGAAGGATGGATAAGCAGGTTCCCAGCTTTTGTTGTGATGTCCGGAACGTAAAGGAGATGGCGAGCGATGCATTCTCCAGTGTGAGCCTGAAGCATTTTACCACTGATGCAGAAGAAGCACGGAGAGTAAATTTTGAACAATGAATCTGTCGGAGGAAATGGGAAAGTGGAGACGAGTGGACGGCTCCTTCAAAAGTTACAGCCTAGAGCGAGCATGCATGCTATGGATAAAGGGAATTTTTCAGGACCGTAGACACCTTCGTGGAGACACGCTCAATGGATGTCTCGCAAGCTTCACGTTGTGAGACTCGGACCAAAAAACCCCTGGCCATGCAAATCAACTGACCTCGTCATCTCCATTGACAGAAGAGTCTCAGTGACACCACTGCCTCCTACCAGATGTGAGACCAGATATCCTGGTCTCCCACTAATAAATCTAAAGTGGACGCGCTTTTTAAGCCTTCGTCAATCCTGTTCTGCTACACGTAAGGACACATATGATTCCATGCTTCAGTGGTACAACCGTCAAATCGCTTAGTTGTTCTCGGCCAGCCTGTGCTACGTATAAGTTTCCACCCTGGCATGGCTGACCTGCATTTGTTTCTGCCTCTCCGTCTGGAAAAGCATCCTCGCTTACTGGAAACTACGGCGTTTACCCCTCGACTAAAAGCGACTAATTAAAAAAAAGACGCATATGAGTCGGCTAGTTGCAGTCTGTGCTAGCTGCAGGACCACGAGATTCTTTGAACAAGTCTAGATTTATGTTTTAAAACTAAACCTGCGTCACATCCGGATAATACTAAAACTAAGGTATAGGAGGTTAGGAGATTCTTTGATCTCCACGACAGTAATTTGTAAGATATCAGAGATACACAAGAAAGAAGACAAGTTCAGTTTTGGTCAGTTCAATCATGATCCCAAATTATGACATCACATGTTTGATTTTCGAACCAACAAAAATTAACGTGTACATTGATTTAACTGTCCATGAATTATGATATTGATGCGGTCAGTTGCAAATCCTGTGCTGCGTGAGTTCATCTTAAATCATGTGTGTCCCCTACGTTCCTTTGAGGTTGTCTTGCCAACGAACTTGAGCTTTTTCACCGCCGGCCAAAGCGCACGCTGACAGTAATTGATCCGATGGAATGTTGAAAAAATAATCCTCCTCACATTTAAGATTTTCCGTGTTATCTTGGTACCCACTGACATGGAGTTTACTGAATGCACTCTTCTCCATGTATATACATTGTGGGCGGCATTTAAACTTAGTACAATAATCCGTTCCCGAGATCTCGAAAGCTGGCCGTCTAGGACATCTGAACAATTCAAATACTGGGATACGTGATATTGCTTTTCGTTGAAATGAAGATGATATACATAATGCTCTTCCTAGACGTTTGGATAAGCGTTTTTGTGAGGTAGAGTATGAAAAGCATCCTGTCTGATCCACCAAACATTTACATCATTCATGTGGCTGGGGGCAATCCCAAGTTCATTCTGCAGTGCAAATCCTATCAAGGTCATTTTATGTACCTACAAAATCAAAAAGTAATAAATGATATACAAAACTTCACAACCTTTCTCCCACTATCCTGTACGGTTGGCACCGCTCACGCAAATGACGAGTTAGTACTAGTTCTAACCAGTCCATTAGATGGACTAGAGGGTTTCTCCGGTTTGCTAAATATGCCTCTTCCAAAGTAATCCGCAATAACTGAAAACCCATCCTCTGAGTTACGCACCAACTGAAAGAATGTGTCATGATCACCAGCATTCTGCTCTAAGTTTCGCTTCAAGTCCAAAACATGTCTATAAGCAGGTGCGCAGATTGGACACTCCTTCTCATTGTCCCCAAGACAACGCTGGTGAAAGGAGTGCATACACAGAAAGTGAATGGCTGGCAAATCCAGAACAGATGTACAAGCAGTGCATTTACTGAGCTGGAAAATGCGTGCGTTGGTTTTGAGTTCATGAACCTCAGCTCGCATTGTTGAAGTTTCCTCCTGTATCCACAAAGCGAATGAGATTTGAGATACATCTGCATATGAATCATCTCTTCAGGGTGGGAAATAAGATTATCGATAATTTCATGAATGGCCTCGAACTTTCTGGGAGTGGAAGAACCGGAAGCATTAGATCTGAGGAATATCACACATTAAGAAGAGGCAAAGTAGGCCATAAAAAATACCTGGTACTTCTCAATCGCTCTCCGATCTTCATCTATGTATCTCGTTTCCTGCTGTATCTGTCGAGCGATATAATCCTTCACAACCGACAAGGTCAGTGTGGCATTCTTGGCCAGTTTTTGCAAGACGATGAGTGGAGGCAGAAGATTATCGCGCTCAATGTACACTAGGACCTCCTTGACTTCCTTGGAACAGTCTTCTCCACGCTCCCCAAAGTAGGTCAACACATCACTCCAGATTGAAGAATCTCCTCCTCGGCTGGCATCACCCAGTCGCTTACAACACGATATCAACCCTTGATAATCTCCATCTTTCATGTAGACCACCATGACTTCCTTATAAAGCTTCATCTTCTCGTACAGAAACAACAGTCCGTCCCTAAAATTGTGCATCTGACACAAAACAAGAGCAAGATCTACGTCGTATCTTGGTTGCTGCTCATGTGGACCCCAACCGTTCTTGAGTAAACCCAAAGCTTTCTTCAGTCTTTCTTCTCTATCCTCAGGGGATTCTTTCTCCACGGCTGGTACAACTACAATTGGTACTGGTTTTTCTTTGGTCCTGATTTTTGGAGGGGTACCATTCATTACAATCGTTTTACTGGACTTTGATTTCAGGCCCCAGGTAGCAAAAGGGTCATTCTCTTTCACAGGACTAATTTCCTTCAAACTAGGAGTCTCCTTTGAGGTTTCCTTCACAAAAGGCGCTTCCGATACCACTTCCGTGAGCACAGGGGTTCGCAGATCTTCTGACAGATAGAGCTCAAGAAGAGTGTTGTGAATCTCCAGATGAGCCAAAGAATCCTTCACTTGTTCGACATACTTTTCGAAGAACTTCATCAACCATTTGGGTTGGTCAATGAACACATGAACAAAGTCGACCGGAGATGGTAGGAGGTTGCCACTATTGGAATGAGACCCGTTCTCTGTGCCGTCACTGCTGCTTCCCGTACAAAGCTTCATCAGAGCTGCAGTAGTTTCAGCCGGCTTGTGTCCAACCAGAGTTTTACCGTATTGCTTCAGTGTGACTGCTTCTTCATAAAGAGGGAGGCTGGATATATATAGCAAAGCCTCTTCGTAGCGACCAAGATCTTCCAGCAGTATTTTCAAGTATGACTCATGCTCTCCAGCTCTTTTGGCCACATATAAAGCATGTTGGTAATAACCTGCAGCCCGACAAACTCTCACAGCCGTTTCCACGTCGAAACGATGCTCCCCTTCCCTGCTCTCATCCCCCTTGATGAACTCATCCAGCTTCGAAACATCCTTCAGCTTTGTATAGCAGTTAAGGAGAAGCGTGGTGTGATCTGCTGTTGCAAGGCCTTTCTCGTGAAGCTTTTCGAGGTAGTTTGTTAGATTGTGTATCTGCTGGGCATCCAAAAATTTCTGGATAACATAGGATGGCTCCAACTGACCTATGGTGCGAATATACTGTTGCATTGCCTCCCCGTAGTTTTGCTTTTCATACAAATGATCTCCGTATTTTCGCATCACCTCTGCTGTGGCAGCAGCGTCTGCATGTTGACTCTGGACAAGGTTGATTGCAACCGTGTACAAATTCTTCTTGAAAAGCATGGCCAGCTTACTTCCCATGTCCTTCTCTGCTACACAGAGGATCTTTTGGTCTTTGGTGAGCACAGTGATACTACCCCATTCACATAATATATGCGATACATCTCCAATGGGAACACTATAGGCGATCAACTTGTTCTTCAGATCATATATGTTGAAGACATTCTTGCTTGCCTTCTTTGGAGTAGCTGTTACTGCCAGAAGATATCCTCGGAACCAGCCCAGGTATCGTTTTTCGCCATCGAAAGCCCAGCATGGTCCCCGTCCATCAGCCTCGTAAAAGTACACAGCCTCGGGTCTACCTACCACGAGTTCCTGTTATTCCAACACCATAAATCCTGGATTAGTAGATATCAGAAGTCTGCGTGTGGATTATAAGGACCATGTCAACAAGCGCTCGGAAAAGCCTACTGCACCTCCCCATTCTTGGAACCAATAGGTTTATCCGAATTCGAGTAACGAGGAGTGTAGAACATAAACGTAATCTACAAGAAATGCTTGACTTCCAGAAACAAAGTGCCACTATAATCTTCTAGAATGCGATTCTCAACAACTAACATACTGGGGAACATTCAACTCCAGTTCAATGAATACGGAATACGGTGTCTATGAAGGAACCTAGAAGGAGACAAAGCTACATGTCGGGGCACAATTCAGAATCTTAAAAGAGCTTCGATTACCCGTCGCATTACCTGATTGTCACTCATAGTCATGTTTTGACCTTCTCCACCTAGCATGTCCAACACATGCTTCTGTGGAGGCTGCTGATGCATGTCAAAAAGATTAACCGATGTCGTACTCACTGCAAAAAGCTGGAGGATGGCACCGTCTACTCGGAACCCTAAGCCTGTGACGGGAGAGGCGGGCTGATTATCAACTGCTGGATCGACTTGAAGTCTGAGTCTCGATACACGTTCCCTGGCTACATCCCCTCGTATGCAATAAATATGTCCTGTTTCGAGTCCTATACAGACCAGCAAAATTGGCGGGGCCTCCTCAAACACTAAAAAAGATGTAATCTGAGATCCAAAAGTAAAATGTCAGATGATAAACATATATCTGATGACCATAATGTCCACAAAACTAAGTGTCAGTAACAAAGTTCAGATCTTTGATTGAAGTACTTCGTCTCATGGCTCTTAATCTAAACTTGTAACAAACTCTCAAGGTTATGACTAGATAGAAATGAAACCAACTGAGATATAATCATGTTAAATGAGGGGCAAATTTCATTCATACTGACTCAAAGGAAAACAACAGTTCTGTCTTCAGAAACTGACCTTCGCTTCAGGGAATTTTGGAGCAAAAATCTTCAAGCTTCGAACACAGGCTGGACCGGTTGTGCTAGAACCCTCAGGCTGCATTTTGTCCAGGTCCCACATTTTCAAGTGCATGGCTGTCACACGGGGTGTTGATGTGTCATCTTCACCAACCGACACCAGCATGTTCCGTTGCTGTTCAAGAACACAACAAATTTCAGAGAAGCTAGATTGCATTCAAAAATTACAGAGCAAAAGGAACAGGTTGAAGCAAAATTTTAAACTTAATCGGCGTCCCAAGGATGTTCCCGCGTACTGATGAATGGTTGTTACATAATTATTTAAGAGTCCACAGAGTTTTCACAGCTTCACACAGCTTTCACAGCCTAAAATTCGACATGCGGACGAAAATCGAGAACCTTGTTGGGATCATGGCAGTACCTTGAGTTGCTGAATATATTGGACATTGATAGAGTGAGCCTGGAAACTGTAGCTCAGCTTCAGCCCTCGGTCGAGAACATGCACACTGGCATCTTCGGTCCCCACTGCAATTTGACCTCGACCGCTAGTACTACATTCCAACTTCTCCTTTAGCTCCTCGGCCACATTACCGCCGACGGCCTTCTCCTCGAAAAACTGAAAATTACGCCACTGATACATTTTGGTACCCAGGCGCCGATTTCCGCCAACAACTTGCCTCAGAAATCCGCGCCAAGCTCTGCACCCATCTAGAACCTACACCGCTCTTGAAATCGCTCGATCCTTCCGCTCCCACGATGGTCCTCTAGAAAACGCCACAGATTCTCGCGGATCGGAAGAGCATCTTCAAATCCTTCCTTCAGATCTCCAGCCGCACCTCCCTCCACCCTTTAAAATTTCAACCAAAAAAGAGAAGAAGCACTGACGCACAAATCAGAGCATGCCCAGCTTCAATGCAAAACTCACTCCACCTGTATAACGAAGAACCTACACCCAACCTGACACCCTCGATCTGCAGGCTTGAAAATTTCTATCTGCAGATTCAGCATCGCCCACTGGTTCGCCACGATACCAAAGGCAACTGATACACACGCGGAGGACAGATCCTAGCCTAAAATTCAAATTTGAAGATCGCACCACATTCCAACAAGCTGCGCAAATCCTCTTTCACGAGGCTGGAATTATTCATTCCTTCAATCCGAGCTCTGAATGTGCGAACTCATCGTACCTTGCTCGTGCGTGCACAGTCACTGTCAAAGAGCATGCGGATCTTGAAACTCGAAATCGCCACCACTTGGCGAATCGTCTCAAGAGTCCAGCGGAAATGCTTGCGAACAAATCAACGAGCAAACGAGTGCCGACACGCCATCCTCCCACTCCCCTCCCTCCCTCCCTCCCTCCTCTGGCTCGCGGACGACGACGACGACGACGACAACGCCCGTCCGTCTGCACCTCTGCCTGCCTGCTGGCTCCCGGCGTTCTCCCGGCGTTCTCCCGGCGGGAGCACGAGCGAGAGGCGCCAGGTGTCCCTGGGCCTCTTCCCAGGGCCCAGGGCCCAATCGGGGCTCCGTCAGGGGCGTCATCGACTATGGTCCCCCGACCACGTACGCCGAGACGAGAGCTAAGGACTGACTACGTATGCAAGACTGACTACGTAAGCAAGAATGGTAGGAATACCCCCATCGATCCTTATAAATGGTAAATGGTAAATGGGATGAGCATGGATGTCATATGGCAATATGTATTTAAATTGCCATATTTTACTTTCCGATTTTGCAATTATGTGCGTGGAGTAGTCCACATAGGAGGAGCAAGCTAAGAAGCATCATCGCCTGATTGCTATGGTTTGGATTGCAACATCTATTGCTTTATTGCCTACGAAAGACTGTGCACTGACTTGAAGAGAATGAGACCACTTGCTCCCCGGTGGCATTGTAGGCTCTTGCTCACTCATTAACGCAACGAAGTGGATGGCTAAAGCTGCATGTGATTCTACAACTAGAGAAACATAGAAATGGTCTCTATATTCATTGGAACCTGTTGTTCCGATGTCTATTCATCAAATTGGATAGATGATCATCATTAGCATATCAGTGTTAACTGTAATCTCGAAAATCACAATGTTTACAACAATAACCTTTTCCTTTCGAACCTATGCAAATATGGCATAACCTTAGTTAGCTATACGACAAAACAACTCTCCTTTAATACTATGTTTTCAATTTTCCATCTATTTGTACCATAATACATACTACATACTTGTCAGGATTTAACTTGTTAGAAACTTTAGCTAAATTAATGATGATAAGTTAGATAAAACTGACACTTCTATATAAGAGTGCTAGTGGAAGTTCTCTACGACACTTTATGGTACTATTCTCCTCCAGAGTAAATGGTTGAAGAGTTCAGAGTTAGTTTGAGCAGGTAATGTCCGTGAGGTCTCCTCCTAAAAAAAGCGTAATGAAACCATAGTTGTAATTCTTTGGAATTTAAATTTGTGGTTGTTGCTAATAAAGCACCAAGTTCAGGACGAAGATGATCGTATAGTCTCAAATAGCGCTTAGTAACTTTGGGGTGATGTATATCTTCGGAGGCTTAGCACACGCGAGAAACCCCTTTCGTATGGGGACTAGAACGTGTGAGTTGTATAGGAGGTTATTAGAAGGAAAAAAGGGCGGAACTTAAGAAGAATGAGAGTATATGCTAGAGCCCATAATCACTTCGATAATTGGAATATGGCAATCAAGAATCCTGCGTTGAATGAAGATGCAACCGGCCTGTTCCGATGATGAAGGGACCGGAATTCCCTTTGACATGTACAAGCCACTAAGTACTCGACGAGAGTTTAAAAGACTAGACGGAATTAGTGGAAGGTTCTTATCACTACATGCGTGAAGAGATTTGAGGTTTTCTCTGCTCTAATGGTGAGTTTGAGTTGTATTTGACCTTGGCTTCGGTACTACTCTAAGAAGATGATATTTCATCATGCTGTCTATTCTGTGCGTCCATTGATGGTGTGGATACTAAGGTTGGTGATTCTTAGCTTAAGATATAAATTTCCAAGTAATGTTTGGAAGGCTTTTTTTAAAAAAATAAGGCTTTGAAAATATTTTAGTGTGCAGAACGCAACTATCCGAAAATGCCATCTTTGATAAAAGATACGAAAAGAGTTCAACCCTTGTAACCCATATCCTGCACTGGACCTTCAAAAGTTAAATAAAAGGTTTTCCAACTGGAATAAGATGAAGTATATGGAACGATGAAGCACCGAGTTCAAGTCCTGACCTTGAGTCATGATAACAATCGTGCTCATAAAGCTTCCGAATGTCAGCAGAAATAAAATTCTCCAAGGATCCCTTATTAGATAATACTGGTACCACGAATTCGAAGTGACCTGAGCGGATATTGACGACACAACTCCTGAACTGAGGGCATTTACCAATTGTCCCGAAACCGTCAAACACAGCTCTCGGTTGTGTCGCGGCCTCACTACTAATGAGTCACCACTCACGAAGGAATCGACAGTAAGGATGCTCTTCACTCAAAAGTATCAAACAACGGGACTTCAGTTGTTGCATGTCAACAGACATGCTGAGGTTCAATTCTTTTCAGCGCTCATTTAAAAGAACTCAATTCAATATACATTTCCAAATCTTCAGAAAGCAGATAAGGAATCCTGGTATTTGTACTCCAAGCACTTGCACTAAGATAAAATCGGTGATTGTCGGCGTTTGCGGGCTCATTCATACGGTACCTAGAAGCCTATCCTTATGTTCTTCCATAAGCTAGCGCAAACAACTCCTCAACTACAGTTGTGAGGGTGATGTAGATTCTCTAGAATGGACAGTGACCATATATGAGAAAATCTGCTCATTCAGTGAAAAGCTAGTCCTAACAGTGTACAAATCTATGTGAAGGAGTACGTTACTAAACTAGATTTCTAGTTTGCTTGCTCAGACCAAAATCTCCTTACGAGAGATCATATCATCTTCTCATCTTTGTGAACAGTGAGTCCTGCGCAGGTTGCATTCCAGTACCAAACCCAGGTTGGGCACCCTGATTACCAAAACTTTGGAATCCACCACCTGACGAGGCTCCAAAACCTCCACCTGACCCAAGATCACAAGTCAGAGAGGGACGAGAGAGGATATTCACACTCTGCAGTAAAGCTACGGTAAATACGACAAAATATTAACTCGTGCCTCAACAAAGACCCATTTCATGACAATAATTAGTTCAAACAGATCAGGCAAAAACATTATGAAATTTACATACCTGATCCCAAGCCAGCAAAACCACCACCTGCTGCGACACTTGCAAATCCACCACCAGTGGCAGCACCCCCAAATCCTCCACCAGTTGCAGCATTTGCAAACCCTCCGCCTTGGGGTGCAGCCGAAAAGCCTGAAATAGATGCGCCTCCAACGCTCGGAGTGCCGAAACCCACTTGTCGGGTCTGTCCAAAAGCCCCAAGAGCACTGCCAAGGGCCTGCTGCCCAGGTCCAAGCTGTGCAGGTTGCCCAAAGCCACCTGGAGAAGATTGTGATTGACTTCCAAAGGACTTTCCGGCATCACCGGAACTGAAGAGGTTGCCCTGTGAGAATCCAGAGGAACCAAATCCACTTCCGAAGGGACTGCCTCCTGTTTGCTGCGGTGAGGATTGAGGCTGAGCCACAGGCAGACTGAATGCGGCTGGTCTAAAGAGTTGTCCACCAGAAGGTGCAGTCGAAGTTTGAGATGGACTACTTCCAAAAAATGTGCCTCCAAATGGGTTGGTCTTTTGGGTCTGCGAAGGTGTACTGGCGCCACCAAGGCCAAGCCCTCCAAATCCTCCAAATCCACCTCCAAGACTCGTAATTCCTTCCGTGCTTGCTTCCTCTTCCATATCATCTTCATTGTTCTCTAGTGCAGTGGGAGATATGGATGTAGCCGGAGCCATGGAACTGGAATTTGGAAACATGAAGGGCTGCTGACCTGATGTTGGCCACATGCTTGACTGCCCGAAGGAAGCGGATGTCATCTGCGTCCCTGATGTCGAGAAACCAGATATACTTGAAGATGCAAAAGGAGAAGCAGACTGAGATTGTTCCGAAGCACTTGAAGATGGAAAAGGTGAGGGGGTGGTTTGAGATGGTGCAGCCGCACTTGAAGCAGGAAATGGTGAGCCAGTGGTTTGAGATGGTGCAGCCGCACTAGAAGCTGAAAATGGTGAAACAGTGGTTTGAGATGGTGCAGCCGCACTTGAAGCAGGAAATGGTGAGCCAGTGGTTTGAGATGGTGCAGCCGCACTAGAAGCTGAAAATGGTGAAACAGTGGTTTGAGATGGTGCACCTGCACTTGAAGATGAAAATGGTGAACCAGTGGTTTGAGATGGTGCAGAGGTAATTGAAGATGAAAATGGCGAAGCAGTAGTTTGAGATGGTGAAGAAGCACTCGAGATTGTAAAAGGTGAAGAAGCTGAATGGCTGGTCGTAGGAAGGCTGGAAGATGTGAAAGGTGACCCAGCTAATTGAACGGGAGTTGGTGTTGGGGCACTTGCAGCGACTGTAAAAGGTGATTTGGCTGAAGAAGTAGGACCACTTGATGTGTTAGATGCTTGTACTCCGGGAGAAGAACCTGCACCTCCAGATATAAGTCCTGTATTGACTGAAGGTACAGGAAACGAGCTTGACGTTGTGCTTGTGTTTCCTTGTACTTCAAACCTCGACGGTGGATGGGCAGCGGGGCCTGCAAATGCAGGTGTCATAATAGGTGTCAGGGGTTTCAACTCTGATTTCTCAACGATGACAAGAGATGTCAAAGAATTGGATTCTGAAACAGTAAAACCTCCTTTTGATGGAACTGTAGAGGCTATTCCACTTCTATTACCTGATTTGTTAGCCGGTGACGTAGGCACCACAGGGTGGTTGTTCCCTGCCGAGAACAATGATTTCGAAACTTGGGATTGAGAAAAGGGCGCTGAAGAACTAGGAATTGCAAAATTGAACCCTGGTGAAGAAGGTACTGTGAGTGCCGACTGCGAGCCTCCTGATCCCAAGGCTCCTGACTTGGAGCTGAAGTCGAGAGAGCTTTTTCCACTGCTTCCAGAGGTTGGACCGGAGATACTCGGAGTGTTAGAAGCAGTCTTCATCTCGTCCGACTGTTTTTCCGGTTCTTTCGGTTGCAGAGCTTGAGTGTTGTGAGAAGTTCCAGAAGTAGAGCTCTGTATCTGCACGGGAAAGCTAGTTACATGACGCTGTTTCGAGGTTGTCAGGAAATGACTATCTCTGTCAGACCTTCCCTCTGAATCCTGTTCTGATTCGACTCTTCTTTCTGATGCCTGAAGCGATTGAGACTTCCTATCCGCAGCACCACCTGTAGACGTTGCTCCAGTCAAAAGTAGAGGAGGTGAGGGTCCTGTAAGAAGTGGTTGAGGTTTCGATCCGGTGAGAAGAGGAGTTGAGCCAGGCCCTGTTAAGGACGGGGTTGATCCTCCTGTAGGGTTTCGAACCATATTTTGGTTCGTGTCTTTATCTAACCGGGAGCCGTCCACCAGATTTCCAGTTGAAGAAACAGAACCGTACTTATTACTGGCTATTGTCCCTAACCTTGGAAATACACCACTCTTCCCAGTCAAATCACTACCAGCTCCATCAAAAGCTCCTAATAGACGTGGCTTCGTTGCTGGTGCCGACGCAAAGTTTCCCCCAACATTTCCAGCAGTCCCATCAGTACTACCTGAAGAAAACAATTTACTTGCTGTAACCTTGCCGGTGGGACCCAGACCGGGAACATCGAACCCTCCGCCAGTGCCTTGCTTATTAACGGTATAAGAAGGTGCTACTGGATTCACTTTAGGTCCTGAGACTTGGTTGTTAGCCCACTTGAAGAGGCTCTCTTTAGAGTCCGCATTGCTTGATGAAGAACTTAAGGCGAATTGGTTTGACTGAGTTAGAGGCACTTCTCCATTCGGGGACGTTGAACCTACATGGTAAACAATTGCAACGAGAAGTATAAAAACATTGAATGAAAGAGAAAGGGTTAAACCAGCACACAGTTTGTAAAACCTCCAGATAATACTTCTTTCACGATCTAAAACGAAAAAGCTAGATTATTACTTGATCGTCTTTGTTGATCTGGTTGCGACAATGGTCGCTGAGGACCATACGTCGAAGTTCCCATTCGGCCAGAGACAGGGCCTGATATGCCATTTTCGAAGCTTGGAGCAGGAAGATTTGCGTTCGTGGTTTGTGTAGCCATCCTCGTATTTTGAATTTGTCGAACAGGTCGAAAAGGTTGAGACCAGGGTTCTCTAGAAGATAGCTCGGGTACATTTCCCTTACCTTGCCTAAACGTAGGCAAACTCGAATTACCAGATGCAAAACCCTGATTGAGATTCGTATGCACTGGTCTCTTGATCGTTGTCTTCGGAGCTCCACTCTCGACCCAGGTCTGAGACAAACATAGTGCAGTACACAATCAGATGTCTTTTCATGAGATAGACAATTGTGGAAATTAATTACACACAAAGATGCTAAACGTGATCCACTGACTGAATAATCCGCAAATGACCGACTTACAGCATCCATGGAGTCTCTTCTTCTCCTTGTGGTCTCCTGTGTGTTAACACACAGCTCAGGCATTGTCATTCTGTCACCTGTTGATGCCCCCTTAGGTACGGGAGAATAGGTAAGACGTTGCCTCGAGATTGGACTCGGCCCGTCTGATGTCACATAAGAATTTCTGACATCGTTGGGGTGTGCCCCCACAGATTCTAAAATAGAAGCAGCGGTTGACTTCTTTGGGCCCTTGGCAGGTGATGACCAGTTTATATTCAAGGTCTCCATTTGCTGCGCCAGAGAAAGTGAAAGCTCCTCTGCCACTGCCATTTGAGCATTCACCGTATTGTAGAGATTTTGCACTGAAAGAAATTGCCTGGAGGTATGAAACAAAGTTAGGAGCTTCAAGACTCCAAGAATATCATAACCGATCAGACGTAGTAGAGAGGGAAAAAAAGGCCAGGTCCAAAGTTGAGGGGAAAACAGCCTGAAAGTTTCCACTTCATGAAGTTTGTAATCATGAACAAATGTCTCCAAGATGTAGGGTTATATGCTTCTCACTAGTGAAAGCTCGTCGGTGGTTCAAATTATACCATGAACGTCACTCAATCCCAGTCTTCGACTTTAATACGTCAACAATAGTTTCACAATGTATAGACAGAGAATAGTAGGCAAGACAGATGTCACATAAACAAACCATCCGCGACAAGAAGCCTGCATAGGGCACAAACGGAGAGGGAAACCACGCCTTACCCAGGAGTGCGCACTTGTTTGTTTGGTCTTCTTCGAGCACTATCAGTCTGCCATTGTTTTAGTTCCAAGTTGTGAACATGCTTCTCCATTTCCGCAATTTTCAGCTTTAAGTCCTGAGCATCAAGTAAGTGGCCAAATGATTTCTACTTAGAACTAAGACTTAGATTAAGAACTAATCCTCTCCCAGAAAAAAGAAGAAAATAACTATACATGAATAAACATCTTCAACTTGTTACCCGGCCATATATGATTATCTTGAAGAAAGTGTTTAAAAGAGTTTAACAACAAGAATTTCACATGCAACTTTGATCCTCAAGGAATACGTAATAAGCATAAAAACCTCACAGTTTCCATGTAATAATCAAGAAAGGTACCTGGTCCGCTTTCAATACTCTCTTCCGTTTTATATCTAGTTCTGGATGCAATTTTTGCAGCGTCCACAGCTCTAGATGCCGGCTATCGTTTTTCTGTTCCATTAAGCTCTTTGCGTAGATCCTCCAGGAGTCAACTGATAAGACCAAGCCAGAAAAATGCCAAAAATATCCACCAATAGTCAACGTCTATCGAACACAACTGAAGAACTGCACTTAAAGTATGGTAACTATCAAAAAGATGCACTTTTGTAACAGGAACAATGATATTCAGGAAAAGATTTGCGACCTCGGTATACTAATAATGGTAGAGGATATGCAAAATGAAAGTGTTGTATTATGATCAATCCAACAGAGAAGTAACTTATGAAGGTGGACGATTGCACATGATTCGAAAAAATCGGTCCATGTGCATAGATGAATTAGCCAATGTTGACGATCCTTGCAAATATGGTTTGCAAGGTTTACAAGTCCACTTCGGAATCGAGTGAAGGGCCTCAATAAGACTGGCAGGGACAACACAACATTTGTAAAGAGAGGCTTTATTTTTCCTAACCTCGCAAGCTTTCATCTCGGAGATCTTCAACACTTTGCTTCAATTGCGTGAGTTGCCTCTGCCAAACAGGGACGGCAAAAATTAGCAAACTTCCTCCTCAGGTAAGAAAATTCCTGAGTTCAAGGGATACTCGGGCTGTGATGGAACAAACTTTAAATCAAAATTTCGCTAGGACTTGGACATTACATCGAAAGTTTGTGTATTGCAAGAGCAATACACACTGCCACTTTGGATGACAAGATACAAAATGTCAAAGCTAGAGCATCATACATTTAAGTGATCATATCATTGATAGGCGGGTGCAAAGTAGCATAAAAACAGACACCAACCCTTCTACTAACTAAAGCATCAGACGTACTCTATGCGCTTTGCTTTCTTCAGAAAGGAGGTGAATGGCTTGCTCGAGTTCTTCCAAGGACTGCCTCGTGAAGGTGTAATCATTTTCAAAATTGTCCTTCGTTGCTCGTCCTTCGATGTACGACATCAGCTGGTCGACTTCTTCAGCCATTCTTCTAACCTGAAAAGTGGTTCGTGTGTGTCAGTAGAGTACAAAAGATGTCATTCACGATTATGACCTAGACCCGAACGGCAACATTCAACTGTAGGCACCACCGTAAAACGGATGTGGAGAACAAAACGGTCGAGTCAAGTGCCTCACGACAAACGCTAGACATTGTGGTCAAACACATTTCCTCCGTAATGACTCCAGCTAATGGCCTACCTTCTCAAGTTCCGAAATAAATGCCGCTTCCATATCTGAAAGACCACTTGCTCGTCCCTGAGATTGTTTGTCTTGGCCTGCACTTGAAGGTAATGAGGTTCTCATAATAGGGGTGGGTCTCTGTGTCTGGTTATTTGTAATCTGCGAGCTCTTTCCGGCCTGACTAAACGGACCTGGTGGATTTGTCATGGAACCTGAGTCAAATCCTTTGCCTGGAAAGACAGCAGCACCAGTATTGAATGCATTAGCTCCAGCCTGTACACCCTTGCCAGGTAAACCTGAGTTTGATGGGATAGAAGGACTCGTTGCGGGGAACTGAGATTGCCTTTGCGGCTGAGGAGAGACAGGTCGGGTTGCTGAAACCTTGTCGGTTCGTTTCTGAAATATACCCGTCGGTTGACTATACGAGGCCAAGGCAGAACTAGGCACTGTTATAGCTTCATTTTGGAAAGAGCCTGTGTTGTTAAAAACATTACTTCTGGCGGATTCACTGAAAGAGAATGCAGATGGAAAACTACTGTTTATGGTACCTGATCCACTCTTTGAGCCATCCTCGAAAGGGCGGAACAGGCCTTCATAAGCATTACCAACATTCTCTGCTCCTTTGTGATCTTTAAGAGCTGAAACGGGGTTTGTACTAGGCTGTCTGCTATCATGAGAACTAGATATCAGCGCCAGTTTTGGAATTTCGGCCTTCTGAAATTGACCTGACTGAGCAGAACCAGGTACAAGTCCCAATTTTGGACCTTCCACTTTTTGTACAGGGATCGGTAGTGGAGAGGGGGAGGGCCTAGTAAATCGTTCAAACAAGGATACAGTACCATCTTTCACATCCCCTTTGTCTGGACTGCTTGAACTAGCAGGTGGAGAAAATTTTTCATCTTCTTTTATCTCGGCCACATAAGCTGCTTTTGGAGCCCTTTGTCGAGCTTGATCGTCTGCTCCTTTGCTTGAGGTAACACTGGTTGCACTTGAAATTTTCCCGCTGGCTTGTGAGCCCTGTATAGACGATCTCTTTGATTCTGGCATGTCAGATGGTGCTGCAACTAGGTTCGGGACATTCCACTTTCCATCGAGCCTGCAATCATCCCAACAGGTTAGAGGCTTTCATGAAAACGTCTCACGTCAGATTCTTCTTCGCTTAGCTTAGACTCTAAGCTAACGTATGGTTTTCCACGTAGAAATCTAAGTCTTCACTAATTGGTAACGCTGACAGCCTAAAATATCCACGCTGCTGGTTTAAAGGTCTGAGCACCAACCTTGCAAAAGAGAAAAAACTCAACTTCCCCTCAAGAGTTACACAGATCAAAACAGGCGAAGGAGGCAGCTTCTCCTCTCCAGCGTCATCTTTGGGATCAATTAACTGGATTTGAACCGTCGTGCGATCAATGGCTAGGCCAACTATAGCGTTGTCATCACCACTCTCTGCCAAAAAAAGTCGTATCGTATTATCAGAATCTCAACCAGACGGATACTAAAGTAGCAAAACTCGACAACAGATATAAAGATTAAAAGCATCTGAAATTAGGATATATGAATGACTACCTGACTACATTGTTTTCTTCAAGAACAGGAATATGGGTCGAACTGGAGAGATGCCAAGATTCATGGAACTCACCTTGCAGCTCAATTCTTGGTAGCCACAAATCATTACCAAGTTCTAGACTGAACGCTTCATCTCTTCCATTCTCTGGTAGCCAACCTACAAGCACAATGTGATCATCGATGCTTTTCCTGCTTGCTGCGACCACCAATTCCCTGCGCAGCGTGTATACGGAAGGAAGAATCAAGCAAAGATCAAACGCAACAGTGATTGATAACAGGAGAATAAGCAAAAAGTTATAAAACAACTGAGAAATCTGGCATTTGGTTGAGTATACTTAACACCGTAGTCTGCTTACAACTCTAGTGCCAGTCAATTGACATGAAAACATGACATCCAAAAAAGAGCAAATTTACAAGCAATGCAAGAAATTCTGATTGTGAAGCTTGCAAAACTAGTTCGTCCGGTTGCGGTACCATGGTTTGAGGTAATCAACTAGCATGTACGGCCCACTGCCTGAAGGGACAACAAAAGATTCGATACTGGGAAAGAGCTGATAGAAGACGAGCCCCAGACTTTTGTTATGCTCCTGCATTTTGAAATTGAACAATATAATCAGTGAAATGACGGCTCAATGTCGAGGTATAATATGCTCAGTACCACTTGCAACTTTCGGCATAATATTATGAGTAGACAAAGGTGCAAAATATCATCCTTTCCTAGATTACTTCAGATATATCGGCTACAACTATTGTACACGTGATGATAAGAGTTTTTTAACAAGTCCCCTTGGTGTATATGATACTCAGCGACAAACCTCTGCAAGAGTTCCGTTTGTCGATGTCACGACAAAAAGTGGATAGCCATCCTCCTCTCCTTCGGAATTGACTCTCACATATCCAACAATAATGCTATCTGAGCGCACCCATCTAATTGCATCCACTGCAATTGAGATGTAAGTTAAAGGCGAGAATATAAAAAGACAATGACGCTTTGAAACACATACACAAATGCTTCGATTATGCGCTTATACAACTCCGTTCTAATTCGAGATGAGCGAAGTCATGTCCAATTACGTGAGACTGGTCATGAATGCATGACAAAAGTACTTGCTTTAAACAAAAAGTGATCAGATAATAGGTTCGAAACCATATTTCAGAAATGATGTGGTGCCATTATTGTCAGGCATCAACAATGAGCTTCTATAGATTCTAAAGCGAGACACAGAAGTGTACCGGTCAAATCAGAATCCACATCCTCGTCTGAAAGATATGCTGGAAGTTTTATGTCGAAAGTCTTGGCAAAAGTTGAAGTCGTGATGCTCAATTGGCGGTTTTCAGATACGTAGGCAACATGCTGTCCGTCCTCACTCCAGGAAGCTGAAGAAGAAGACGATATCAAGAGATATACCATGACAGAGCTCGATACAATGATATAATAAATAGTACTATCGGTTCGCTTACCAGTACGTATTCTACGTAACACGGAATGCGGAGCGTTTCACTAACATTCAAACTAGTGACATTTTAGTCAAGCGTATCACCTGCTACGACACCCTTCTTGACCTTGATCTCTGGAGGAAACCCAACGCGCCCAAGGAGCAGTTGTTGATTGCTTGTTAAAATAAGGTACGTGTCCCCGCCTGCTGGACTCCAACTAAAATCTTTCGCGTGCGTATCTTCAAGGGGATCAACTTTGCGTACTTCAAATGGGCATGTATCTGACTGAGAAGAGAGAAAAAAACACCATCAAAAAATATGAACTTCACTCTCAGCAGACAACCTTGTCCTGTCCAACACTGTGACACACTATAGAACATTAAGATGGTTAATACGTCACTGTCCGCCTTCCCGAAACTTGGAAGAAACATATAGATACCTTCAGCTCACTCATACACTCTGGTACAGAAGAGAACATGTTTACGAATGTAAAATATATACTTCCTCTTACAAAGGCTTCAAGTCCTGTTCACGCACACAGCAGAAATAAAAAATGTCACTTTGTTCACTCTCACCTTTAGGACGAGGGATGGCAGGTCATAGAACATCACGCTGCCTCCAGAGCACACAGCAACTGTGAGTTCATCATTTGAAAGTGACAAAAATCGAATGTTGGCGACAGTGACATTTACAACGCTCTTTTCTTGAGCTGTTTGGCCGGCATTACTTTTATCCTTCAGCTTTTCAGCAACTAGGATCAAGTCTGCTGTTTTTGCAACACTGAATCCTGATTCCAAAACCCCGTCTTAAAAAGTCAATAATAATCTGTATAAATCGCGTTCTTCTCAGTGAAGTTAGAACATATCATCCATCACTTCACAGTACCAGGGGCCGTTTATCACAAAGATCACTAAACAAATCATTCTAATGACATTTATGTCTCTGAAGAATTTTAGAATCGATAAGCAAGCGATTGTAACACACCCAGGTCACACAAGCCTCCCCGTGTCAGGGACGACGACTTTACCCTCACTCCAGGTGAATGAATCCTAGAGTATAACCTGATGAGTAAGATGGACCATAAATATTAAGCCTGAGCTTCAAAATTACCTCGTGAATGTGCGAAAAGACAGTAACCAAATCGATTGGAGACTGCCAGAGCTCGAACTGGAAGCTGTTCCGAAGAGAAACCTTCAGCGTCCGGGAGCATGGGGACATCCACTCCAATTCTCTTGAACATAACATCGTCGATCACCTTCAGTTCCACTTCTTTGAGCTCCATTGCGCTCGAAAATTCTCCAGTCCTTCAAATGACAATTACTGTAGAAGACAGCTAAAACTCGTGTACATCTGGACTATCCAACCCTTTCAAAACTCCTGCTGCCATATCTCCTCTAAAAGATATCAAATCTACTGAACACCACATTCCGCGACTGCAGCGCGGCCTGAAAACGTTGACTTAATTTCTCGTTCCTCCATCCTGTGCTCGAACCCAAACTCTACCAATGATCATATTACAAATCCAATTATTGTAGGAATCAGTAACACGAGTTCCAGTTCAGACTAACCCTATAAAACCACGAGGATCCTTGCTTACAGCCATCCACAACATGTAACTATAATACAGAGAGAGGCGAGGTCACGACTTATTGTGATCCCAGCCGGCTGCTATGGATTTTTCGAACGAAGCCTCTAAAAAACCAAAACATCCTGATAAAAAGAATGCACTCGACGTAATGCAACACCCAAGATACCTGGCCATGTTTCGAGATATGCTCATCCGAGCTCTCGTTGACAGAAGGTTCAAGGCCTTCCGGCGTTCCTTTCGGTCCCAAGAGCAGAGATGTCCAGACAAATTCGAGGTTTAGGGGTTTGCCGCGCTTCCTGTCACTTGGGCGATTCCCTTACCACTGCTCGTGTACCGCATTCGAATTGTTGATCAACGACGAAATCGCTCAGAGGAATCCAAAGTTGCACAACTGTTCTCAGTTTCGATTCCCGCTGGTCCCGTCGTCTATCCCAAAAGTTGTGCTCTCGTCTTCCGTTTGAAAATCGACTATGATTCTCTTTTGGCGCAAACTACGTCAATGGGCGTAAGAACGAGAAGCAGTACACGATTCCTTACTTGCAATGATAAAGGGTATCTCCACAATTCAGAACATCTAGATTCTATTCATTTAAGGTAGGTTTACGTCCGCAGTTAGTGAATTAATTGATCCAGTAATATAGTCGTCAGACCGTCGAATTATTGTGAGAAAATTATTTCTGGAGCTTGCATTTTCAGACATGGATTTCAGTGTACTCACTAGGGCCACTACAATATGGTTATCACTGGCCTTTGTCAATGATTGGCTCTCTCAATGATATTCGTTTTTGAGGTCTGCATACTGTTTAAAATAATCGAAATTGAGGAAAAAATAAATCTATATGATTATATTGTCCATACCTAGAGCTACAAAGCAAATTAAACAATGTGTTGCCAAAGTACATGCCACTTCATAATATACTAAGGTTTACGATGACATAGAATTGAGAATATTGTAATTGCTAGACTTCTATCATATTAAACGAAAGTCCTTCCTTTTAGGCTGTGTTTGTTGCTGGATAATTTGATTTTTCAGAGGAGTGTCCAAAAAAAGGTCCTAACATCCTGAATTACTCAGTGTATAAAAGAAGCAAAGATATCAAGTGCAGTAATTAAAGTAGACAAGTCACCCCTAAATGAACATCATCCAACAGTTAAGCCTTGATCTTGTGCTAGAGAATGGAATTAAGTACTCTAAACTGTGAATCAACGATATGTAGGATGTTAGGGGGATATAAAGAGTGGCATGGGAAAATGTTTTCACACACGTCCGGCAAATGAAATTCATCACTAGACCAGTGTTTAACTTGAGCATCATCTCTGCAAATCTGTTTAGACGATTTGTCAACATGTCCACTCATTGACGAGACAAAAGATTCTTCGATGAGATTCGTCAGGGAGCTTTGTTTGTCCATATGGTGATTATCCAGGTTCAATGAGAGATTCATACACGAGAAGATTGTCAAGTCGCGACAAGTCCCTCAGCAATTACATTTTCTTTTTTTGTTGCTTTTCAGACAAGAAACTGAAAATGCTCGTTCTACCTCTGGACAGATGGCTTTCGAGGTGGAGATGGATCATTAGTATCTGAGGTATCCATTTTACATCCCCCTTCCTTCGTGTCATCTATGCTCTGCTGTGAGCACTCTTGCAGCTCGTAGCTCTGGACCGAGGAGTTCACGCAGAGCAGTCTGCAGCTAGAGCTCCACGGAATTTCAAGATATGTGCTCAGAAGCGCGCGACTGCACATGCTAGCTCCGAGGGAAAAAATTAAAGGGGAAAGACAAGGAAGCCAGAGACACGGCTTTCCATAGTCGTTGGCTGTCCATCAAAAGCTTCCCTATACGCCCCGGGGCCCTACCTCATTCTTTTGTTCGACCCGATAACATCAGAATTCTTGTGCCTTGGATCCTCAATCTAAGAATTTCCACAAACAGTAGTGCGTGCCCTTCTCAATGGCTCCCAGTTCCGTGGGCGAAGTATTGATGTTGTGAATTCGAACTGCTTTGTTGAAAAGTTTACAAGATCCACATGAATACTCACGTCGCTTTAGTTGCTCGATACAGGTCAAAGCTGCTTGGGCATCAGGTTCAATTGCCACGAGGGAGACATTTCACCAGATTTAAGCTAATGTCGTTCAAATGAAAGCGTGCTGGTCACGAAGGGAGCGTCAGCGATGATTCAATTATCCACAAACGGTGATGGGAACCAGAGAGAGATAGAATGAGAGTTTCATGAAGGTCTATGACTTGGTTGCCGTCGATAAAAGACTGGCCTGTCCCAGCTCATACACAGGAATAGCGCTACAAGCCAGCTTCGTCGGCTGACTTCGTACCCAGAGCTTCCTCCTGCGATGAATCTTCAACCTGTGGTTCGATTCGCTGACAGAAACGGAGGTGTAGACAGATCCACAACAGACGCAGTTCCACAAAAAATGGACCAAACTCACTTCCAAAATTACACATATTCCATGGACTTTGTATTCAGGCCAGACAGTAAGAAACTTGACAAGCTCAAACTTCTAGCGGAGATACCACGTTGCATTCCAGTATTCAAGAGAAAATATGGAGTGACAACAATACTTCTAACACCGAGGCAATACTGAACTACGTCCCATTGACGGGCTTTCAGACAATAAATGAAATCGTATACTGAATTCTGGCATAAAATCATGAGAATTGCTGACTTTGGTCTATGGCAGCTTCAGCTTGACTGAGCTGACGTTCGGTCAGGCTGAGATATGCTTCAATCAAAGTACAAACACCGAAAGGCCAACTACAGTTCTGTGTTTAACCAGGAGACTGAATGAACAAATGATCATCGAGCACACCGATGCCAGTAATAAGTCACTAATTGACGTGGGTATCGTCATTGAAATTGCATGTGAACACAGCAAAGAGACAGCACTGAACAAGTTGGATTCAATACTCTTGAACTACTCAGAGGTAGAAAAATTAAAATCTACAAAATTCTGGGTACTCTGTGGGCTGGGTCAAACTTATATCTCCGCATCAAAATGTTGGATAACATTCAGACTGATAAGTGAAGACACCAGAGCAGCTACTTACGTTACGTGAAAATTTCTCAATTTTCATGACCCTAGTAAAGAGCAAAATCTACAGTGGGATGAACGTCTCTACCATCGCTCCCTGACTCTATTCTGGTTACTCAAGAATTCGTCCACCTCAACTGGCCTTGGTCTGGATGACGACACAGTCGCTCTCGGTCTGCTTGTTGCAGGTCTTTCTTCCGGGACCCTCTTCTGAGATTTAGAAGGGGCCCTTGAAGTCTTACCTTCATCGACACTTTCTCTGGCTTCCGCGTCTTCATTGTCGTCGTCCTCTTCATCATCCTCGTCGTCCTCATCTTCACTTTCATAATCCTCATCATCATCATCCTCGTAGTCATCATCGCCCTCCTCAATTTCAGTGCCATCTGCGCGCAAAGCAGCCTGTTCCCTCATTCTTGACTGTCTAGACACTGCCACAAGCTCGGCAAGCCGTTCCTTTGCGACAACCAGAGGGTCCTTCTCTATGAGCTCTGAACCCCTGTAAGCTTCCCGCAAAAAGACAGAATCCCGCTGTCCCTTGAAGGAGACATAAAACATTTCGGGATGGCGAATCAGCAAGGCTCGAATTCTTTGAGAAAACTTGTAATCCTTCTTGAAATGCGTCAGATGATCTACCAGCGTTTTCTTCTCCAATGTCAGACTCAAGAGCTCATGCACAACTGCGCAAGCCCTTTTCTCTGCTTCCACGCTAGCGGGGTCCAGTGTTGATGCATCGTCGTAGGGTGATTGATAGGGAATCTGTTGGAACTTCAAGGCAACAACCCTATCCTTCTTCGAGAGCTGAACACCTTTAGGCAGGTTCAGCCGTTTGCTACTGACGGCTGTAGATCTGATCTCCTCTCCGTCTATGATAATTTTCGGAGCGCGTGGAAAACCGTCCGCATCCTCATCTTCTGAGACTGGTGCGGCAGCTTTTCTTTGAGCAGCCGAGACGGCCAGCAGAGGATCCCAGAAAGTTAGCTCCAGAGCAGGGCCATCACCTGTCTCGACTACTTTGAAATACTGCGGGTAATTGGGCAAAATACTGGTTTTGAAGTCGTCTGGGAGGCCGAGCTCTTTCCTGATATGCGCAATTTTGTCCAGAGTCAATCTCTTGTCAATGGACATCATTACAAGTTTCCTCAGTTTCTCTACCAAGAACACCTCCAAGTCTTCCTTGATCTTCTCCTCCTCTTCGTACAGACGTTCAGCTTCTTCTGTGAAACGTACGCACATTAAGTTACAACCCTCTTCATAAACCTCGAAGACAGCTGGGAACCTATTCAGAAGGGCGATAACACGCCTCCTGCCGGTCAATCCTATGGATTTACGGTGCTTTCCCAGCGACAACAAAGTCATCGTTCTCCCGGGCTGCTTCACTAGAATCTCCTTGATTTTAGAGACAATCTTCAGCTTCTTTTCTCTCTGAATAATGTTGTCGAACGTGGAATCCTTCCGTCGCTTGATTTTAGCTCGGGCGCCCATCTGTCTGCTCGGATTCCATCCCAATTTCTGCGGAATCTCGTATCGCAGCCCTTGGGCATTGCCGAAAAAATGCGTCCTGGCCAATCGCACCATCCTCGGGGAAACGAAGGGAGAACATGACGGCGAACTTCTACACGTGGTGGTCGACAAGTAGCGCAACGAAGCTGAAGACAACGCCCTCGCCAACGTCGTCCTTAACGCCATCGCCCCACTCACCAGGACCCGCTCCTACGGCCAGTCAACCTGTCACAGGCCCAGCCGAAACCGACCTAAACTACGACAATGGAGCTCGTTCGGAGCACGGGATCGTCGCGCAGCCCCGTGTGCAGTCTCATTGGAGAATTCGCGATCGAAGGCCGCGCAGGTCGATGGTGCCAGTCCGACAGTCCACTGCGCTGTCCTCCTCGTTCTCGACTGGCTGCGCGATGCTATCGAACCAGCTGAACGGCAACGCCGAACCGAGGGACCGACGACGTAAGGCCTCGAAGCATGCGGTGGTAACTTCTGCTCTCATGCTCCCGTCGCCGCCAGGCCAGTTCTCCTTCGGATCCAAGAATCCGACGGGGATTCCTTCTGCTCCAAGGAGTCTGCGATTTTGTCGATAAGATCGCATCCAACCTCCTTTGCTGCCCGTCGTCACAACCTCTGTCCTCTCTTCTCGACACGGAACGACATCCACTGCTGAAGACATATCAAGTTTCTACATGTGTACATACATATGCATGTATTTTTTGGCTGCTGCTGATCAACTCAAGGATGAAACAATGTTTATCACGATGATCATTTACGTTATAGATAACATTTATAATATAACCTGTACTTCATTGGCACTTCTAGGAACAAGTCCAATTTAAACTTTAAGATATTCAATTCTTATGTTTTGTTTTATTCAGTAAACATTTTTGTGCATTTCATGAAGAGATTAGATGAACTTTTTGCATACAACGAGCTTAGAAAATATAACCCGTTGAGTTTTTTTAAGGTTTGATTTTGTTCTATTATTTCTTCATACTTATGTTTGCCTAGTTTTTGCGCTAAATGTCTTGTATGTTAATAGATGCATCATGAATGATTGTGTAACAAAATTTTAAAAAAACATCTATATATATATATATATATATATATATTTCTGCGGCTGTTACGATTTGCTACATCGTATCAAAAAACCCACATTTTAATGTTGTTTTAGCAATATTTTGTTCACATTTAGTTGTAATTGAGATGCAAAAATATTTTATAGTTTTTTTGCAACACCTTTATCATGCAATGATTATGTATCATTGCTTATGTTCTAAAGCAGTATTTGTAGACACATTGAATTGAAAACATTATATTTTTAAATACAAGGTATTATTGCAACTTCTTCATCTTATATCAATCATACATCATCATTTCATTTTTTTAGCACCAATGTTGTTCGTATCACTTTAAGATTATCATACAAGCCAGTTGTGGGATCATTTTTTTGACTTTGAATTTTCGTAAATAAACATTGAGATCTTGTCATATTGCAAATCCAATTGAATCCTTTGCTTAAAAATCAATTCACATGAATGGATATTTTGAGATATCTAAAAGTTACGTCAAATTTAATAAAGCTTTATTAATATTTAATACATTGATTTGTGTGAATAACATTCATATATACTACAAATCTACACCTTCCTGCAATATATGCTAGTAATTATAAATTACCATACTTTTCGTATGGCATACCAGCAGTACTTTGCTTGCCAAAATTGATATACGATTTAAATACCTCGTGTTTTAGTACAATTATTTTCTTTTATTATTCTTATTTATTTGTATCTACATTCAGTATCATATTAATCACAAAATACACACATCTGACTCATTATTAAGTATTTTTTTTAAGTTCAATTGTTGTCTAATAACGATCATATTTTTTATTTGTTCATTTTAAAAAACACCAGATTTAATGTTGTAGTTATATTATAAATTATATAAAATATTATATAATGTTGATTTTGTTCAATTAAAATATAAAATCTTATTCAAATTTCATATAATAATTCAATATATATTACATATGAATTAATTTTCTATATTGCAATTACTTACGAACTGTTTTATATATTTTACCCCATTTTTCATTGTTGTATTTGTCCGACTTTGCAGTATTACACTGCATACTAGATTTTGAGATTTTAAAATATCCATCTATTATGCTCAAAAACATTTTTATCTCAAATATGCACTGTTTGTAGGAATTCATTATATCACATTGCATCAAGAAAATTCGAGATATATACTCTTGTGATATTTGTCAATATCACTCATTGCATTAAAATTATATTACGAATAAAATTTTCTTTTCCATAATGTTTTATAAATTTCATGTATATCATATCATCTTATCATCCTTACATTATGATATATTTCAGTCATTTATATGATAAATTTTAATGTATGATATGGATTCTTTTAGTTGATTATCAATAAAATATGTGTCGGTAATTTTGTCTAAATAAATGATTCAAAATTGTATGAACAGTTTAAATTGTCAATATATGTGCTCATAATGAGCGTGGTCATATAATTCATATATGATAATATGATTACAAATTATGAAAAATTATTTGACGTAGTTGTTCTGAATATATTTTAATAATAATCTTAACCAAATTCAGCAATTATAATATTCTTTTGGAATAAAATTTATATTTATAGAAAATAAAATATATAAATTTAATCATGTATAATCATGCCAATATTAAACCTTTGGTATTTTTCATGAGGACAAATATTGTGCATTGAGATTATGTTAGTGTGCTTTGTAGACAAAATAAATTACATCAAGTATATAGAGTGATTTTATCATCAAAAATAATTCTCAAATATTGTGCTTACATATTTTAACATTGCATACTCGAATATAAAAAAATTTATTATATATGAAGCAAGATCAGATTATTCAAGAAATAATATTGAAGAAATAAAATAAATAAATATGAAAACAAACATGTTTGAATTAGAATCTATTGAAATTATTTACAAGTTTTTGTAGTTAGTGAAAGAGTGCAATAAACATATCGTTTTTATAGCAAACGAAATAAAATAAAAATTTGTGTAAGTATTTATACAATCTGCAAGTGAATTATCATTGATATCTATTTTACATGGAAATATATTTTTTCATGTTTGAAATGTGTTATTTATAGTTTTTACGTTATATATTGTTATTTCGCATGTTTAAATATTGCATGATGTGTTGTAGTGCTTTAAACACCTTATTATTTATTTTTTGTTTTGATTTCGACTGAAAATGCTTGATTTGGTATGATATTCTTGACAAATTGTTTACTTTATATTGCACAAAAACACATAATTTATATAAAAATTTCTGAAATATATTTCTAATAGATTTTAAAATCGAAGTAATTTTATTTTTTTAAAATGAGAATAATTATGTAAATCAATAAAAATGATGTACGTAAGAATCGCATTAAATTCGGTTTTAGAGTGTTTGGGATTGAAAAATACATTCTAATCCTGACTCCTTAAAATTTAACAAAAAATATTTATTTAAAAGAAATCATGAATTTTTCTTGAAATCACCCATTTATAAAACTAATTTATTCAAAGGTTTTAATATATAAATATTCGTGATATTATGTTTTGCTATTTTATTGACATGGAATAAATATTGATATACTATGATTATCGAAAACAAAATACATTTATATCTATTCATAAGAGAGTACCTCATGAGATTGTTTTTTTAATCAGTATGAAATTATTGAAACGTAATATATACTTATATTTATCCATGATCTACTAATGCAGTAATATTAATAAAGATTTGAATATTAAATAATTTCATAGATTTTGCTTCTTTCTTTTCACATTAAAGTAAGAAGAAGGTTTATATGCAAGTTTTTACATGTTTGTTCAATGTGCAAGATGTTTATATATTTGAGAGCATATCATTTTTCAGTGTGAAGTTGTAATGTACTTTTTCCCATTTAGAATATGATGATAACATGTTGATTGTTTTGGTAACATGTTTCTATAAGTATAAAAAAAAAAGTTTGTGTTGTTCAAGTGTACAAATTTATTCAATCAATGGATTTTCAAGTCAAGGTACAATAAAATTATTTATTGATGGTTATGTTTTTGAGTCATGTTGTTATTCATCAGATCTGATCTCAAATATCAACATGATGGAGTGTTTTGTCCCTGTTTTCGCAAATACAATCATGTGTTTCATCGCATGTATCATAAAGCTGAGTATAGAAAATGAAGTTACTATTGTAAGGCAGATGGGTTCAAAGAAGCTATGTTAGCTTCATAGTACATGTGTTAAGTAGATATGTTAGGCTAACACAATTTCCCTTGCAAATTATTTTTTATTAAACATGTTTTGTAACATCAATATGTGGTATTTAAGAATATTATGTGTTTTTGAAATAAACCAAAAAAATGATTTTCACCCATCAAAAATAGATGTAGATATTCAATATAATAAGTGATATCATTATATTTGTAGATATATTTTGTAATCTTAATCCATAGTTCAATGACTTGAAACAGATCAACTGTGTTTTAGATTGAAAATGTATATTACATATACAATAATTTTACTTAAAAGCACAAGAATTAATCCCTTACACATTACTCAAGTGCAATTTCGAATTAGTAATATTTTAGTAACATATATGTGTATGATTAATTTATTTTTTATCTCAAACTTTTTTTTATCAATAGACTATAGTCGACATTTATTTTTAAGATATTTTGGTTATTTAAGATTTATAATTTGTTTAGAAAGATTTAGGAAATTTCTTATATATATATATATATAAATAAATCTATAATATTGGTCTATTTTTGAATTAGATAGGCTATTTTATGACATATTCACACTTCATTGATTTTTTATTTGTGATGAAATGGAACTTGTTGAAATTCAGAACGTATAAGAATATATTATATCAAAATTATTTAAATTATGAAGTTAGAATATGGGAAAACAATCACGTTTCATATTTCAGTCTAAGGAAAATCAGTTTCATTTTGAATAAAAAAAATGTACTGTACTGTTGTAAATTGTTGTAGTGTTCGTTGCTGATAAAACTTTGGGTGATAAAGAAATAAAGTCTGTAAATAAAGTGCATCTTTTTATGAAATATGAATTTTCGCTGGTATTGCTAATTGAGTAATTCTGCAATGTCGACTTTGAAACAAAGTTGCATATAAAAGTTCCCTTTATGTCAGAGTAAACGTTGACATACAGGAGTTAAGCTTGTAGAATTAAGATGCGAGGATGAGGTGGTAACAGAATGACAGTAGATGCAGTATTTAGGCTCCAAGTGTGTTTGACGCTTCTCTCTAAGCGGGAATGTAATGTTCTTCATTTCTGAAGAAGGTGAAATAGCCCGTCATGTTCAGTCGACGTATCGATACAAAGTTGTGATGGAAGACATGAACTTATTCACAATGCATGAACAATAGTTCATAAATTGTGAATAGATCTTGTCTTGAAGATAACAGAGAAGAAGTGATAGATTTTACACTTCTTCTCTGTATCCTCAAGAGAAGAAGTGTTAAATCATTCACGGGTATTTATGAAAGTCTGAAAACCACATTTATGAAAGGAACCTTCTTCTCTGTATGCTCAAGAGAAGAAGTGCAAAATGAATCATTGGTTTATATGAAAGACTTAAAACCACAATTATGGAAGAAACTTTCATCTCTGTAATATATCGTCCATAGTGGCTGATTAACTCTACTCGGAGACTAGAAGTGGCCAAATTATAGCAAATGTTAATTTCTAGCATGCTATTAATAATCCCAGAAGCTTAGTGTAGGAGTTATTCTTGTTGTTCCCCAGAGTAGAAAGATGTTTTACCAGTCACAAAATGGCGTCATTCGGTTGAGAGATGAAAGTTAGGGAATTTAGAGCATAGGTCTTGGTCGAGGCCGAGCATCATCACCGGACAACGTACAGCAAATCACCCGAGTTGGCGGATTCATCTGTGTGTCTAGGGTAAAGGGTTACCCTACCACCGAAGAGGCTCAACTCAAGTCCATGTCTTGCTGGTTCCCTTGAACATTCTCCGTCGTCTTTGGTAGAGATCAGATCTCGGCGTGCGAGCACCGGCGATTCAACGCCAGGAGCCGAGCCTGGCCCGGCCGTACGCACGCAGGCGAGCGACGGGCGACGAGCCCACGAAGTGCGCATGAGTGAAGACGGCCACCGCTGGAGAGGGAGAGGGAGAGGGAGGCAGCATCGAGCGAACCCGAGAGTCGAGTCAAGCAGCAGCAGCAGCGGGAGGGGGTGGGTTAAGCTTTCCGGGCAGGCCAGGCCAATCACGGAGACAGCGGTCGGCCAGAGAGCAGACGGGGCGGGGAGGGGAGGGGAGGGGAGGGAAAGGGGAGAGCGTGAGAGAGGGAGGGAGGGAGAGAGAGAGAGAGGGAGCGAGAGCGCAGAGCTCGTCTCGTGGTGGTGGGCGAGAGTCGAGTTGACCGGTCGGGCCATCGTCTTCCATTCGGGCGCTGCAGTTTGCACTCGTTCTTCCCTTCGGCTATGAGGGAGGAGCAGATCGAGCCGAGACCAAGCTCCAAATCAGGGCCGCCGAGGAGACGGGAGCGCTTGCAGAGTTCGTGATCTGCGGCAGATCCGGGTATAGAGAGCGCATTTCTGTTTCTGGACTCGATGTGATGCGCATTTAGAGGCTGTTTATTTGAAGAGTGGGCACCAGTAGGGCTGAGTAATTGCGTCTGCTCTTTGCCAAGGGCGGACGAGCTGTCGGGGTGCGGATCATGGTGTTCTGGGAGGTGAGGAGATATAGTTTTGGTTTGTGATCTTGGGTAGATCGAGGGTTCCGTGAGCGACTGGACGGTGGTGGTGGACGTGGACGCTTTCTCGATTAACTTTGCGTCTGGGATTTGGGGGTGTATTTGGGCGATGATGAGTTAGAGCCGTCGGACTGAGGCATTGGTTGCCGTGTGGAGTTTCTTTGGAGCTGGTTAGATGGGACTAATTTGGTCTCTGCTTGCAGATCGGGATTCCTTCGGTACTTTTTGTGTGAGCGGTTCAGCTAATCTGAGTTCGTGAAGTGGGCGAGTTGGATTGGGAATTCGTGATCATCCTACTGGTCGAGTTTTGCCTTCGTCTTCGCTGTTTCTCAGCCGTTCCCTTTCACAATGGTTTGTATTACCAACTCTATTACGTTCCATTGTCAGATTGGTCATTCATCTGTTTGCTCTTAGTTTCTCCTTCGTCTCAGGAGCGTGTACAGTTAAACTTTTGCGCATCGCCCTCAAACCCCCCCTCCTTATCTTTGACAGCCAAAGAAAAGGTCCGATTGGATTTGATTAGATGTGCGTTTCCGGATTGCCTTGACTTGTCCTCCCGAGCGAAGTACAGTTTCAAGTAGATCTAGCCTCCTCGCCTCGTTTGTATTTGGACATCTTGCCGTCACCAGTAGCAAGCTGGACAAGCAGGGTTTCTACAAATGTCTCTAGCTCGCAAGTTTTGCCTTGAACAATCTGTTACCTGGATTGATTTTGTCTTTGCATTACCTGTACCATTGGTTTCTCACATAGATCAGGGCCATTAGCTGCAGTTGTGGGTAGGAATATGACATTTGTGGACAGTGGTCGAGTGCTGATTGAAGGGAAAGAAGAAGGGATTTTTATTTGTCGGATCAATAATTCGAATCTTTGCTTAGCTAGAGCAGGACTGCTGAGTAAACGGCGATTCGATAGCGAGTGATTCTCAGTCATTACCTCTCGATAAGTAGCTATTGTATCGATCGTGCGAAGTGTTGGTTTGGGTTTCAATGGTGATGCACTGGATGAGTTTTTTATTTATGTGAAGGAGTTAGTAATTTGGACTTTGAGTCCCTTTAGATGAAGGCACTCGGCTGTTGTCACCCTGTACAACGTTAGACATTTGTATGTTCTCAACTTATGATTTCTTGTAGTCTAACTCTGTTTTTCTGATGTGATTTTATGCAGCCGCTCCGACTTGAAATCAAGGTACGTTGACTGCCATTACGTTCCTCCGAATTGTACCCTCGGCGTATTTACTTGTGGATGGATACTTGTTGAGCTGGTAAATACAGCGATTAGCAAATCATTCATTTCGTCAATATACTCACGCTCTTTGACCTTATATACAGCGGAAGCTCGCCCAAAGGTCAGACCGAGTAAAGTGCGTAGACCTACATCCAACAGAGCCATGGTAAGCTTGCATCTCATGGCCCTCGATAGCCAAGCCTTGCTATGTTGCATAAATTATAAGTCTCGATAAAGGACCTCCTTCTTGTTCCTCCTTCTAGTGTTTCAGAAATGGCTACCTGTTTTGGTTTGTCTCTGTTCGCCTGCTACAGTGCAGTGGAGACTGAGCTACCTGTGTTTTCGTTTATTCAGGATCCTATCGACCCTTTACACCGGCAGTGTCTACATCTGGAACCACCAGACCCAGGTAACTTTGTTTACCTTTTTTCCCCCTGCTACAGTGAAACATGTTACTGCTTCGTTGGATGCTTCAGCCAGGAAACATTTTTTTCAGTTCCAATCATATACCTGGATATGTCGAGTGTGTATTCGGCTGCCTTGTTGATTGTGGATAGCACCTTCCCAAAATGCTAAACCAGCAGGCTATAATAGATGTTTATTGAACTTTTCTCTACTCTCTTGTTATTGAGGAAATGTCTTTACTCTTGCAGACTCTGGTCAAATCGTTTGAAGTCACCGAGCTTCCTGGTAAGTGGTGTTTACGTCTTTAGAGTCCCGGACGTCTAGGGATGCCTGGTTGATCTTGTCATTAGTTTGGTTTACCATATTTGGTTGCCCTTGTTATTTCAAGTGTTCTTGTTATGCCCTGAAGTTCACGGGACGGTTGTTTGGATTCGCAGTCAGATCGGCAAAATTTATCGCACGGAAGCAGTGGATTGTGGCTGGTGCTGATGACATGTGTATTCGAGTTTACAATTACAATACCATGGACAAAGTCAAGTCTTTTGAGGCGCACACGGATTACATCAGATGTGTTGCGGTTCACCCGACTCTTCCATATGTGTTGTCTTCTTCGGATGATATGCTCATCAAACTGTGGGACTGGGACAAGGGTTGGACTTGCACTCAGATCTTCGAGGGCCATTCTCATTACGTTATGCAAGTTGTATTCAACCCAAAGGATACCAACACATTTGCGAGTGCCTCCTTGGACCGTACCATCAAGGTAAATTACTAGCTGCTGTCATCGTGATGTATATTTAGTCGGAGGTCGCCATTAGTTTTGCAAATGCGCGTGACCCTGAAGTTTTTTTTTCCATTGGCTATGTGGAGTGCGCTCATGCTATCATTTGCGTTCTGGTATTGCATTGTGAAGATATGGAATCTGGGATCACCGGAACCCAACTTCACTCTTGAAGCTCATCTCAAAGGTGTGAACTGTGTGGACTACTTCACCGGAGGGGACAGACCGTACTTGATTACGGGGTCCGATGACCAAACTGCAAAGGTAAGGATTTCGACTGGCTTTTTTTGGCAAAGAAATAATCAACTCGTAATCTTTGTTCTCATTATTAGGAGAAATAGTGTACGTTTACACAGTTCAGCTGTCGTCTCTCCTCAAGGCAAAGTAAGCCCTAGTTACTGTTGTCTCCAGTAGTGGGTGGAGATGTAAGCTTTCAACACATTTCACACACTTGAATAGAGTAAACAGAGAAGGGTGTGACATTTGTGAATGCACAGTTATAGGACTTTACAAGACTTTTACATAGATCTTACGATGAAAAGATAATCAGGCAGAAGGTTGATTTAATTGCTGGATGGCATGTAGGTTTGGGATTACCAAACGAAGAGCTGTGTTCAAACACTGGAAGGGCACACACATAATGTGTCCGCAGTTTGTTTCCACCCAGAGCTTCCTATCATCATTACTGGTTCAGAAGATGGTACTGTGCGCATATGGCATGCGACTACTTACAGGTATAATATCTGAGATATGGACACTGATGTGTTTCATTTACTCATCCAACTCAGAGCGACATTCAGAGTGTGTGAACGCTTTGCGAAGTTTCGCCTTATTTTCTGTGATATTCAAGGTGCTGAAAGAATTTTACTGTCCATATCTATTTGTAACAACTGATTATCGCGATCATGGTTGCTGTCGCAGGTTAGAGAACACCCTCAACTACGGGTTGGAGCGTGTGTGGACGATAGGGTATCTGAAAAGCTCTAACCGGTACGTACCTTGTTGCAGTGTTCAGTGTTTTAGATTCACGCACGTCATGCTACTGTATCTCGCAATCTGTAACTGTACCGTCGGTTACAGATTACAGATTTGTCTTAAGTCTACGTGGCTGTTTTGCTTTTTGCTGCGAGAATCACGGACAAGACGCTTGGAATGATGGCAGGGTAGCGATCGGGTACGATGAGGGAACAATCATGATCAAGATAGGTCGAGAGGAGCCTGTCGCAAGTATGGATAATGGGGGCAAAATCATCTGGGCTAAACACAATGAGATACAAACAGTCAATATCAAGGCAGTCGGAGCTGACTTTGAGGTAAGCATTGAAAATTGTGAAAGAAGCAACAGGGTTAGCTCCATTCTGTGTCGCCAGTGTTTGTCTGATTTGGAAGCAACTGCGGACTCCTTGTTTCCTTCATATCTAAGACATCATTGACTTTTGATGTGGATTTTACTAGGTGACCGATGGGGAGCGCCTGCCACTTGCAGTGAAAGAGCTCGGAAGTTGTGATTTGTATCCGCAGGTAGTTCTTGCGCTAGCGCTACGCAAAATGAATTTTCAATACAATTCTGCTCGTATCAATGAGAATACTGATTGGTAATTTTAGGCATCCAGGGCTGCATCGGCAGGGTACTTTGATGAAGAACTAGTTTTACTTTCCTATTATTATTCCAAGTTAATCCTATGAGCTATTAATTTTTTTTCCTCTGTTTTCAGAGCTTGAAGCACAATCCAAATGGTAGATTTGTCGTCGTATGTGGTGATGGAGAGTACATCATTTATACCGCCCTTGCATGGAGAAATAGGTCCTTCGGTTCTGCATTGGAGTTCGTTTGGTCAACGGATGGCGAATATGCTGTTAGAGAAAGCACTTCCAAGATTAAAATCTTCAACAAAACGTTCCAGGTATCCTTTTCAGGAAATTCGGCTGGTGAAAGTTGCAAGTTATTTGTAACTTTGTGAGGTCTTAGACGTATCTTGCTGTAACGCATGTTTTGGGTTGACTTCTTTGTTGATTTTCTTGCTGTTGTCTCTCACTTCAGTGTTTCATCAGTATTGAAGGTGGTTCAGTTCTCAGTAGAATCTCAAAACTATCTGTGTCTTGTTAATTTTTCACTCTGGTTTTAGCTTTGGGACCGTCTCTGTATAGCTGATATTGGAAGCGTTTAATTTCAGGAACGCAAAAGTATTCGACCTACGTTTTCTGCAGAGGGAATTTTCGGTGGAACTTTGCTCGCAGTACGATCCAACGATTTCGTTTGCTTCTATGACTGGGCGGAGTGCCGTGTTGTTCGTCGCATTGACGTCAATGTGAAGGTCGGTGTTGACGATTGCAGATGTTCTTTGATCTACCTGTTTTAGATTATGTAGCAAGTGTCAAGTGTTGTAGCAAAACGTTTCACAAGGACGCAGAAAGATGATTCAATGTAGATTTGCAAATTACTGAAATCATGTGCCATTCTACTCGTTTTGCAGAATATATACTGGTCAGATGGAGGTGATTTGGTTGCAATTGCCAGTGACAGCTCCTTTTACATATTAAAATACAATGTGAGCTCCTTTTACACTTGTCAAGCTTCTTTCGAGAACCTTGAGGTTTGATTACTTCATTTTCAGGTGGTCGCTTTTGTGAAGGTAGTATGTAAGAGCAATAGAAAGTAGAGAAACTGCTGGACTCCTTGGTTGTCTTTCAACACAAACAATCAGTATACTCACCTGTGTAACTAATGTTGTCGTGATGATCTCGTAATCTGGCCCGCTGTCACAGCGAGACATTGTCACTTCCTACCTTGAAAGTGGCAAACCAGTTGATGAGCAAGGAGTGGAGGATGCTTTTGAGCTTCTTCATGAAATCTCAGAGCGTATTCGAACTGGAGTTTGGGTAGGAGATTGTTTCATTTACAACAATTCAACCTGGCGACTTAACTACTGCGTTGGTGGTGAGGTATGCATCGAGAAACGAACAATTTTTCGGAAAAGTTATCACTTGTGTTTTGTCCGTGGTTAATGTAGTTGTCCTTACCCAAGTATTATACTCTTTGGGAGTAACGGGCGTGGTCTATGTTTTCCAGGTCACAACCATGTATCATCTGGATCGTCCCATGTATCTTTTGGGATATTTGGCAAGTCAAAGCCGGGTTTACCTTATCGACAAGGAGTTCAAGTACGTAGGATCTATCAACATTCTTGTTATACCAACGTTTGGAAAACTGTACCGTATACGTTGGAAAGAATATGTGGAGAAAATAATTTCTTTCTTGCTAGTTCATACGATGTCCAAAATAATTGTATGTCATATTGCGTGGATGCTGAGAATGCTACTTAAAGCAGATGATGATAATAGAAGAATCTGTTATTTTCTTGTTTAAGCGTTCAGAATTAGTGTCGATGTTTCCGAAGGATGCTGTCAACACTTCTGAGGTTATTGTCATATCATATGATGAAGCATCTAATGCGTATTTTTGTATTCGCAGTGTCATGAGTTACACGCTGCTTCTGAGCTTGATCGAGTACAAAACTCTTATTCTGCGGGGAGATTTTCAAAGAGCAGAGGAAGTTTTGCCCACCATACCGAAGGAGCACCTAAACAGGTAAGTTTATGTTGCACTGAATTTTGCATGAAAAAAATCTTTTTATATCGCGATATACTTCTGTTCTTTGTGTAACTTCAACCTCTTGAAAGCGGGTTTGACATTTTGGAGCAGTACCAACCGTTTATGTTGTTAACTTATGTTCTGGGTGTTTTCGTGTGATGTAGTGTCGCTCGTTTCTTGGAGTCTAGAGGTATGTTAGAGGAAGCTCTTGAAGTCGCAACAGACCCGGATTACAGATTTGACCTTGCTGTCCAGCTCGGTAGACTCGAAGTGGCGAAGGTGAGGTTTATGTTAATATCTGTACTTTTTTCACACTTTTGTCAATGTAAGGTTCTCTTGTCGAGTCAAAGCCAAACTGACCCAGGGCAGGAGTTTGTTCAACTTGGTTACAGTTTCAGTAAGAATTGTAGTCTTGCCGGCCGATCAAAAGTAGTTTATCATGCTTTTTCTCGGAGTGGGAGCTTAATACTGAGACGAGGAAAGAATTTTGCCGTTTGCAGTCGATCGCTGAAGAAGCACAGAGTGAGTCCAAATGGAAGCAGCTCGGAGAGCTTGCGATGTCAGCTGGACAGGTAAGATACGTGATTATCAAATTTGCACTAATTTTCAGTGAGTCAGATTTGAGAGGGAAGGAAACAATGATGTAAAGCATTTACTGCTATTCTGCGTTCATGTCTATTGCCCGTTCTACGTTTGTCAATAAAACTCTTTTCTTTGTACAGCTTGATGTTGCACAGGAGTGTCTTGGTCATGCGTCGGATCTCAGTGGGCTTCTACTCCTTTACTCGGCTCTAGGAGATGCAGCAGGATTAGAAAGGCTTGCTGCATCTGCCAAGGAGCAAGGGAAGAACAATGTAGCTTTCCTTTGCCTCTTTCTACTTCGGAAATTGGAAGACTGTGTACAACTGTTGGTGGAGAGGTAATTGAGTTCGGAGCTTATTGTTGTGATTTAAGGGCCCAATTCCTCCAGCACTGATGAGGAATTTTCTAGAGCAGTCGATCAATTCCAACAACTGATCTTAGCGGATACTTGACGTTCTTTCGCTATTTGGTTTGCAGCAACCGTATACCTGAGGCAGCGTTCTTTGCGAGAACTTATCTCCCAAGCCATGTTTCAGAAGTTGTTGGATTATGGCGTAACGACCTGAAGAAGGTTTGGACTAAACCGTTAGATGGAAACATGTTTTCATAGAAGTCTGTTGAGCTCTGTTATAATCAGGTGGACTTAGTAAGCCTGTTTTGAAGAACCTAAACGTTAACTAGGTGAAGGTTGGGATGGTTTCGTTGGGCATCCCAGGCGTATTAATTGAACGTTAGGCCAGACATTTGTCTCTCTACCTATACTAGGGGTTGGCCTGTATTGACTACATTGTCGAGGGGTTTCTTCTCCTGTCTATATTCCCGAGAGCAGCAACCAGGATGTCAACCAGCATGTATCGTAAATTCAAAGCTTTTACCCTGGTTTGTTCCTTATAAGTATTGTGGTCTGGGATACTATTGACAGATAAATCAGAAGGCCGCGGAATCGTTAGCTGATCCTCAAGAGTATCCAAATCTTTTCCCCGATTGGCAGTTGGCACTGGATGCTGAAGCGAGAGTGAAGGAAAACAGGCAAGTCTTGTTCTTCTCATAAAGTAGCCAAACTAGACTTGTACTCATTCCACGACTAGTGGAAGCCTCGTGGCTTCCTGTTTAATGCTCATAGTGTTTCAAGTCATATTCCTATAAATTAGCTGGTTGCTCACATGGATTTTTGAGATCGAAAGTCATCTTGCAGTATTTTGAAATAGGTTGACACTTATTATAACGGAAATTTTGATCTGCGATTTGGTACAGGGGCAGTTTTCCTCCCTCAAGAGAATACTTGAGCTACCTTGGGAGCACAAATGTTGACTTGATCGAGGAGCTGAAAGCTCTTGATTTGAAAGAGAACGGTGATGCAAATGGACAGGCTGATCCTCAGGTAGTCAAAGGAGCAAGCGCAGCTGATCTTTGTCTGCTGGCTGTTTGATTGTTTGCTACTCGCCTTTCTCGTCATTGTAGTAGTTTTGATTGGACCTAGATAATACGAAGGAGCTTTGGTCCTTGCCTTTACTGCGACAAGTGTCTATTGCATGCTCAATTGAGTAATTGTTGAAAAGTTTTAGGATTTCCCTACTACCTCAATGACTAGGTAAGCCATATGATGTTTGAACCATGCATGCGTCTGTCTGATGTTTGTTGTATTGGACACCCGTCTCAAGCTCCGTTCATCCTGGTGTAATGCAGGAAGGAGAATACTACGAGGAGTACCAAGAGGAAGCAGGAGATTTCGCTGCTGACGGCGAGCAATACGTAGAAGCAGAGGGGGAATTCGTTGAGACCAATGGGAATGGAGTAGATACGAATGAAGAAGAATGGGGTGTAGATGGAGATGGTGATGCCACGGAAAAGAGAGCTGATTAGTGCTCCTCTCCCTGTAAGTGGGTGGAAGAGGGTCGCTGCCTTCTTCTTACTGTGACATGCTCAAGTGCCGAAATCTGTTACACTTAGCTGGTGAGGTCCGGACTTCTCGCCGCATTTTTCTTTTGAAAGAGTTGAAACAGTTCGCGTGTCGTCTCCACCTTAAAGGCCAGCAGTCTTCATCGAGCCCATGTCCGTAGAAGACCAAAGCTTATTTTTTGGGCGGTCTAGTTGGCCATGTTGAGGAAATTTTAGACACTGAGATTGATAGCAGGTGAAAAAAATGAAAGGCATAGCTTGAATGCTATTGCATTCCACCCTAGAGTCTATTGACCTAGGTGAGTGATCCTACCTAGGCTTTCTCAGCATGCCCTATTCAAGAAGGGTTGGGTGAATTGTATACCTCTGTTGAAGTAGGCTCTTCAGCTTTGGAGGAGTTAGGTTGTAGATTCTATTCATTCTTAGGGCATCTCTATATAAATTTAAATTGCTCAAATTTGTTCTCTACCTGCGGCGGTTGGAAGTCGGATTCTGACCCCATGCATCCTTATGTGTGGGTCCTTGATGATAGAACCTAGTTTTTTGAGACCAAAGATTAGCGGTAAGCTCATAGTGTCACGTTGCTCCTCTTTTGTTATGTGTCCACCATGAGGTCGTGGTCAGAGGTTTCTGGTGGCTCATATTAATGCCCCCAAGGATCAGTCGCTCACCTCCACTGTTGTGGAAACATGAGCAATCAAGAAACATCCTTCTCTATAGGCTGGTCTGTGGACATGGGATCGCGTTTGCACTTAATCACGTTTATGAAGCAAATATGCCTCCATCATTCTTATTAAACATGATCTCAAATGAGCTTTGTGAAGCTCTTCCGGCTTTACTGTGAAATTGCTGCTCCGTGAAATCCCTGCAGTTTGCATATGTGAGTGTACAGCATGGTGGATGCATGTCTAATCTCCCTGAAAAGAGTAGAAACTCATTTCACTATATGTCAGTCGGTTGACAAAGATGTGGAATACAAGAGGATATGAAGTATAATATTGTATATATTGAACAATTAAGTGTCGAAGCTTGTGCGACCAGATTGTAAGAATACTTTGTGAAATGGACTTATTAATTTACTGATAACGGAAAAGATCAGAAAAGAACGTCGAGATAATCTTTGAAGTTTTAATTATCAATTGAGATGACCTTCAAGATGTCATTTGTACTTCAACTTAACAGCGAGATACATGCACCTTACGGATTTGAGTGTGGTGTGAACCTATTGACAATGTATGAATTAAAGAGGTCTGAATAATTTCAAGAATCAAAATTAGATGAGTTCTAAAGGTAATGGAGTACACAACATAACTTTTAAATTTATGAAACATGAGATTAGTTTAAATTTACGTAAGGGCTGTGGCTCGAAAACTGGAAGAAAGGATGTTTCCATTTGTTTGTTTATGCGCCGGTAAACCAAACATTACATGTGAGGTAAAATGGTTATGATAAGTTTGGATAGGGGAAGTCAGGCGCGAACATCAAGATTCATATGGATTAAAGCTGTGTAAGTGCATACGATGCAGTAAGTATTATAATGATATTTCAAGGCAAAACAACTATCAATGGAATATAATCAAGATGAAATGACACACATTAGATATTTTCATTTTTTTGAAAAGTTAATTGATGATGTGTCACATCATCACTGTAATGAATGATCCAAATCATACATAAAATAACTAGTGTTTTATAATATAAAAAAATCTTAAATTGATTAAGGTTAAGTGTCTTATATTATAAACACACATCTATTTATGAGAACTGTTTTTTTTGGAAATAATGCACATATTTAACTTCATTAGAGGTAATTAAAAATCATGATGGGTGCGTTGTTTTTATCAACTAAGAAAAAGATGTGTAAAGTATTTTTTCATAATTTATTTAAAAACTTTTAAAATAAAAATGCAACATGTGATTTATTAAGTTTATTTCGTTTGGTCAAATTTTGATAAGATATATATACAGTCATTGTAATATTTTATAATGCAATGCGATCAATTGTTATAAATCAAATAGATGATTATCTGTGGATGTAGTACTGACTTAAGTGCATTTATATGTAGACTCTCGAAGAGTGTAGTCGAACTTTTGGAGACGTACAGTTTTGTCGTTCATGTTTGTTATGGTCTGATCTATTTCTTCTAGTGGAAGAATATTGTGGCAGCTCCGGCTAGCCGATGCAAAGCTTCAATAGGAAGTCAAATTATGATAATTTTGAAAGTAGTCAAGACTTGTTGTAGAAGAGATGATGACAGGAACTCAACTTTTCTTTCTTCAGCCACTTTGGTAAGTGAGCTCCCAATGTCTGTTGTGCTTGCTGGACAATGAACAAGTTACAACGTACAAGGTAGAGCAATGGAGATGCTGTAATTAGGAAATGACAACAGTTGTATCCTCATGTAAGAAGCAGTGTTGCACTCAGGGTTTTGTAGATAAGTCTTAGCTCAACATTCTACATTTCGTCAGAACTTTGATTTCCAAATCTGCTTGTGTGCGCGTATCAACATACAATTCGTAGTTCTTCGTAAATCTGTGCAGTGATGAGTTGGGATCAATATATATATACAGTCTTATGAGTACAGAACTATATTATATATCACTCATAGTGAGATAAGAGATGGGCTAGCTCTTTCTTAAAATACTACTCAGAGCGATTATGAATTCAATTCACATTGGTGCAAATGTGGTGATTATCATGATTAGAACTGATATACAAATATAATAGCAAAATCTGTTGATATTATCATTTTTATTGTATTAAAATTCTTTTATGAATCATATATTCAACCTAAAAAGACGTTTCTGAATAGGTTATTGATTCTTGATGTTGATATTGATTATAATTACATATCATCATGTTACCTGGACGAGGTTTCAAGTAAAATGAAAAATCTCGAACACAGAATCTACATATATACACAAGCCAGAAAGAACTGACAGACGAGATACATGATTTACCTAGGTCAGCTACGCGTACATGAACACAAGAATCTTAAGTAAGAAGACGTTAAATATTTCATAAAGAACTACTGATAGGTTTCACATATAGTGACACACTAATCATAATCTACCTAACCAGAATAACACTAATATACATTGTCAAGAACTGAGCTAAATACTAGCATTAAGTGTGTATAAGTATCTTTCTTTAATAAATCTAGAAACATTTATTGTTAGATAGAACAAACCGTATAATCATAAAGATATCATCCATCTAATTTTTTTCCAGATCATTCTATTTTATTATTCTATTCAAGTATTGCACTCAAGAATCGTTTCATAAATAATTTCTCAAAAAAATAGATAATATAGATTGTAATGTAGGCTGGCAAAAAAATTACGCAAAATGTTTATCACAATGTTTAATCTTTCTTGGATAAAAAATTATTTCTTTGGCTCTCATTTATAATTATGATTGGAAGTATTCATATATTTCAAATAATAAATATTTTTCTCAAAAAAATTCTAAACTATTTCATTTTTTTCGAAATAAGTCTGTGACTACCTTATTTATCTATTACTTGTTTTACGCATGTAAGATGTGTTTTAAGAGGAATTGACTGTCGAGCAATTATCGACCCATGACTTCCATACATGCATAAGAGGGTTCGTCTACAGTACTATAAGTGAACCCTCATTTATTCTTCTCATTGGGCCTGAAAAAAAATGCTTTTGCCAATATAGTAAGTGTTCAAAAATTCTGGATAAATTATCGTAGATAGTGATGAATCCTCATTAATAAGGATTTATCCAACCGAAAAAATGATGACTCATCATAGATGAAGAACAATTCAGAGCTAATTCTTCAATGGGAAAATTATTATTACTTTATCGAAAGAAATAATTTTTGCACTAATTTCTACGTCTTGGATGCATCACCACTATGCGGTAATGTTAGATTAAAATTCTTTTATCATAGAGTACAAAATTCAATACAATTACAGCGGGTTGTTCATTCAGTTTATATGTTATGTTCAGTCGACACCACCGAGAGTCTTTCTTCAGAAAATGCACGTGGTCGAAATTTGAATAATAAAAGAAACATATAACACGTCGTCGCTCTATCCAATAAGGAATAATGAAATTCATGGGTATCTATCTATCTGCTCATCAAAGGCAACTATCACTGCATTGTTTCGGAGGGATTTTATTTCACCTCCGAGGTCCGTCCAGTGGGCTCATCAAAGGCGACTATCTTGCATTATTTTGGAAGGAATTTAATTATTATATTAAGGAGATGGACATGTCGGCGGGGGTTGAGAAATGGTAATAAAAGGAGAGGAACCAAAAGGCAGCAGAGGATATAAACAGGGGTAACCGTCGAGCTTCGGCACGGAACTCGTGTCCACGGGCTGCCTCGAGTGCAACCACCACCATTGCGCCCATCGACAGCCCGAGCTCCGCCATCTGGCCCTCCCCGCCCGTGCTCCGTCGATGGCCACAGCTCCTCCCTTTGCCCTTCCCCTTCGCACGCATTCGTATCGAATCGGCCGAATTCTTGAACTCGCGCGAATTCGTCCTTGACAGATTCCCTTTTGTGTGCACGATTATGCCTCCGAATTCTCATGAGTCGGTGTGATGCTCTGTGTGGCGAATTGCTGTCATGAATCGAGGAGGAGAGGATCCGCACGGCTCCCAGTGGGACATTGCGTCTGCGGGTTGTGAGGAAGATGTGTGCAACGAAATTGGCATCTGCATCTCTCGTCGTCGTCGCAGCACTCGGCAGCGATGACATGGGAAGGAAAATTAGGGTTTTGCCACGAACTTCGAAGTATGTGAGGATCAGTGGCGTGTTTTGCTGGACAAGCTGGGAAGCAGCTTTAAGGAGTCGGCTGCGAGCCCTTGCAACCTGACCTTGCTCCTCGTGGGGCACCCCGCATAACGGCCAATTGGGATCGATATTTGAGTTGCTGTTATCATGGCCACCACTCGTATGATTCTACAGGTTCTGGAGACTTATCAAAAAGCTCGTATAACCTTTGCCCAAACGGTGGCAGAATTTTCTAGCAAACCTACGGTGTGTTTTGCTGTCAAACCAAAGCTCACTTTACGCTCTCACATACTTGTGTCGAAGCCTTCAGTCTCAGGGATGCTCTGATACAGTTGACTATAGCCTTTTTCCCATAGTCACAGTTGCGTAAGTTTTAGTGCCTTCGCACTCTCAACTTGATATCTGCATTGAACTCGCCTTGCGTCGCCTCGCCTCCCCAAGATGAACCCCACGTATATCGCATATAAACAGATGCGCTCGCCGTCTGCTTTTGGAATCAGTGAAGGTATAAGTCATGAATGTTGTGTGAATTGGAGGGATTCCAACTCAATGGATTGAACTAAACGAATCAACGTGACATGCACAAGAACCTGTTGTTGGAGACTAAAGCGAAACTCTAAGAATGCATAAATTTTTTTACACGAATTGAGATTCCGAGTCAGCCGCAGTCGTGTTGAGATGGAGAGATTGTCATGTGCAGAATGTAGAGGTGCTTCATAATGCCGGGTGCATGCAGCTGTTGAGGCCTCTCTTGTTGGACAGTGTGCCTAATATTCAACAGACTGCTGCCCTTGCTCTCTCACGACTTGCTGGCTACAGTGAGGAACTGTCAGAAGCTATTGTGCACGAGAACATCCTGATTCAGCTTGTGTACTCTCTTAGGTTTGAGCCAACGACTACACTTCTATCGTTCACATCTAATATAAACTGGAGTATCAGACACAGTGGACTTAAAGTTCCTGCCCTCCAAATTGATGAGTAAACTGTTTTGTCAACTTGGGATGAATTTAAAGTGAGAGCATCGTAAATACCGGGGTCCAGTAAATAGAGCAGAGCCCTACTGACTGACTGGGTGGAGTCCAAAATTCAATCTCGATGTACATAAGCCGGCGCCGAGCTACTGTCAACATACTATCACTGGTGGATAAACAAACGATTAAAACAATCTGTCAAGTCAGCTGGTTATAGAAAGCCAGAGTTACCACAAGAAACCATGCTCTAGAGAGGCCGTCAGCTAACTCAGTTGATCTTGATGGCAAGTACACTGGTGATGGTAAGCTAGATACTCCTAAACGCTATGTATTTCTTCATGGTCTGCCTCTCTCGATATCTACGAGTGTCTGGTTAGCAATCATCACAAAATGGAGTAGAAGGCCTGCGATATATGGGACAAATGGTGAATAGAGATGGAGAAGCCGTAGACTGAGGACAAGAATGGCGTGATGATTCTGGAGGCATACTGTAGAGCCTGCTGACTGCAGGAAATCATTGCTGACCGAAGGACGATTACCTGAAACAACTACTGGAAGTGAATAGAGATCAGGATCCGCGATTAAGAGACGAAAGAGAGATTGATGCTTGCTTTGTCACAGCGCCTGGTCCTGAGAGATCACAAGACTTATGTCCAGACTTGAATTCAGGTCAAACTGGGAGTCAGAGCATCGAGGCTTGAAGATGTTGGGAATGGGTGAAACTTTTTTGGGATTGAACTTGATCATGACTTTCTATGAGAGCGATGACGTGACTTACAGAGGAAGCACTTGTTCTGATGTTCAGGGAACAAAACCGGTACAACAAAAGAGCAGCAGCGTCTGTTTTGAGGGCTATAGCCAAACACTCTGCACCATTGGCTCAAGCATGTGTCGATGCAGGGGCAGTGCAGCCTTTAGTTTTATGCTTGGAGGAGTTTGATCCCGCTGTGAAGGAGGTCGGCGCCTGGGCTATAGGGCACATTGCCCGCCACACTCCAGACTTAGCTCAGACAGTTGTCGATGCTGGAGCAGTGCCTCTACTTGTGCTTTGCGTACAGGTATCTACCATCCACGTGATGGGTACAACTCATGATTCATGACTTTAACGAAAGTTGCGTCCATACTTAAGTTGAATTTGCTTGACTCATCGCCATAGAAAGAGCACAGTAGACATACTACGCCAAGATCAGGTCTCGTATCCAACAGATCAATTTTCAGTGGGCTCTTTAACACTTCCCCATTTCGGCACGCAGGAACCAGAACTGTCACTGCGGCGATGTTCAGCGGCAACGTTGTCTGATATTGCTAAACACACCCCGGAGCTCGCTCAGGGTATAGTTGATGCTGGGACAGTTCCCTTCGTTGCTCCTCTCATCACGCATACCGATGCCAAACTGAAGCGAGAGGTATCAATTTTGGTACCACTTGAGTTTCTCGTCTAAGCTTCAAACAACTTGGTGTTTCGTGTTTCGTGTTTCGCATAATCTTGTACTTCAACATTCGGACTGCTTGGTGCTTGACAGATCTGTGCGGTATTATTCCAAATAGCCAAACACACGACAGACTTAGCGGAGGTAATTATGCCTCGTTCATCTTGAAATGAACTAAATCTGATCTTAATGGTATGACAATTATGACATGAAGCAGATCAGACTCTGTTACATGGAAGTAACGTCCTTAGAATATATTGTAGACTCGTGCATGTGAATAGACCTCCTCTCGAAGGCGCATTTTCTTATAAAAATCAGATCATACGAAGGATGAAACTTGATAGATAGAATTGAAGTCGAGAACTCAGAGAAACCAGTGACACTCCAACTAAGCACTCACCTCTTGCAGGTTATTGTTGCTGCTGATATATTCCCGAGGATCTTCACTTTGCTGAAGGACATGGATCCAATGGTTAGAAGGAATGCTGCTTCAGTAGCCCGTGAGGTTTGCAAGCACACGCCTGAGTTAGCCCAGCTTATTGTTGCTACGGGTGGTGTGGCGGCCCTTGTGGACAATGTCTCGGAAGTCACAGGGAATGAGCGTTTGCCTGGTATGTATTCACTTCGAACGTAGCTTTCCATGTTAGTGCGCAGACAGAGACTAGAAAAGACTCTTAAAGAGCATTTCCATGTTCCATAATAATGAAAAAGCCGGTGAACTCTACTGTCCATTGAAGACTCGCTTACATACACAAAAATGAATCAAAAGCCCTTGGCTGGAGAGACATCTTCACAGTGAAGCTGTGCTCAGAAGAGAGACTGGAAAAGAAGATGAGAACCACTCAGTGAAGGATGAGGGGCTCTTGTCTGGGCAACATCTCATGTCCCAGCGAGCGATACACAACTAGAAGAATCGCCCTACACATCACTCAATTCTGAAGATTTTAATCCTATGGATTGTTTATAGTGCTAACTACGTGTGAACACTCTTTGACGGCAGGTATCATGGCCTTGGGTTACATTGGAGCATTCACAGAGGCTCTCGCTCTCACAGTCATTGCCTCGAACGGGCTTCCTCCTCTGATGGATGCACTAAAAAATGAAATTGAGGATCACATCAAGAGTGCTACTGCATGGACTTTGGGCCAGGTTGGAAGGCACACTCCGAACCACGCTAAAGCAGTAGCAGAGATAGGCGTTCTGCCACATCTAATTTTGTTGTTTATATCTAAAGTTAGCAGCGAAGACTTGCAGACGAAGTGTAAGAAGGCGTTCAAGAGCATTGTCGACCGACTTACATACTTTCCAGCTCTTGATTCGTTATTCCAGGTAACTTCGAGTCAATGATCACTTTTCCCTGATCGTAGTTCGCCTGCTCCCTTACCAGTGCTCTTTACAGATTCTGAAACTAGGGATGTTCATCCTTCTTCTGTGTACCCTCTTGTCAGACTGCTGTTAGATGTAGAAACTTGAGTCGTCTCATCGTTACAAGCTTCTGTTTCCGGAAGCAGAAGTCTTTTTTTCAAGTTGGGAATTCTCATAGTTTACTGTGTTGTCTTCAGGGTCCACCATTGCCCGAGGAACTGATGATGTATGTAGTCAAACAATTGTCAAAGATAATACCAAATGACAATGATGCACGGACGAAGTTCGTTACCTCTGGAGGCTTTGCCAAAGTCCAGCAATTGCAAGCAGAGCAAGGTAGCGAGTTAAGGGAGTACATCGATACACTGAACAAAGCCTATCCCATAGAAATAGTCCACTACTACTCTCCAGGATACTCAGAAATTCTACTGCAGACTTTGACGGGCGCCAAAGGCGCGAAGGAACCTGCCGGTGGAAAAGCAACCCCACCTCCCGGAAAAGCAACCCCACCGAAATCCCCCCCACCGAAGCCCACGAAGCCCAAAGCTTAGCTTACCATTCACTGTCCTTTGTGTACTTTCAAAGCGATCATTTCATCTGTGTATACTACTTCTGAAGCAAAGCAATTTCAGTTCGCCTCCTACCCTCTTCTCCGAGAGAATCAAAGATCACTGAATTTCTCATCCCTGTGGACATCTTTTGAACTCCCCGAATCGACCTGTATGACATTGTTCAGTGTGATCGGAAACGGACTTCTGAATCCTCTGCGTCCTCAGATGGATCTCGATTGTACTATGGTGTGCTTGGATCAAATACTCTCCTTGCTCAAGAGTCCAATGCGAGAGTCACCTGGAGAAATGTAGTTGAAACCGAGTATTGTCGGTAGTCATCGAACGTAATGAGTATGACCTGGACCGCATAGCTACTTCATCTCCAGCCTTCCTCGTTGATCCAGATGAGCGGATGACACCCACGAAGGTAGGCAAGTGGGAGGAAAAGCAGGCCATTGATCGCGACCAAACCACGACCATCTGCTGATTAACAATTTGTAAATTCGACGATGAAAATATGTTTTGTAGAGCTAGCTGAAGGCAAGTTCCATCATACGACGCGGCCTGTGAGAATCTATGTCGTTCTTCGGAATAAAATCGTCAGATTTTGGCCGATTCTCCAAAACCATGATGCTAGTCCACAACCTCCATTTATTGGAATACTCAGTATGGGGTACCGAGGACAATAGTTAGAAGGATTGGAAGACCCCGTGAAGACATGTAGGCATGAAACCAAGTGGGTATTGTGGGGCTAGCAGCCTACTAGCAAAATTAGATATGTCTTAAATACATGGAACATGTCTCAATGCACCTGATATAGTTGAATTCTCGAACAATCCATTGTGTATGTCACTCCAACATATTTTATAAAACCAAAGATTCTATTCATGTTGTTTGTGTTCTGCATATGTATCACAGTTTGTATAATCATCACAATGTACAATTTGTCGTACAACTGCTCAAGTTTATCTATACATTTCACTATCAAGTGTTTGGTCCCTCTAAAATATAACACAACTTGTTATACACAAACACAATGTCAAAATCAGGTTATTAGAATTTACCAACATCAGTTTAACCATGTTATTCATAACTGGGAAGGGATTTTTGAGCATAAGATGAATAAATTTGGTGCTAAAATACTAATTCCTGTACTTTCTATCTGATTATTATATCATTCAGATCAAGAAGATCTCCATCCACCATTGTACACAATGTGCATAGTATGTGTTGATTAAAACATACATCACAATGTACATAAACAATGATCAGAAATAAGTATATGTCTCATTACATAATTGTATCCACGGAGGATGATATCCTTTTTCCTACTACATCTTTTGTGATATTTGTTTTCAATAGTGACTCAAATGACTTTAATCATACAACGTATTACTTTTCTTATCAGTCTTATGAATTAAACATACCATATGCAAAATAAAAATTATAAAAGTTTTTGGAATTACATTGATTGATCTACATCTTTTATGACAATATTACATTCAAATCAGGTTTATTTTTGTTAGAGCTATTTTGACGAGGAAAATACGAGAACCAAAAACACAAGAGAAATGGAAAAGCACGAGGAAACATAGTTTTCTTCAAGGTTCCATAAAATCTCCATAGTATATCTAGATCTAACACTTGATAGTTGACCATCGTCTTTTTCCCTATGTGGCTCCCGTCCGATTTTTAAAACTTGCTTAAACCTTTTACATATGCTCGCGGTTAAGCCCATACCACTTTCCTTCTAAGATACGTGTGAAAACGAAAGGACTATAAACTGCATGCTCTTAAATACAACTCATTATAGTTGAGCGTAGGAATTGCGCCTCGAAGCCTGATTTGTGTGAATAATCTTCCCGACGAGGATGCAAGCTGAGCTCTCAGATGACTACTATATCGAGTTTTCTATCACCTCGTGACTAGTAGTATCAATGCCTTCCCACATTTCACCCTCACATCTATTTCCTTCTCACTTCGTACACTTCCAAGCGGAGGCAGTAGAAGTCCTTGTGTTCGGCTTGAGGTGAGCTTTCTTTCGACACTAATAAAACCTAAACTTCACATTTATAGAATCACGCCAGCATGATGGGAGTATTCGTAATATGTATGCTCCCAGAGGTTCTGAACAAATTTTGCGTTCTGGTAAAGAACCTTCAGCATCATCGTAGGCTTTTCCAGATAAGGAAGTGAAATCTCAACTGTGTCTACGTGTTAAATTTCTATAGCTATGAGCACATAGCCTTAAAAATCGGCAAATTAATTTCTTTGACTATAACTCGGGGCAATTTACACAAGAAGAGGATCGAATCAGCATGTAAAAACTTTGGGCCCACTCAAAAACAAGGCTCACTTTCTTCACGCAAAAACAAAACTCTACTTGTACTTACAAAAAAATAAAATGAAAGACGAAATAAAACTACCTTCTCAAGGATGAAGAGCACTTTCAATGAAGTACACCCAAGTTTGATATAAGACTCGCGTCTGAATTGCGGACCTCTTGCGTGGACAAAGCACTATACTAAGAGGATATCCATTCTCAGCTCAAACCGCAAGGCTTCTGCTCAGAATAGCATGTAGCCCAACAGGAAAAAGCGCTCGGGTCCAAACTCGAGACAAGACCTTGATAGTAAAAAGGGTGCGGACGGTCAAGAAGCCTTATGCCTCAAACTGGAATCTGGCATTGTTCGAGCTCGCAAATGAGTCAAAGTCAAAGCAGAATTGGACATACTTTGAAGGTATGGCGTGAAATACAAAGGACGATTGGACTTGTGTTATTTCTTATTCCTTGTGGTCCGACCCAAAGACTTCAAGATCACTCTACAATGAGCCCAACTGATCAAAAAAGCCCGAGAGCCTCTAGACCTGCGCGTACGCGCTCAACGGAGACACTTTCATTACAAAGGGGGTGGTCAAAAAGCATATCTTTCTCACACAAATAATGCTATCCAAATTAATGGATCCAGCATTCGAACGTTTGCCTCGAGAATAGAATCATTATCCATGTCTCGTACTCTGTAACCAATAATTGTATGCAGAATGTGCATCAAATCCTTCAAGCGCTTCCGCATTATAAAGCTTGTATTGTAAACCACGTTGACGGCGAGTGCAAAGCATTTGAACAGAGTTGTTCTTTAGCCCCAGTTCTGTGCTCTGATCTCGTTGTCAATCTCCTCCTTCAACTTCGGGTTCTGTGCGAAGTAGTCATCGACGGTCCTGGTCCTCAAGCTCTCCTGGATATGAAGGTAAGACAGCTTATCAGTATTTACCGAGACTCAGGACAGTACATTTCAAGGATCTGGAGAACACACACTGGAAAGTGTGTATTCTTCAGATGGAGAAGGACAATAGTGAGTATCCAAACAAGAGAAAACACACATAGAATGAGAGAGAATATGAAGAAGTTGTCAAAAGCCACCCAACTGCCGATGTTCTGAAAGTTCAATAATTGTCCATAAATCGGTATACAAAACCCAGGAGACGGTATACCTTGTCTTTCCTGATCTTCTCAATCTCCTTGTCCAATCTCACAACCTCTCTCTTTGACTCCTCCTCTAGCTGGGTGGCCTTCGTCAACTGTTCCACATAAGAGTCAGTGATTAACACAGAGTACACTTGGTCTAAATTCACATGGAAGTACGAGAGCAACTTTGTTTTTGAACTTATATCTGCTCAACCTAAGGATCAGTTTACAATCTGAAAACTCAGCACAATAAAAATTGAAAGTGCGAACTACATCTACTCAGACAGGCAACACAAGGAGTGTGAGGGCCTTATGACGGGAGGAGAGACAAACCATAGCCTCATACTTCGTCTTGTACTCAGGAGTGAGCTTATCCTCATACTCAGCAATCTCAAGGGCTGTAAAAACAAATGTACAGTCTTGGAGTCAGAAACAATGCGTCGTAAAATTCCTCTCAATTCAACTATTGCCCAAGACGTTCGCTCAGAATCACATGTGAAATAGCGCTTATATCTCGCCACGAAGAATCCGCCCCAATTGGCGAAGAGGAGGAGAAGTAAGGCAATTCTACAAAGCACTTGCAGTATAGCGTCGTCGGTAGATATGAGATACAGTAGTAAACATGAGCTCTTCACGTATAGATACAAACGCTGGATAACTAATCGCTCGCAGAAACATATGGAATTCACCGAAGCTCAAGCGCAGTTGAATCACGTACATTCAAAGGAGGTTTTGAACGTGTCTACGATCTTCGGTCCGAGCTTAGCCTTGTAAAAGCTCCAGTCAATGTTTGTCTCTTTCTGCACAGAAATTCAAGAGAAATATACTCAGCATTTGGATCCTACTCCATTTCTGAACTACCAAGCACACGGATCTTACTAGTGATGAAGTACAGCTAGAAATCATCAAATACCACGATCAAGGAATTGAAATTATTGACTGCTAACACATTAACGAATCTCAGCCTCCCAGCATGAGAATCTACTGTGCCCTAATTAAGATCCAGATAAGAAAACTAGAACCTTTCACACATCCAAAACGAGAATCCATCTCTTTTCGAAATCTCGGAGCCATGAATCCCTCAGACTTCCTGTCAAGCTTAGAAAACTTGGAGATCTTTGGCAGAATCTTATTAACTGAACAAACCTAAATGCAGCGTGATCAGCGGTCAAAAATTCACGTGACGACGCATCAAAACCTAACGATGATAAACAACGGATCCACCACACCGCAAAATCCGATCTCACCGTGCTGAACTTGGTCTCCAAAGTGTTCGAAACATCATCGAAGGAGCGGCGCAACGCTCCAAGCTCCCTGCGACCCTCATCGCTCACCACGACCTTCGCCAGGTAATCCCAGTCGATGCCCCTGGTGACCTTCTGCACGATGTTTTTGCCTGCCCCGCTCATCTTGACAGGTCCTAAGCACACAGAATTTGGCACGACGGCAGTGATCAAGTGCTCGGATTACAATTGTCGCTACAATCGATCAGTCCAGAGGGCGATCGATCAATAAAGGGCCTTCGACAGTCAGTCGATCGCTCTGCCCTCCAGTCGACTCCTCTCTCTTTCCTGCGAACAGTCCCCGTGCACTGGTGGCGATGGCCCCGGCCCTTCAATGTGCCCTACATTTACCAAGATTTTTCATTTTGGCTATTGTGGGAATATCCATCTACCCTGGACTTCCGTGAGCTATTTTCGCCCCCAGAAGATTCCAGCTAAACTAGCTCGGCAGTTTGAGAACTCATTGCCTCTCTCCGGGCTTACCATATTTCGCCCCTATGGACTTCCCTTGAACTAGCTCGGCAGTTTTAGAACCCATGGCATTAGTTCTCAATAATTTTAGATTGAATTGTTTATTATTATATTTAAGATATTATTTAATTATTATATTCTTGAATTATATAAAAAATTATTCATATAATGTAATTTTAAATTTTTTTGTGGTTTGAAAATTATTTTTAGATAATTTGACATTGATAATTTGACATGTTTCAAAATTTGACAGGTTTGAAATAAATAGATAGTAATTTGTAAGGTTTAACAATAGCGGATATTAATCACGTTCGTAGTTCCCGCAGCCCGAGCATACACAAATGGGAAGTAAATAAACATATGGGTGGTTGAGCCATCTACTTATTTCCCAAATCGTCTTCATGCCATAATCTTTTCCTATATCTTATTGTATTTCGTCCAATGTGTTCACTTTTCCTTGTACTCCAGAACTGGTGCCAAAGTTCCTTGGCCATACAATACCTTCCAAAATTCCCCTAATGAACTCGGTGTATCACCAAAAATTCATACTATGTTGAATATTATTCCCATGTGTTTCATTTGATATGCGAAGCGCAGCTCCATATTTGTTTGACCAAATTGTATTCAAACATGATGTGATGTATAGTTTCTCTTTTGTATCATAATCTCCGGAAAATACCGTCTCCATGTACTAATTTCAATGCTTGTTCATTTGTGTCTATTGCATACTGCACCACTCTCCACATAAAGATTTTGTCGAGTATAGCATTTTGATTTCTTCACGAGTTGGTAAAAATCTTTCCCATTCTACTTTTGTTTTGCTTGTAAACATTTCATATTGAGGTAATACGCAAGGTTCATTTATTGTTTCTTGTTTCTGTGTATGACCTGGCGATCTCCATAAAATCTCCATTTGTGGGTTGTTTCTTGGTCTTCTATCCTTTGCTCAACTCAAATCAATGGGGTGGTATCGATTCGAGCCATTGAGAGAATGTTGTCCATGAATATGTGCACCGGAGAGCCAGCCTAAGACTTGTAAGCACATGTCTCTTGTGACAAATTTGTTTTGAAGCATTTTTTCTTGTTCATAATATCTCCACTATAGTGATCTTTACAGCTCTGAATTCTGACAACACTAGTCTAGTAATTGTCGATACCCCATAATGGTCTTTTACCACGAGGTTAACTAGGTCTTATTGAGTGATATAGGCAATAATCAATTCTTCTTCCATATTTTGAGAAGTGTATTTTGTATTGCTTTCCAACAATTGATTAGCACGTAATCCATTTTTGTTCCGAACAAATGTAAGGTATGGTTCGTAGGAATCAGGTTCAAAAGTTAGTAGTGTTTCCTGATGACATTCTTGCTGTAACTAGTAGTGCATTTTGTTATCATTTCTATAATTTAAGTTAGACCGGATGTTGCACATGTGTACTAAGTTGTAGGAGTGATTTAGTGATTAATGATGATTAGCCAAGAGATAGCTAAGTCTAGCTAGTTATAACTAAATTTATCTAGTCATGACTAAGTTTAGCTATAATGTCTATAGTTGACGCAGTCATTAGCGGAGTTCTGGAAGAGTGGAGTGAACAATTATATTTTATATTTTACAAAATTCTAGATTTCAAGGTATTAGATATTTGACTATAAACTTGGATTTGATTAAATGTATGAAAGATGATTGGCTAGACTAAGCCTAAGGTTGACTTAGTGGCTAAGAAGCCTTTAGAAGTTTTAAAGCTTCTAATGGCATATCGCCACCTCAACCGTGGATTCTGGAAATTTTTAGAAGTTTTAGATATGCCAATGGCATGTTGCCGCGTATAGTGCATTAGTCAAATTTACCTAGATAAAAGTGAATTAGGAGAAATTACCACATGTTACTATGGTAACTTTTCAAGTAATAGAAATAGAGAGTTATAGTAACACCTCTAAAGCAAGTTTGAAGAACTCATGTGTAGTGACTTGTTTCATACATGAAAGAGTGATGATTTTCAGTACCTTGGAGTGTCGATGTGTGGATGAGTTGGAGTGCTACCTTGAGTGATTGTGTGAATGGTTGTTTGGGCTGTGAGTGTGAGTATGAATCATAGTCTTCTAGAACCAGTCTGCGCTACACCAAAGCAATCTGAGGTAAACCTGAGCGAGAGTCAGCCCAAAGGTTGCATTTTTGATTTTGTTGTCGGAACCTCAATCAAGAAAATAGAATGTTTAGGATTCGATTTCTAGCTCGAGAAAAAATGTCCATGAGAGATCACTTGGAGTTGATGTTGGGAATGAAAGAGTAGAGAGTATGCTTGATAGTAAAATTTCTTTTGTCTATCCAGTAGTTTCACATGATAGCCTTGAAATGATTTTGTATGTTTTGTTCATGTAAACACTTCATTTTGAGAGAAAAGTGGTATTAGATATCGAAAAAATATTTCTCAAAGCATTTTTCAGAATTTTTATTGATTGTAAATTGGAAGAAAGACTATGTTTTAGTTTTTATTTCAGATTCAGATCATGTCATGATCTAGACTGAAAGATATGAATATTAGAAGTTGAGGGGGTTTTCACGGGTATCAAAAGTTTGCTCTTGGGAAAGTTTGTACAGAGTTAATTACCTTTCTATATTTAAAGTAAGCCTTTGAAACTTCATACGAGTGTGTATTGAGAGATAATCTACGTGTGAGTCAAAATTTCACTGAGAGATCACGTCTAGAGACAAAGTTATGTTGATTTGAAGTTAAGTGGTACAAATTCAGGATAAGAGAGCAAAAGTTTTAGATTTCATTATTTGCAGTTTTTGTAAAGTGTATAGCGCTTCTGTGAGAGGTCTTTGAATGGTTTCCACCTTATGGAAAAATAAATGAACAAGGAAGTTGGAAGGTTAGGTAATGAAAAGTATCTTAGATGTTATAGTATCTTTAAACTCGAATACAAGAGAATTCAAGATGGAGTTTGAAGAAAGAGTATTAAGTCAATCCCCAAGAATCAAGTGTGAAACTTGTTTTTATTGTGGAGAAGAGTGAAATAGATAACTATTTGTTCCTTGCGAAATAAGTATAAAAGATTGAAGAGCAAGAGGAATTTTGGAGAATTGAAACTTCACTTGTAACCATCATCACCACATGAATCCCATAGCGCTACCTTATGTAACAATTGTGGAGTGATTGTACCACCGGTGGGTTACAAATGGAGAGGAGTGAAAGCGCTTCTAGAATCACTTGTGGAAGGTTTTGACGGCAACCTAAATGCTAAAACGGAGAAAACTTACCTTGGCTAATTCAAGCTCCAACCGAAGATGAAGATCATCATTCAGATGATGGAAAAGATGATGATGAGAGTAAGATTCATTGTGTGTCTAGGGGAGGCGAGAACTTTGGCTATATTGGATGAGCCAATTCCTTTTGTGTTTCCTTTGATGAACTATTCAATGGATGGAGTTAGTGTTGTTAATATAGTAATAAGAAGTCCCATATAAATTTCAAAAAAAAAAAAGTTGGAAATGGAAAAATTTCCAATGTTTTATGGGATGAAGAATGAGGATGTGGAAGCTTTTGTTAGGGATTTCAAGAGGGAAGAGGTCTTGTAAAGGAAATAATGAGAGGAAGAAGGTTGAGTGGGCTATGCTTTTGTCGTATTTCTTGGAGTATTCTAATATCAAATGGTACTATGAGTATAAGAGTGAACATGTGGAGTAGAAACTTGGGAGACATTGACGGAGAACCTCATCAAAAAATTTCTTCATAATCAAAGTTATGAAAAGTTGATATGTGAGTTCAACTTCTTGAAACAAGGAAAAAACGAGAAGGTGAATACCGATGTGGAGAGAACTGAAAAGTCTAAATACCACGTGATGTTGAGGAAGAGTGGAGACGAAGTGGATGCTACAATCGTGGGGATACGGACGATGCTCATGACGAACTTCGTTGGAGGTTTGAGACCTGAGATTCAAAGTAATGTGAGGTATGAGAAGCACTCTTCTAAGGCTGAAGCCATTCGAATTGCCGTTAGATTGGAGAAAAGCTTAGAAGATGATGATTCTAGCTTGATGGCTACATAAGTATCTCCATCGGTTGTAGGAAGGTCCATTGGTTCAAATCCTGCTAATTCATCCACGATGACGAATACTAGTATAGATTTCCAATATGAGTTGAATTCTATCACGGAGACTCTAACGAACCTCAAGATCAATGTAGTACAATCGTGGGAGAAGATGAATACAAATGTATGGAGCTCTAAGAGGTATGGAAATTATCCTTCAAGAAAATCCACCTTAAGAAAACTTTGCAGTTTCTTGCTTTACTTGATGCAGTTCTCATTTTCATCCAAATTGTCTTAACCCTTGACAACATGATGGAGTTCGACACATCAACAATGCACCGGCCACACAACAAGCCCATGATAAGGGAGTAGCATCCATTGATGTATTCCCTCATCAATGCACTTTTGAGAAAGAGTACAGCTTGAAGTCAAAGATGGATATACTTGCTCATGAGAAGAAACGTGTCCGTTTTGCGGATGAGTCAATTTTCATGGAGGATACGCCAAGTCATAGTACATGGTCAACTAGAGTGAGTCAACCAAAAGTACCAAAGAAGAAGTTGGGCATGGATGATTTTTCCATTTCATAGTCTCAAGGTAAGTATAACGTTGTGGATGATATAGAAAACCAAAATGCCAATATAACAATTGGCCAGCTAATTGTCTTGAATCCAACCATTCAAAAAGAGTTAAGAGTATGTCTTACCTCCACAAAGACCTGCAAGCTCCGGGCTGACTCTCACTTAGGTTTAGCTCTGATGGCTTTGCGGTAGCGCATCATGGTTCTAGAAGACTAGGATTCATGCTCACACTCATGTCCCAAACACCTTCTCT